TTGCTGTCAGGGAGCCAGTATACAGATGTTGGTTTGGCAAGCAAAATCTCGAAATTCTCAATAATATGTTCTCTGTAATAGAACCCGATTGAAGCTACAAGGTTTTTAATGGACAGCTTTCCAGGACAAAGGTCACGCTCACCATACCCTCTGATAACCCATAGAGGGCTGCCGTCCTCTTCTCCTGCGACGAACGCCCGATGGGCGTAGTTCATTGCTGTTGCTGCTGTAGCCGGTACCCATTCGATCATATCTGTGCATACGTTGATGTTAGTCACAGTCATTTTTACCTATAGTGTGAAACTTTAATGGTTGTTTTCAAAACACGTAATCATTTTTCTTTTAGAATCGTAGCATTTCTATCACCATACCTACTACTGATAACAATTATAAAAAACAAAAAAGAAAGTTATGCTTCTTGTCTTACAATCCCTACAAGTGCCCTATCAATCAATTCAAAATAACTCCTATACACAACAGAACTCCTATTTATTCTCAATTTCCTTTTATGTAGTAGAATATGGTTCAAGCTTATTTATGATTAACGGTTGTGTCCAGTTTTTTCTTGTGATTTCGAGTTGCTGATTTCATATCGACCTAATAATTATTTTAGATTAAATATGTACTAATATGTATAATAATCGATAGTAGAAAGGGCAAATTTAAAACACAAACAAAGCAGTACCGTAATGTAATCAAAATTATTTAACAATATAAATGGTCATCAATTAGCGATATGCACAGGATTTATTTATTTTATTTATTTAAACTTTATTGCCACAATTACAAAATGGACAAAAGGCGGACTTAACGCTAAAAGCATTCTCTGCCAGTCAACCTTCAGGAGTACAGAAAGTCACGAATGCGGCTTTAGTAAAAAAATAATCTATACTTATAATAAATCTGTAGAGAGGTCAATGCTGTACATGAAATATATTTTCAAAATAACTATCAGGGGGTGATTAATGATCGATACTGATGCCAAAAATGCAATCAGTAAATTTTTTGTCTGTCTGTCTGTCTGCCTGTCTGTGTGTATGTTCCTTATAGAAACAAAAACTACTCGACGGATTTTAACGAAACTTGGTACAATTATTCTTCATACTCCTGGGCAGGTTATAGTATACTTTTCATCACGCTACAATCAATAGAAGCAGAGTAGTGAAGGGAAATGTTGGGAAAACGGGAGAAGTTACTCCATTTTTTTTGCTTCCGTCGCGTGTGCAGCCTTAATGGTTAAAATTACATAGAAATCATGTATGACGGAAATATTCTACATAAAATTGTCTAAAAAATATCCCGCAATAGCATATGTCTATCTTTTATGGTTGACTCACAATAACACGTGTATCTCCTCATAGCTTAGCAGTTCGGAGCATTCTGATTATATTTGTTTACTCTTACGTTTATAAAACTCTTACTCATCCATAATTTTAAAAAGTTAACATTATTACCTATTCAATAAAAAAATAATCATAGAAATCGGTATAGAAACACCAAACTTATACATGAAATAAGCCATCGCGTCTTCGCACGTGAATACTAAATCGTGCTATAAGGATTATTTTTGTGTAACGGTTGAAGCGCTTGACACGGGTCGCGGCGGCGGTAGGTATAAGAAGAATGTCATTGTGTATAATACAAGCCTGAGAACAATAACTATAGTCTACACTTCAGCTCTACACCGAAGCGAAGCGAGGGCGGGCCACTAGTTGATAATATAAACATACCATAATAGAAAATACTTATCTTATACATAATAATTAAATATACATAAGCACAAGACATATAAATACACACACACACACATATATATACGCATACAATACACATATACATACGTACATATATATAAAATATATCGATGATGAGACTGAAAGGGACTTAGGAAATGAGTTTAACGTTAGTGTGGAAGGCTATCCAGAAGAAATGCATGAATTTTCTTTTTAAAAATGAACCTATTAGGTGACTTTCTAATGGAGTCAGGGAGGCTGTTCCAGAGTCGTGAAGATTGAAGGGCAAAGGAATCAGACATATAGCCAGAGTGAAAGAGAGGTTGGGATAGAGCAAGAGTATCAGTAGAACGAAGTTGAAGGTTATGTGTATCACAAAGATACTGAAATTTGGATTTTAAATATTCTGGAGAGTGTGGGTCAAAGAGAATTGAATACAGAGTACATAATATTCTCTGCTGTCTTCTTTGACGTATAGGGAGCCATTTTAGTTGAGACCTGTAAGCAGATATGTGGTCAAATTTACGAAGACAGAAGATGAAGCGAATGGCATTATTTATAAGACGATCCAATTTATTTAAAAGATCAGCATTCAGATCGGGATAACAGACATCAGCATAATCAATGAGCGGAAATATAAGAGATGTTACAAGCAAAATTTTTGTTTTGATGGGGAGAAAATTCCTGAACCGATTCAAGAAACGAAGTGAGTAAACAATCTTGCGGCTCACTTCGGCAATTTGTGTGGTCCAGCTGAGAGAGGAATCAATATAAAGGCCAAGATTTTTTACACTTAAACTAAGCGGCAGTATTGTGCCTTCATACACGACAGGTCGGAGAGAACTTTGGTCAATTTTGACTATTTGTTTAGAGCCACCTACGATAATGGCCTGACATTTAGTTGGATTGACTTTTATTCCAAAGTCAGCAGACCAAGCACCGATACGTTGCAATTCATTATTCAACATGGAGATGGCCATATCAACATCCTCAGCTAAAGTCTGGGTATAGATTTGTAGGTCATCAGCGTAGAAATGGTAAGAGCAGCCAAACGAGTAGGAAAGGAAGTTAATGAAGGCAGAAAACAACAAAGGAGAGATAATACCACCCTGGGGTACACCGGCATTCAAAGTATTCCACTTTGAAAGGTTTTGTCCAATGCGGACTGCTTGTTGACGGCCCCAGAGGTAGGATGAGAACCAATCCAGTGACTTTGGTGAGAAGTTGTAGGATTTCAGGATAGCGAGGAGAATATCGTGATCAACCATATTAAAAGCGTTAGAGAAGTCTATGAGTACCATGACTGTAACCAACTGTTTCTCCATGCCTATCCTGACGTCCTCAGTAACTTCGAGCAATGCCGTAGTGGTACTGTGTCCAGGGCGAAATCCAGACTGAAAAGGAGTGAGAAGATTATTGGAAAATATGAAAGAGGATATCTGATGATGAGCAACTGCTTCAAGAACTTTAGAAAGAAAGGGAAGGATGGAAATAGGCCTGAAGTTACTAAGTAGCTGAGGAGAGGAAACTTTCGGCAGAGGAAGAACAAAAGCTTTACGCCAAGCTAGAGGAAAATTACTATTTAGAAGGGAGAAGTTGATAATGTGTTCAATAGTTGGAAGAATATAGTCTAAAATATTGACTATCATTTCTCTGCTGACGTCATCCGATCCAATAGCTTTTGATTTGATAGAAATAATAATTTTACGGATATCATCACTTGTCACTGGAGAAAAAGTAAAGGAATCAGAAAGAGATTGGGCTATGGAAGAAATGTTTATGACTGTATTATTTTTAATAAGTGGGTCAAGTGTACTGGTTGTGGAAAAGTGATTATTGAAATCGTTAAGAGAGAAAGGATAGGAGTCAGGTTGCTCGGAACATTTGCCCAGGCCTAAAGAATGGAGAAACTTCCATACGTTCGCCGAAGATGTGTTGCAGATATTGTCATGAAAATATTGTCGTTTAGCTGCCCTCACCATTCTATTGCACCTATTACGAGCCACTTTATATAAAGACCAATTTCCGTCCGATCTGTCACGCTTGAAAACACGAAAAGCACGATCTCGTCGCGCCATGGCCATACGAACGCCTCGGCTGATCCAAGGAGCGGGAGGTCGCTTTACCCTGACAGGCTTCAGCGGAGCATGGGCATCGTAAAGTTTGAGAATATAATGATTGAAGTTGGATACTTTCTCATCCATTGACGAGGCACCATACACCGCCGAGAAGTCAAGCTTAGAAGCATCCCGTCTTAATCTGCCATGGTCGAGGCGAGCGAAGTTATGCATCCACACAACTGTAGGTTTCATTTTCGGTGGTTTTAATCTGTACTGTAGAAAGATAAGGTCATGTTTTGAAAATCCAGGTGCTGTAAGCTGACCGTGATTAATAACAAAATCAGGAGAAGTTAAAATTAAGTCAAGCCAGGTATCCTGAGAAAGGTTATGATGAGTTGGCCTTGATGGCAGAATAGAGAGATTAACGGACTTGACAATATTAAGAAGTTTAAGGGAGCGCGATGTGCTACACAATAGATCAGTGTTGAAATCACCCATAATTATGTGATGTCCGTATTCCGAGCAGAGTGGTTCAAGAACAGACTCGAGATGGGAAAAATAATCAATACCGGGTGGAGAATAGACGACTCCTAAAACAAGTTGGAAACTTCAAGGAAGATGTATTCCGCAGAACTGGAGTATGGGGAGGGAGATGAATAAAGAATTTTATAGGGGATGTCGTAACGTAAGTATATGGCAACACCACCACCGCCTTTGCCAGTACGATCATTGCGGATTAAATTGTGGCCAGGAAGTGATAAAGATGAAGAGACAAGACAAGGTTTTAACCAGCTTTCCGAGACAAGAATAGCGTGAGTGGTAGCAGAAGAAAAGGTATCAAGAAGATCTGAGTAATGAGAAGGTATGCTTTGCGCATTTATATTACAAACGTTAAAAGAATGAGGTGCAATTTTGAAAGAGCTGTGCAATATGGAGCCCAACGTTTCTGGTTCCGAAAAAGAAATGGAAGAAGAAGAGCTAACGTCACGAGCAGAATAGAAAGAATGATCATCATCAGACATAAAAATAAATAATAAAATATTATCTAATTAATATATAACTATATAAAAATCTATATATAATAAAAAAAAGTTAATATGCAAAATAATACCTGTCCTGCCGGTTGGTTGACATTTACAAAAAAAAATACAAAACATTAAAAAAAAGTTATACATTGATAAGGACAACAGAGTGAGCAAAACATAAACACGCCAGGACGATAAAAAAAAAGTTCGTAGAAATCAGTCATAGTGACAGTGAGGTTTTCATGTCAGTTATAGAAAAACTAAACAAGTGAATTGAAGAAGGTAATTTAAGTTAAATAACAATAGTATTAATAGTGAAATACCCGAAATATAAAGTTAACGAATATAATACCCGTTAAAAAGCAAAATTATATAAAATTACAAATTATTATATGAACTTTTCACATACTAGTGCAGAATATAAAGAGAGATAAAGTTACTTTTTCGCCCTGGCTGCTCGTTTGGGTTTAGAACGAGATTCGGGGGAAAGAATCGTTGCTGGTGACCCGACCACAGCTACTGCCTGCTGCCGCTGCGATGCACTTGTCGGCTGTGACTGCTGCTGCGGTTGAGAGACGTCCTCCGTCGCCGATATAGACGAGAGATCGCCTTCAGTGTACAGTCGCTGCCGAGTTCCGTCATTCAGCTTAACAATAATGTTCCCCTCCATTGTCCAACACCTTTTGATGCCAAAGCGTTTGCGAGCCTGAATGAAGAGTGCTTGGCGTTGTCGTGTTAGAAACTCAGATAAAGTATGCTGAGTTCCCTTGAGGGCTGTCTTCTTATTCCAGACAGCAGATTTGAGAGAAAGCTCTCTAAACCGTACCAAAACAGGGCGACATTTCCCCTCTACAGATGTACTGCCGAGACGATGACAAACACTTAATTTATCTGAGGTCAGATCCAAGCCCACCTTGCTATTCAGAAGACATATAATAAATTTGGAAAGATCTTCAGTAGTCTCTGGTATGCCGCCAACTAGGAGATACTTCTTGCGATGCCTCATTTCAATGTCATCGACGGATTTGAGAAGCTGTGATATCTGGTCTCGCAGTAACATCAACACAGACCATACCTCAGATTTGAAGTCACGGAACTCTTGTCTTAGTTGAGTAAGAGAACCATCATCCTTGGGCTGTGATGTAGAATTCCATTTACCCTCCAGCTCGTTCATCCTTAGTAAAAGTTTGGTTTCCAAAGCTTGCTGAGTCTCAAGAACTTTCGCAATATTGGCCATTGTTCAGTGAAAGTTGTGAGCCTTTATAGTGCGAGTCAAACCGGTCAGGACAGTTGGGTAAAACACTAAAAATTGCACATACACTGAGGATAATAGTACACAATGTAAATAGTATAAGATACTTTAAGAATTTACTGTAAAGGATCCTCTAAAATAACTAAGTATTTTTAAATAAATTATATATTGGAACAGTGTCTTAAGTGTTTTCACTCCTACCGCCGAAAAAAAAAAAGGAAAAAAAGAAAAAGAAAAGGATCTCGTACTTCTAAAAACTGTTCTTTACCGTGGTATGGAATTTAGCAACCCTGCTGTTGAGGGTGCAACTTTCCAGGTAGAGATTCTTCATGAATGTCTGCATAAGTGAAAGGTAATGTTCCTGATATTTGGTGGCCGCGGTAGCATAATGGTCAGTGCATTCACCCGGATAGCGAAGGTTGCGAGTTCGAGTCCCGTCTGCTACCTGGCCCGCGTGGATTTTTTGTAGTAATTTTTTTTTTTGATTTAAGCATTTACATGCTTGAAAATTAAAATATAAAGTACCTTACTTTAAAATGTGATAATATCGGTGACAATATTGATATTATTTGGCGATTTTGCACAAGATCTCGTAATTATTATAGAAATGTAGCTCTTTGTGGCGGAACGTAATGAAGCAACAGCGAGCTTTGGGGTGCAACTTTCCAGGTATAAGAAAGTCTTCATGTGTTACTCTACATATATAGAATATAACGCCTCCGATAGTGTGTCCGGCAGGGATCGCTTGAGTGTGCACTTGACCATAGCTGCTGGGTAACCAGTATACAGATGTTGGTTTTACAAGCAGAATCTCAAAGTTCTCAATAATATGTTCTTCTTTGACGTATGGGACTGAAGGTACCAGGCTTTTGGTAGCCAGCTTTCCAATGCAAAGTTCACCTTCGACATACCCCCTGATAACCCATAGGGGGCTGCCTTCCTCTTCTCCTGCGACGAACGCCCGATGGGAGTACTTCATTGCTGTTGCTGCTGTAGCCGGTATCCATTCGATCATATCTGTGCATGCATTGAAGTTGGTCACAGTCAATTTACCTACAGTGTGAAAATTAGAGTCTGTTTTTCCGCAGTATAATATTTTTCTTTAGGAGTACAGAATTATCGCAAAACTAAGACAATACCAATTGAAAAAACGAAAAAAACTTGTTAGCAAAATTAAAATTCAACCGTGTAAAAACTCCATTAGTCTATTTTTCTTAACCGCAAAATTTTCTAGTTCAGAATCTTGTCGCGACCGTCACGGCAAACCGTAACACCAGTGTTATGGTGAGATTTTTTTTTACTAGACCGATGTCACTGAATTGAAACCAGCATATAGATGTACTCGCTGCTAACATGACAACCTTAATTGAGGCCATGAGAGCCATTGTGGCCTAACTCATTTTTTAACCATAGTGGCCTATCTTACTTAGGCCAGTATGGCACCTCAAATTTAAATCACAGACTAAAAACCGTAACAGTGATTATGCTGCCATCTAGTGAATATTCGTTGTATCACTTTTACACCACTCTGGTTCTATAAAAATGATCAATTTGAACTGGAAAAAATCATAAACGCAATATTGTAAAAAAATGAGTTAGGCCACTATGGTTCTCATGGTCTCAATTTATCATTCAAACGTTCGTTTTCTCTCTTTCTAGAAAGTGGTCATGTTTATGCGGACACAATCAATTTTCTATGCCTATGGAAAATGAATGTCATTCAAGTGAGTGTTGCCAATATTTTTAAAGTATTTTTATACTTTTATACCAATAACTTTGGCAGTTTGATTTTAACCTTAATTTACAATATGATATTAACGGTGATAACATGATGGTCAATCGGCGATACAGCATAGGGCCTCGTAATTCTTGAAACATAACTCTTCATGGCGGTATGGAATGTAGCAACAGCGATTCGTAGGATGTAACTTTCCAGGGGGCCAATCGCCTAACTGGATTGCTTTGGAAAACGCTATCGCTTACGATTTCATTTTGTTATTTCTAACCGCCGAAATACCTCACGCTCATTTTCTTTAACATTGTTATTACCAATGCAAAAGAAAAAAAAAGAGCGCGAGGCATTTGAAAACCTCAGGGGGCTAGAAATAACAAAATGAAATCGTAAGCGAAAGCGTTTTCCAAAGCAATCCAGTTAGGCGATTGGCCCCCAGGTATAAGAAAATCTTCGTGAGTAACTCTGCATATATACAAAGTAACGCCTCTGATAGTTTTTCCAGCAGGGATTGCTTTAAATGGCACTTGACCATTGCTTTCGGGTAGCCAGTATACAGCTGTTGGTTTGGCAAGCAAAATCTCAAAGTTCTCAACAATCTTTTCTCCGTGGTAAGGGATAGAAGCTACATGGCTTTTCACAACCAGCTTTCCAACGGAATGTTCGCCGTCATAATACGCCCTCACAGTCCATAGAGGGCTGCCTTCCTCTTCTCCTGTAACGAATGCTCGCTGGGAATAATTCATTGCTGTTACTGGTGTAGCCGATACCCATTCGATACCGTAGACACAGTTACTCATACAATTCCGACCACCACACCAAACATTAAAACCAATGTTACGGTGAGGATTTTTTTTCCCGGACCGGTCGAACCCTGCCACACGCATGTCACACCATTGAAATAAGTATCGACTTTGAAGTTATGTTGCCCTGTTACCTACATCGGATTTAATAAATTATAGTTAATTTATTTAGATTCCAGTAAGCCTAAAAGGTTTTCTTGTCCTATTTATTCTATTGTCAAGCGTTGTTGAACAAATAAGATCGTTTACTACTTCTTTTTTTGGTAAAACAAACTAGACCAGATGGTAATAACCCGAACAATGCTCCCACCAAAAGAGACCATTCATCCTCAAAAGTTTTTTTTTAGAATTCGCCTTAAAGTTCTGCGCTAGCTTTCCTTTACATACCAACAACTTATTTACTTGGTTATTGAAGTAATTCCCAACTGGAGTGAAAAATTGAGGCGTACCCAAATTCACACTGAACTTTGAATGCTTGACGGTGTGATTGTCGGGAAGAAAACCCCACCATAACACTTGTGTTAATGTTTGGTGTGACGGTGGATAATCACCTACATTTAAAATTTTAGTGAATAATGTATTTCCTGTTGGTTAGTAATTATCTTTTAGTAGTATACCATAATTATCACAATAGGTATCTTCTACTGACTGGAAAGTGAAAGCTGAAGCTCCTTGCCCTACAATTATTGCTACGAGTGTTCTATCAATCAATGGAAAATATCTCCTTGAAATAATGAAAAACAGGACTCCATTCTCCTTTTATGTAATAGAATATGGTTTAATCTACTCTCTTATAAACGGTTGTTTCCAGTATTTTCTTGTTTTTTTTTGCGAGTTTTGAATGTTATATCGACCTTTTTCTTTTTAATTTACATCGAAAGTAGAAAGGGCAATTTGTAAAACAAATAAAGTAGTACCTTAATTTAACCCTAATTATATAACAATATGGTGATCAATTAGTGATATAGCATAGGACCTCGTACTTCTGGATGCATAGCTCTTAACCGTGGTATGAAATATAACACTGTTGTAGAGGGTAAAACTTTTCACCTGTGAACCGGATATTATTTTTTACTTTTTAGTTATTTTATATTATTTTTTATTATAGTCTCGAGTTTGAGTCTGACATTGCAAAACAAAGCAGCCCTTGCTGAGTTTCTTGCCGGTTCTTCTCAGTACAAGGTCTCCCGCCGTAGTTTTGCGAACCGATGGCGTAGCTTTTCGACATTCACAAGTGCTTGTAACAGCCTAGACTGAATAAACGATATTGAATTTTGAATTTTTTGAATTTCATTTATATTTTATTATTTTCGTATTTTTTTTATAGTTGAATGAGCCTAATAATTCTACAGCCAGGCCGTGCGATCGCTTTCTCTATTTCTATTGGGTGGTCAAGTTTAATGTGGGTATTACACAAAACACATACTTTTAGTTCTTTTTGTTTGCATAATTTTACCAGTTCTTCTCAGAAGGGTCTCCCAATACTGGAACTAGTGGTAGTTTACGTTTGTTAGGGTCAAATAAATAATCTCAAAATTATAAAAAAAGAATTAAATACATTACTTTATTAATTCAATTAGCTAATCAATTCATACATAGACAATAAAGTTTGAAAATTAGTGCCTCTATATCGTTGAAACTTGTTTTATTCAATAAATGTAACTTATATATCTTTTATTTTGCCATACAGATTAATAAACGGATTCAAAACACAAAGTCAGTACCTTAATCTAAAATTTCATATTATCGGGGACAATATGGTGATCAATAGGCGATACTGCACAGGACTTCGTACTTCTTGATGGCGAAATGGAATGTGGCAGCAGCCTCTGGGGTTTAACTTTCCAAGTATAAGAAAATCTTTGTGAGTAACTCTGCATATGTACGAAGCAAAGCCTTTGATATTTCTCCCGGCAGGGAGCGCTTTTACGGGTACTTCACCATTGCTGCCGGATAACCAGTATACCGATGTTGGTTTGGCAAGCAGAATCTCGAAGTTTTCAATAATGTGTTCTTTGTTATTGAACCCGACAGAAGCTACAAGGTTTTTGATAGCCAGCTTTCCAGAGCAAAGTTCACCCTCGTAATACCCCCTGATAACCCATAGAGGGCTACCGTCCTCTTCTCCTGCGACAAACGCCCGATGGGAGTACTTCATAGCTATTGCTGGTGTAGCCGGGACCCATTCGATCACATCTGTGCATACATGGTAGTAAGAGTCACTATTTACCTACATTTTGAAATTTTAATAAATATTTTTCCCGCTGCGTAATAAATTCCTTTAATTGGTGAAATGAAGTTAAAGTAGTAAAGAATTATGATAAAAACTGATAAAATAACAATTAAAAAAAGGAGAACAAAACTTAAGAACATTGGTCTTAATGAGTTTTTAATATTATAAACGTGTTAGACAATTATTTTCTTATGATTGTGCTGAATTTTGCTGTAGAGATAGATGGGATCCTGGAGACGGTTATAGCACTTGAACGAATGAGACAAAGAAACAACGCTTCATTCTATTGCCCGTGTGTGAGGCGGTTAGCCAACGATTCAATCCACCCATGATTTCAATGTTGTAAGGTTGTAAGAAAGTATCTCAATTCTTATAAAAAAATCCGCTAACAACAACCACAAAAAAGGTAAATTTAAAAATCAAACATTACTTAAATGTACTTACCTAAATAAAAACTGAAAAGAAAAAACAAGCCCAGTAGTTATGTTAATTAAGGAACGAAGCTATTTTAACAGTCGGGGCACATTAAATATTCAAGAATGGAACTCTTTTTTCAATAATGGGTCCCGACTGTTAAAGTAGCTTCGTTCCTTACTTAACAGAACTACTGGGCTTGTTCTTCTTTTCAGTATTTATTTAAAGTAATGTTTAAGCAGTCGGTTTTTTTTTTATTGTGTTTCAAGTGTAAACGCTTTGTTACTAAAGCTGTCAGTGTAGCAAACAATGGTATATAAACTTAGCGTTAAAGTAGGTATTGTGAACTTCATAGTTATCTTAGGTTTTTTCGTGATAACTTATAGAAATAGTGATATAATTTATAGAAAATTACTCTTCCAAAAAAGGACATGACTCCTTTTACTCTGCCGTTTATACGGTTAACTTTTTAACTTTTATTTTGGCATAAGTACAGATTTATATACGGATAGTATCGATGACAATATGGATATTGATTGGTGATGCTGAGTAGCCGGCATTATATTCTAAGTGCCACACATATATAAATATATTTTATATTTGTCCCTATTTTTTAGAACATTTTAACTTTCATACATATTATTTCATAAACGGATTCAAAACCTCCCTACATTTAAAATATCATATTAACGGTGACAAATATAAATAATATGGTGATCAATTGGCAATACCACATAGGACCTCGTACTTTTTGAAAGAAAGCTCTTTGTGGCGGAATGGAATGTAACAATAGCCATCATTGGGGTTCAACTTTCCAGGTATAAGAAAGTCTTCGTGTGTGACTCTGCATATGTACAAGATAACGCCTCTGAGAGTTTTTCCTGCAGGGATTGCTTTAAAAGGCGCTCGACCATTGCTGTCGGGTAGCCAATATACAGATGTTGGTTTTGCAAGCAGAATCTCAAAGATCTCAATAAGATATTCTTTGTAACTGAACCCGATAGAAGCTATATGGCTTTTGATAGCCAGCTTTCCAGTGCAAAGTTCACCCTCGGCATACCCCCTGATGCACCAGAGAGGGCTGCCGTCTTCTTCTCCTGCGACGAACGCCCGCTGGGAGTAGTTCATTGCCGTCGCTGGTGTAGCCGGTACCCATTCGATCACGTCTATGCATACATTGGTTGTCACTTTAGACTCAGGTTAGTCACAGTCACTTTTACCTACATTTTGAATTTTTTATAGATGTTTTCCCTCAACGATTTTTTTTGTAATATAGAATATGGATCACTTCTACTGAAATAACAAAAAAAAAAGAAACGAAAACAAAGCTTACAATCATTGCTACGAGCCCTATCAATCAGTTGATTAATTTAAACGTTGAAAGGTTTTCGTATATGGACTATGTAACATGTGCGTATATGTTAAGTAATTGTATGAATAAATAAAACAAAATAAAAAGGTACCTAACCTACTCTGTAAGAGCATGAAAAACAGGACTTCAAAGTTATAAAGTTATTCGATTTTTTCCTTCATATAGACCATTGTTAAAACTTGCTTGCTGTTTTACAGTTGTTTCTTATGCTTTGGAGATGTTAATTTTATATTATTATTTTTTTTAATTTCCTTTCATACCTAGGATTAGAAAGGGCAAATCATTCTGCCGTGAAAAAACTTCGACTAAAATTTCATATCGTAGGTAGATAAAACATGCTTATTCAAAAACAGAGATGAGACATTTTAAAAATAGCAATATTTGAAATGCAAAATACAAAATACCTATTTCCCTCCCTTTATTTCCCTTTCTATTTGGATAGCTTGTCTAATAAATATGTATAAATCACTGTTTACCAATGCTAAGTAACTTTTATAAATATAATCACTTAGTTTATTTTTAAATCTTTTTCATCAATTAAATAATATAATTATCCTTACTATCTATACTACTATTATAAGACTTGTATGATTGTAACAAATAATCTCTCAAACTACTTAACCGATTTCGAAAACTTATTCACCATAAGGTAGCTGCATTATTTATTATATTTTGAAGCATTACTATCAATATCGTTGATTAATCTGCTCGATTTATAAATCTAAAAAAACTTTTACTTGAAAAAATCCTCTTTGACAACTTCTCCGAAATTTTTTTAGAAAATTTTATCTTACAACTTATAGTATATCCACTTGGATATACTATAAGTTAGCCTGTCACTTGACAGGCTATGTTTTATCCCGTTAAAATAAATTTCGCCCGTGCAATACTGGGGTGGATCACTAATATAATATCATAGATAAGAAAGTGAGTTTGTTTGTTACGCTTTCGCGCCGTAATGGCTAAATCAATTATGATGAATTTCCCTATAGAAATAGAAGTGACCTTGGTTCTAAGCTACATTATCGAAATACTTATAGGGGTAGGGTGATGGAAGGAGTGATTTATCTATAAAACTTAATATTATTTGCTTCTAATTTTCCAATAATTACAAAATCAACATTATCGCGAGCTGATTAATAAAGACAGGGAGTCCTTTAAGTATGTTCCTACTACCGAATTATAAGGTACTCCTCATTATGTTAAGTAACTCTTTAGTAACATTAAGTAATATCGTTAAAATAAACTTTGAAGACTTTTCATTAAATTTTAATAATCATAAATAACTATTATGATAATTTATTTTTCATCATTTAATATAACTTTATCTCAGCTTTATTGTATGTACTTCGTATAGGATTATATTACGATAATGCGAGTAGCCCATTTTTTCTTCTTTTCCTCCTAGGTTTTATCTACTTTTATAAACAACAAAATTCATCAAAATTTCTTCTCCCACCATTCCCACAGTCTACTACTGCATCACCGCGCCATCATAATCATAATCAAAATCATTTATTCAGTTTAGGCTGTTAGAAGCACTCATGAATTTCTAGAAGCTACGCCATCCCTTCGTAAATCTACGGCGGGAGTCCTTGTACAGAGAAGAACCGGCAAGAAACTCTACAAGGCTGTTTTTTCTCCCTGTTTTATTATTTACAGGGTCGTCAACTTGAAAAATGACTTCAAAGATGATTCATGAAGTCACCTTTCATTACATAGTGTGATATATACATTAATTGTTCACCTGCATTTTGATTGCTGTGTCATACAGTATAAATATTATTAGTGGTATTTATATGTATGTATAAGGCAGACTCGCGGCGGAGATCGCTGGCAGATTTCTTTGATCACTTATTTGAATTAAATAAAAACTAATAAAATAAACACAATTTAAAACTAAAGATATTTTATTCAATAAAGTATTTCGGAAATATGTATTTTGTATTTTAAATATAAAATAAAAAACTATTTTGTTTTGGAAATAAATAAAAAAAACTACATTTTGTACTTAAATACATTTAGATTTCTACTTTTTGCACATCTCTGTTCACAAAATCGTCTTACTCGTAAATTGACTTACCAGGTCTCTTCATATCTTCTCTAATTGCTCTTGGATCAAGAGCATTGTCGTTCTCTGTAAAGCGAAAAATAGTAACCTAATTATTATTATTCTATAAACTCCCACCCTACCTGTGGAGCAGTTATGTAAAATAAAGGGGCGTTATTATCAGTTCATAATGGTGTCGATTCTGGCATGATTCTCTAAACTAAAACTAAATTTAACATCAGTCTCCCCTTTCCATTATGTATAGAGAATGACAAGGATACACTGTTGCCAAATTTAATTTTAGCTTTAGAGAATAATGCCAGGTTTGACATCAATTATTGATGAAAATAAATGTCTGAAAATACTTAATTGATAGTTTGTACTCATTTTAATTCTTTTGTGTGCTTTCTCACCTGAAATTATTTCTTGGGGAGAATCCTTGGCCTCAATCCCAGATGAACTAATGTTCTCCTCGCTTAGATCTTGTTCCCCGGCTGAACCCATATCATCATCTGTATTTAGTTGAGATGGCTGAATGTCATATGGTGTTTCTGTATATTGTATAGCATTCTCGAAATTTTTCGATAAATGTTTATTTATGATGACAGGTAACCGGTTCAATAAGACGCCAGTTATGAATGAGTATGTGTCCAAGGATGGGAACGTCGGTCCACTGATGATCAGATTTCTGGAAAATAATTAAAAAAAAGTATTATTAGATTTTTTCTGTTATTTAATCATTATATTTTAAACGCCGTGAATTTTGAATTACCTGCGAAACTTAAAAATTATGTAAATAAAAGTAGTACGAACAGTTTTAAACAGTAAACATACTAAACCCCTATACAAAAATGTTGATTTATATCGTTTACATATCCTAAAATGGCGCAATTTTGTCAATAACTTACCTATTATGAAATTATTATCCGTTTAAAGCAGATAGATCTTAAAAGTAGATTTATTTAAATCAATTAGTGACATTTCAAATTGTTAAGGTTTCATAATTGCACAATTAGAGAGCGTGGAGCCATTATTTGAGAACATTAATTTAAATAAACGTTTTTTTTTTGTGGAAGTATTATCTAAATCGTCGTCGTCGTATAGTCTAAATCTAAATCGAAAGTAGCTAGTAAAATTCCTCATCAGGTAACTCGAAATTCACGGTGTATATCGTTATTATTTCAGATAAATACCTCCAAGAGCTCATCGCGATACTATTGTCTGTAGAATCATTTGTTTTTAGTTTTATGGGTTCCGAAATGTTTTCGTCGGTAGTACCGACTTGCATTGTTCCTTTGCATATTACATCTTGGATTTCACCAGAAAACATGAAATTCTGTTCAAATTCATCCATCCGTATGAAACCTAATCCGCGTATCTGAAAATCATCAGAAATTTAAATATATTGTAGCTCTTTCCCTCTGAATATATGTATAAAAAGAAACAGCACGCATATGACGTCGAACGGGTCTACAGATTAATCAAATTGTTTTTGTTTATTTTTTTATATAATTTTTATTATTATTGGATACATTTGCATCCATTTGATAAATTAGAATAACCTTAGGACAATTTCATAATTTAAATCGAAATCTTCTGACCTGAATGCCACTATACCGCAAATCTTCATAAATGTTGACTACATCAGTTTTCACTGGGCCACCAGTATGCCCGTTGTATGCGGAATCCAAACCGCTTATTGTCATGTTAGTTAAACTAACAATATATGACTCTACTTTTTGGTTAATCTGAAACAATGATAATTCTCGTTATTTGTTAGGATATTATTGTGTTTCACACACCGTCTTCTTATATTACTGCAATTTTTGCATATATAAAGAACGACCATCAACTTCGATAAATGATTGGTCTCCCCTCGGTCGACGCAGGGAGACCAATGGGAGAAGAAAAAACGTCCAGTGCTTTTTTTCTATATACACACATTGATGATTTATAAATGAAATATCTGCTAAACTATTACAATAGTTTTTCGGCAGAGTTCCCGTGGATAATGACTAATTACAAATGACTTACAATGTCTTACTTCTGCTATAGCAAATTAAGCTAATTGAACAAAACAAATTGTTATAATTACTACTGATAAGTAATATATACTGTTTATGTTACTTATATTATAAAGAAAAATTTATATGACCTTACAAATTATAACATCAAAAATGATATGACCACTACATTCGTGTTGTGCTCATATCATTTTTGATGTTAGGATATAATAATATGCGCATGCATGTTTCGACATGCATGTGCATATTATAATATCCCAACAATCTTATAGATACGAAAGTATGTATAGATGTTTGTTAATCTTTTAAGCCAAAACAAGTTGAAACAAATCCGGATGAAATTTTGCACTAAAATAGTTTATCACCTAGAAGACCAACACAAAGGATACTTTTTAACCAGGAAAAATGTTAGATTCCTGTGATATTCTCAAAAAACTAATGTTTACGCAGACTAAGTCGCAGGTGGTCACTAGTAATATTATAAATGTTAAAGTATGTATGTTTGTTAATCAATCACTCAAAAATGGCTGAACGGATTTAGATGAAACTCGGCAGTCATATAGTTTTTGATCTGGAATGAGACATAGGTTACTCTTGAACCCGAAATAATGGTATATTCCTATGGGACTTCATAAACAGTAACCATAACGCGGACGATCTCAAAGGCATAGGGAGAAGCGATTCAAAAATCATCTCCTGACATCTCTGTCACTGAGCGTTATTACATTTAAGCGCCTTAGAAAAACGGTTGTCTTTTTTTTCAAACGAACGCTAAGGCTAACTTTAAAAAATAAAATTGAGCTAAAACTTTTTAATTATATATTGCAAGCTTCTAATTCCATGCAATAAATCAATTTATTTAGTTACATGCAGCTTTCGACGTGTTTTCGACTTATTTGTTTATCGCCCAATTTCAAACTGATTGCATAGCATTACCGTTCAAATGCATAGAAGAATATTCATTCCTCTGTCATTGTTTATAGAACAAAAGTAAAACTAGTGGTATAAAACTATGTCATTGCTCAGTGTCATTGAATCCATTACATTTTCAAACCAAACAAATATTTTATAAATTTTATTTATTTTTTGAATGGTATTTTTATTCTTGATTATATTGCACGCCTCACAATGTGTAGCGTGTGGGAGTGATTTACTCTCGACTCTCGATAGGCCGCCGCTATGTGACGATTTTACAATATAAAATCGCTCTCATCTCTCAAGTTAGACACTAATTCAATAAAAAAGGGGTGTTTTGAAAACTAGACATATTAAATTATAAAGTCAGCGTATTTTTAATTTTTTTTTAGTATATATAACTAAAAAAATATTAGTACTGCTGTCCGTTGGTCTGTGCACTTGTTTGTCTGCACGTTGTAGAAAAATATACGCAATTAATTGTAATAAATCATTTTGAATTAATTTCCAATTATACTGAGGATGAACTCCATTTCTTATCATGATTGAACTGATAACGGTTTTAAAGATATTAATGAAATTCAATGGAATTTATTTACTGGATTTCTGTTTCATGAATGTGAGGCGTGCACTTTTGGATTTTCCAAATTTTTCATTATATGCAAGAAAAAATTAAAATAATTTAGGTACTTAAACTGTAATTAGAACCAAATCAATGTGAGGTTATTTTAAGATTTTATCACATACTTATTTCTTTGATGAACGTAGATACGTTCTGTATAATTTTGTCCTCTGCCTTGAGTGGCCTTTTATCTTGAGATCCAGAATTACCTACTACGCGTTCGCTTCGAGTTGGTCGCTCTCACCCTCCCCGCCTCACCACACCGCGCTCCTGGAGAGACCCTATTAGTCTACCCTATTGGCAGACGGTACCAGTCGATGTTACTGTGATTGGCCTGTGACACATTTTGTAATGATCGTCGACGGCCAAATCAAAGCAAACAAGTAGTATATGAGCAGATTTTTTTTTTTATCATTTTAAGAGTGTTTACCTTATCCTGCCAAGTTATTCTGTAATTTCTCCATTCTTCTGAAGCAATATTCTTTTCAGTTGTCAATTTATTTAAATTTCTTATAACTTCAGTTTCGTAATCATTGACATTTCTAAAAATTCTACGTTGCAGCTTCCTGTAAAATAAAAATAATAATAACACAGGACACACTTTGATAACAATAATTAAAAATATCGGTAAACAGTAACAGTGTCATGTTATATACTGTCGATATTTCATTTGTAGAACTTCATGTTGTAGAACTTACCGAACCTCTGGTAAGAGGCTTCCTAGAGCGAGGGTGGGGTTCACACAGCTGTGCACAGCTGCTTGGAGCTTTACCATCAGTTCGGTACGCAACGTCGTCATGAGAAGCCGTTCCAGTTGTACTCCTGAAATGGTTTTCCTTCTATCATCATCATCAAGCTATTATTGTCCCCACTGCTGGGGTACAGGTCTACCCTATGGATGGAGTAGGGAGATTTACCCGTGCCCCACCACGCAGACCCAGTGTGCGGGCTCCAACGTGCCTTCTGAAGTACGGAGGCGCTCGAGAAAATAAATGTTTTGGTCACCCATCCAATGTGCTATAAATAATGTTACGGAACCTTTCATGCGCTAGTCTGAAGTCTTGGCTGTTTTTTCTTTTCCTTTCTGAGGCTAAGGAGTTTAAAAAAGAGTTCCAACTAACAGAAAAGCTAAATAATACAGAGTTCCTACACATAAAATGATATCATACAAACTCGTTAACAGTCATCGAATCTCAGCGTACTGATTAATATTTACCTTGTTCGTTTGAGAAGTAGGGAACTATCAGAGGGGGAGAACCAAGCCCTGGAGTAGATATCTGAAATGGAGACGTGTTCATACTATACATGAGCACTTCGTTGTCAACCTATTAATGTCACCACTACTAAGGTACACACAGCTATTGATTTGTCTATTCCGTAGAATATTAACAGTAGGTACCCTTAGCAAGAACCAATATCGAATTCGAATAGTTTGCGAGCGCGAAATGTCAATGTCAAATTTTGTATGGAAACTTGCACAGCAGCGCCACAAAGTACGTAACGAGAACTAAAAATCAGTACACATTTGACACTGACATTTCAAACTCGCAAACTATTCGAATTCGATATTGGTTCGTGCTAAGGCTACAGTTCTCTGGATTTTTTTCCAGTTACCCCAGATTTCTAAAATCTTTGCTTGATTTAAAATCATCGCCATGTTCAGAGGCATATTTACCCTAGGGCCAAAAGGGTCATAACCCGGAGTGGCAAGGGGCGGCTGTAGGAGCTGTGAGGGCCGGCAAAAACCGTTACTGACCTACCTATATTTTAATTTGATTTAATAATTCTATGGGGAGTGCAGATCGTAATTGACGTGGGGCAAAAGATTTGTATATAAGCCCCTGGTCATGTTGACATTGCCATTGTCACCAACGTTTACGATAATACATAGACAGAGAATGGACTCATAAGACCTGTACGAACTACGATCGCTTCGTCTTCCTCTCGTTCTTATGTGTCCAGTTTTAATTTTCAGTTGGATAGGGACGCTCAGTTTATGTTCTCTAATACCAAGTTTACATTCAGCTCATTTGCGCAGCGGAGGTTACTTCCTCAGACAGGCGCGGTCCAATAAAAATTATATACCTACATATATTAAAGTTGTTATAGTTACTAAACTTTCTTGATTTCACGGCTTTAAATTCTGGCGGTGTCAATAAATCTTTATTAGGTGTCACGCACTTATGTGTGTGATACGCATACATAACATGGCCATATAAAACCTGGCCTGTTTTTATCGCATCGCTGAAGGTGACGCTCTATCTAGAGAGTAAAAAATCAAAGGTAAATTCATTAGAACGTGACAGAAAACTTAAGGTTTCTTCTACGCTTTAAAAACATCTACTCGTACCATTTCAACACGAACTGTACAATTTCCAACATAAAGAGAATCTGTCCTAATGTTTATTTGTTCTATAGCGAATAAGGCCAATTACCTCAATACTAAACTTGCAGTTGGTTAGCTCGAAATTTTCATACCCCAAGTTAACTGACTCGCCCTGAAGCGTTGCTACGGCGTCTCCGAATAAATTGCAGTATTCCGCTATAATGCTGATGAAAAAGGAATTTTTTGATCATCACAATGAATACACATAACACGAAACTAATGCACAATGAAAATATCAATCTAATTTTGTTTGTTTTTTCCATAAGTCACAATATGTAGAGACTATATAGTTCCCGCATAGCTCCAAGAATTTCAATAAAAATGTATAATCATATAAGCCATACTCGTTGTCTTGGAGCAATTCAGGTGTAATTAATACAAAATAATTTAATTGAAATATGCTAAGAGTAGCCTAGCAAATTTTCGATTAAATTAATTGTATTGTATTATATATATAATAAAATATATTTTCAGTACCTGGATTGAGACATAGACATTTTATCCCGAGAAAATATTAAGTTTCTGAGGGATTCAAAAAAAAACTAAAGTTAACGCGGACGAAGTCGCGGGCGGTTGCTATTTTATTATGATTTTACATATTAATTATTTACATTGCGAAAAAATGTGTTTCAAAAAGTTAAGTTTTGGCGGCAATAAAAATATATTTTTTTCTTGCAAAGAGCTAACCAACTTATATAGCTCCAATTTAAAAATGGAATATGGCTCTGCGTGATCAGCTTCATTTCAGTATTATATACTCACGTGGCCTGCCCTTTCGTTTGCACCTGTTGTCGGGCAAAAGGGGAGCTAACCTCCTCCTCCTCCTTATTGGAAGGATACACGACATCGTTGAAGCTTCTGAAGAGCAGATAACTCGAGTCGATGAACATCTTGCTCACTGACGTCTGCACTCTGAGCACGTTCGACGCTAAGGGGAACCACACTCGGGGGTTCCTCAGATAAGGATATTGAGTCAGATGCATATCTCTGAAGAGGCTGTTAACACAGAATTTACCCAAGTTAACATCATAATTTTATTTTTATTAAGCGTAGAACACGCTTTAGTGAGGAGCGAATCAAATTTGCGTCGCTCCTCTCTCAATATGATTTGTAGCATAGGAAAACAAATTATTACTTATTAACAATATATGAAAAATTGATTTTTAATAATGTTTCAGTAAATCAAACTCAAAAAACATGAAGTTTTAGAACGTGCTTTATCATAGCAGAGGGCGTCGTATTTTCAGAAAATTACTGCTCTGAATGACGTACGAATAAATGTAAAAAAAGTTAAACTAGACTAAAAGACAAGCGATGGTGGCATTCTTTTCGTCTGAGGGTAGGTAGCCATTGCCTACAGATGTGCGTAGCCCAGGGCGGCACTGGCGGCAGGCTGCGAGGGTCTGCAGAAACCACATAAAGCTATTCATTACCGATCTTTATTTTTATGTGATTTATTAATTCTAAGGGGGTGTGCAAATTGTAAGTGACAGTGTTTAAAATACGCCCCTAAGTACTACTTGTGTAGGCTACACAAATGTTTGTCTAGTGCTTATCAACATTTTAACAGCAGTGTAGGGTGGGCCCACCATTTTAGGCGGAGTATTGCAATCACTTCTCTAGGCTGGCGAATTTGATCGAAGGAATTTCTAACTTTGCAAAAAATTACATAGGTAATGTAGGAAATTCAACACTCACACATTGACCACCTTGTCGTTGATGAGAAAACCATCTGACACCTTGTGTGTATCATCAACGCTTTTGATGTAGACGTTAAGTCCTGCTTTTCCAAATGTCTCCTTGATTGCCTACAACATGACCAAAGTTTTATTTATCTTCATCAGATTTAATTAAATTAAGCTACTAGAATGTGTTATTATTATTCATAAAAAAATACATTGAGTTCGTTGTTTAGATTGAGACAACAAAGACATCTCGGGATTTTATTGTTAAAAAAACTTTTAGGCAACATATTAAACCGCCGCAGAAAATAATAAACCCTTTTTATCTGGTCAAATTAACAGGAATCGGAGTCGGTGCCGTACATGTCTGATAGATCTGAGTTCCCATTTACTACTTGGGTTGGCATTTCACATTATTTTTTGCTTTTCAGTTTCTTCGGTGATTTAATTCTTTTGCTAAAAAGTTTCATTTTGTTTATTTTTTGTGGCTTTTATTTTTGTTATATACAACTCGGCATCAAAATCGGTAAGTGAGCAATCACCGCTGTTTCCCCATACTTAGGGTAGGATTTTTGTTTCCAAATTTATCTAGGACCAATTTTAAGGTATGCCCTATCCAATTAAAATCGGCCAAGTTACTTGTCATGTCATGCGCAGTATAGGATTCCGTAGTTTTTTTTTTTATAGCCAGGTAGGCAAATGATAAATATTTTAGTGTTTTTTTTTATTATTTGTTTATCATTTCAAGGTCTCACGGGATATAAGCAAGCAATTACTTCATCTAAGTCACTTTTAATGTGTTCTTCTAAGAATTCTTTATAAGTCTGGTCATCATTCGTGAGAACGAATCACAAATGCTATAGTGAATTCAGATTTCCTACAAACAGTTCCGAAATACCACACTTCAAAAGTGCCTGTTTTTTTTTAAATTTTTACATAATACAATAACTAGAGATATATCCTTAAAACTAAAGTCGATATGACTAGTTATTAGTATTAGACAAATTGTAACCAATACTCTTCGTAGATTAGTTTTTTTAGTGCAATGACGGTCAGAAACGGGAACCAACAGTTTTAGGGCGAACTCAACGCTGACGTTTAAGTTAGTTACTCTAAATTCATGACCTTACCAGTTCTAATGAATTTTCCACAGAAGCTCTGTGAACTTCCCATTTTTCATGGAAAGAACGAATGTTTTCTGCAATCAATATCACATAAATACTTAAATACATGATCGTTTTCAAACCTGTGCGCACATTGCACTGATTTGTAGTAAGAATATCCTGAGACAGTTACAAACATTTTTCTTCATAAAGTCAAAACGAATACGGACATTATACCAAAATATTGAAATTAATAACAAGTTCGATCCAACCAATGCGGCAATAAAAAAACTAAGAAACCAATTTCGACACAATGCCATTTGAAAAGCGGTCTGACAGGTCTTTAAAGAAATTCTCCTATAACTTCACACCATATCTGTTCACGTAGTGCCGTTCTCCTTATACCGTCCATAAGATTGACCGTAGCATGTAGGAACGTTGATGGGCTGATGATGATAACATGATGATGAGAAGTCTTCGTACTATTAAAGCTAGTTAAGCAACGTTTTAGTATCGAGCAATTAAACTGCATTTACATAAAATTTTACAATTAGAAATAACTTAATTGAGTCAACTTAAAAGTAAGTACCAAGTACCTACTCACCATCACGAAAGTAATTGTCCACCTCTTGAGAAATTTTATTCGAAATACCAAAAGTACCTTTTCCACAGTTAATTAATAAGAATAAATAAAATATATACATTTTTATTAAAAAGATCAATTCCCCATGCCCACACGGAAAATTAGTACCTACAAAGGAATTTACAACGGGAACAATAAACTAAAATTGATTTATGCTTTGTAATAAAAGTCAATATCCATACGACATGAGACTGGAAAAATAAATTAAAAATTAAATTAACGGAATTTCTTAGATAAGAATCATGAATTGGCGGAATAGTTTTTTAAACTCTTAGAAAACTTTCCAGGTTCTTATGCAATATCCTGTTAACATTGGCAGAAATGTTTCATAAGATATTGTTAACCGTGTTATGTTTTTATTCGTTTTCATTTATAGCCCATAGCAAGCTGGCAATAAAGAGAAGTAGATTTGGTGAGTCGCTATTTGCTATGCCTATTTCTTTATCTCGAACCCTTTTTTCTGCACAAAATTCTACAAAACGAAAAATACTATAATTAAAAATTTTAAAAATGTAATAAAACTACCTGACTTGACAATAATATCTCATTTGGTACACTAACTTAAAACGCATGCAGCAAGTAGGTACTAAGAGTAGAACTTTTGGTCTTTTGAAACTATGGTTAGATCAAGAGGTTAGAATAAAAACTTTGTTAGATCATCCAATGGGAAAAATTTTTCAAATCAGTTACATCATGGATCCGACCAATGGATTTTCTGAGATATTTTGAGTCTTTATTTTCTATATCGGAAATTAGAAAAACCAATTAATATCAGTCTATGTATCTCAACTAAAGTACTCAAATCAAAGTCAAACTGCGTCTCAAACTCAAAATTAATTCGTTATTATTCGTATGTAAAAAAATAATAATTTCGAATTTATTTACATACGAATAATAACCGCTGTTTTTTTTGTTTCCTCCCAGGCGGGGAAGCGGGTGGGAAATCCTCATAAATACCCTACAGCTGGCTACAAGGTCATGTCAGACTCTTACTGACTAAAAGCTTCATCTGAAGCGATCATTCCCTTAGAAGGGGATGATACGATATAACCGCCGATCTTTTCAAGTGCTTGTATACCTTTTATTTAAACGTAACATTAGCGCGACTCAGAAGCCGTTAGTACTCGCGGTAGCGTTGTGGAACTAATGATATTTTATTGTGGTTTTTATATAGTTTTTTTTAGATTGTGTTGCAATGGAAGGCTTTATGCTACAATAACTTCATCTATGTTACTATTAATGTTTTCTTCTAAACAATTTTCAGTAGGTAAGAAATTTTCTTTAACAAAAGTTCATGAAAAGTACTATTATCATGATTTCTTCCAGGTTTTCAAGCCAATAGATTAGCTTTTTGAGGGGGAGAGAGGGGAACGCTCTACTCGAATAAAAATTAATACTTTAAAGTTCAATATTCCGGAAACAGATCCCTAAATCGAAAAATAAATCTAAGTAATTTTAAAGGACCTATTTCACGATACCCCACACAATAGGGTAGACTACAGACTATATACATTTACATTTTTCAAAATTATATCCTAGCATTTTGTTTTCGTGATATATCCTTTAATTGACTACATCGCATTATAATGCGATGTAGCCAAATAAAGATCTAGTTATAACTAGATCTTTATTTGGCCTCATCAATTAATGACAAGAACGCAAAATGACTAGATCTTTATTTGACCACATCTCATAACAACTAGGTTGCAAAATGACTAGATAGGATGATTGACTACATATAGTTTGTTCAGGAAACATTATAATAAGTTGCCATCTATATATCATCTATTGCGTAACAGCTTCCAAAAATACATTGTCATACTTTGTTAGCCCCTTGTGCGCTTAATGTTTTTATTTTACTTCAGTCAGATCATCAACTGTGTAAAAAAAAACGAGCGAGCCTCACAGTAGTCGCGTATGATGTGTAACATTTGAAACCTTATCTTATATTAGTAGAAAGAAAAACCTACTACAAAAGGAATAAGACATATGACATTATGTTCTAAAATCAAATCAAATAGCGCGCGCTTTCGCGACTTCCTGTTACACACTTCCGACCCATTTCACGAAATCACTCCTAAAAATTACAGGAAAGCGAAAGGAAAGATGTTACACGTCAATAAATTGCATAAATTTCCAGATACGTATGGAATTCGTAGCGCATCACCCTTTTACGAGAACGCACGTGTCAAAAGCAAGAAAGCGTTACGGAATGAAGAAGACGGGTGTTGGATAACGATGGACGCAAGTAAACACTTCCAGGCCATGGAGGAATTGGAAAGTACGATGACAAAAACAATAGCGAAATTTCACCCAATTATCTTTTCTATGTTAAAATGTTTCAGTGGAAATCACTCGATTGTAACTCTTTTTCTACTAGTACCCCATTTTGACTTTTTTCCCGGTACTTATTTGGATCATTTGCTAATTAATTATATTACATTTAAACAATCACTAATGCACACCGATAAGTAACCACAAAGTATCCAAAATTCTTAATCTAGCATAGAGGTACGAAGTGGATTTCTTAAGAAAATGAGAGTTTCGAAATACTTTTCCTCTGCTTACTCTAAATGTGGATTTTTACAAATCTATTCTCAAGAAATTTTACGTCATGGATACTCCCTTAAACTATTATTAATAAAGTACTTTTGTAGTAAATACCTATCGTTCTTAACCAACGATTTATAAACTAGTATCCGATATCTGCCTAGTTTGAATAAAGTTTTTCAGATTAAACTCAAACTTTAATCACCCTTAATTGTTAGTCTATTTCAATTCAGCTATTAGAGAAATGCTTTTTTTTTGATATTTATTCGAAACTTTACCTACTACACCTTCGTAAATGTTACTTTTTCACTATGCGCTAACTACGCTGTGTTTTACACGCACAGTTATTGAAGATAATAAGAATTGAGGGTTACCTACAATGCGAAGAGATACTAGAAGAAGAACTACTAGAAGCAATTCTACACGGCCCTTAAGGTCGTGGTAAGATAATTTATGGTCAGTGCATCTGCCCGGATAGCGGAGGGTGCGGGTTCGAGTCCCGTCTGCCAGCCTTCCTGGACCGCGTGGATTATTTTTAGAAACATTTTATTAAATTAATTTTCTGCGTAGTCAAGACTCACGCTGAGCAGTCTCGGTGAACTTTCAGGTACAAATCGGAAAGTTCGAGAACAATGCCCAGAGTCAGCTGTCAATGAAACTGCGAAATTTGACAAATATACCCTTGACGTACGTATATTGTATTAACTAATATCTAATTTAATAGATTTCTTTAATACAAAAAGCCTGACTTTAACCTGAGAAATCATGTTGTGATCTTCCAGTCTTTTAAAATTACCAAAAATTACAACCGTTCCACAGTAAATTGCGTATTTTCTAATGTCTTTAATTCATATGTGAAAAGAATCCCTTTTCAGTAGCAACAACAAAAAACCTTGAACCTTGCAAAAACCAAGCTAGTTCAAAAGCTCACCTAATAAACTGATTTTCCTGCATGTCTCCTGGCATTATCTTCTATACTTATAATAAATCTGTAGAGAGGTCAATTCTGTACATGAAATATATTTTCAAAATAACTATCAGGGGGTGATTAGTGATCGATACTGATGCCAAAAATGCAATCAGTAAAATTTTTGTCTGTCTGTCTGTCTGTGTGTATGTTCCTTATAGAAACAAAAACTACTCGACGGATTTTAACGAAACTTGGTACAATTATTCTTCATACTCCTGGGCAGGTTATAGTATACTTTTCATCACTACAATAACATACTACAATCAATAGCAGCAGAGTAGTGAAGGGAAATGTTGGGAAAACGGGAGAAGTTACTCCATTTTTTAAGCTTCCGTCGCGTGTGCAGCCTTAATGGTTAAAGTTACATAGAAATCATGTATGACGGAAATATTCCACATAAAATTGTCTAAAAAATATCCCGCAACAGCATATGTCTATCTTTTATGGTTGACTCACAATAACACGTGTAATTATATAAATAAAGTCATTGTTTATAGCACAAGTCTGAGAACAAAAACTATAGTTTACACTACAGTTCTACACCGAAGCGAAGCGAGGGCGGGCCACTAGTTACTAATAATTTCAAATCAACATCGCTTACAGCACATGCTCGCATCGCGTACAAGATTCGCTGGTAAAGGTCAAATCTATGAAGAAATACCAGCTGGCCTCAACCTCGGTGGCTACAGCATATTGAGGATGGCCAAATCTCTTCTGTAAGTAACTAAAAGTTTTGCCACCTACTAAGGTCGGGTGGTACAATTAATCCCCAGCGCTTTTAAGAATAAGAACTGTACTAGCGGCTGAATCTTTCATTTTTCCAGGTTAAAGAATATGCTAAACCTGAACTATATGCATACCAAATTTAATCCAAATCCATGCAGTAGTGATTTTTGCGTGATTGAGTTACAAGCATACAAACTTTCACATATATATAAGTAGGATATGTCCAGAATAATAGCCTAAATACGTAATGACCATCCGTTCTGTCAGCCATATAAAAAAACCCGGAATGGTCAATAAGAGAGAGCTCTTGGCGCATCATTGTCGCTGAAATCCTATTACTTCCTATCCTTCATAGCGCCATAAAATTCCTCCACGGTACATGTAATATAATGACCAATAATATGCTCCTCATAACCTAAAGTGGCTGTTGTTCAGATCGGTAGTCGAAAAAAGGAACGCAAAACATAAATTAGTTTAGGATGGCTGAAAAAAAGTTGGTTGTGAGTCCAGGGGGCCAATCGCCTAACGGAAATGCTTTGGGAAACGCTAACGCTTACGATTTTATATTGTTATTTCTAGCCGCCTGAGGTTTTCGAATACCTCACGCTCATTTTTTTTAATATTGTTATTACCAATGCAAAAGAAAAAGAAAGAACGCGAGGCATTTGAATACCTCAGGCGGCTAGAAATAACAAAATAAAATCGTAAGCGTTAGCGTTTTCCAAAGCATTTCCGTTAGGCGATTGGCCCCCTTGACCCACTTTGCACTAGGCCGCGTACTCAGCCCCCATGCGCGAGCCATCCTGTGCACGTCTGCGGGCTCTCCGCAATACCTCGGGAGACTCCTGCCGTGGATCCCCAGCAGGAAGCTGCTGGGTGCGGAGTCGTGGTAGAATCCCTAAACGGGGACCCCGCGGCTTCGCATTAAGCAGTGTAGAAGGTACTCGCAGGACTTTTTTAGTGGATATTATGCCGTAAAGCGCCCGTAAGAGTTGCGGGGTCCTCGGTGGGCAGCCACTGGGGGGTCCGTAAGACTTGCGGGGGCCAGGTGTGAGATCCGTTCGGCGGTGTGCCTCTTAAAGGCACCGTCGGCTGTAAAAAGCATTTTCATCCCACCACCTCGGAAAGTGTAATTTTGCGCTTCGAAATCTGGCTGGAAAATTCTATTTTATTCGCTTGAGCGGCAAAGTAGATTTGAATTTAGAACATCACATATAATGAGTACTCAATATAATTGTAAATTCAAAACGTCATTAAACCTATTTAATGTAACCTCTATGGTGCCAAATTTATGATTAGAACTTTTTAAATTGTGAAAAAATTTAAATTTGGAACCTTCTTGGTTTCTTTGTTTTATTTGCGTGCTTCGCGCCATTCTAGTTTTTCACGTTTTATTGCTTAATATAATTAACATAACCTAAAAACTGTACAAAAAAATCAACTAAAATGAGTGACATTAGCGACGATGAAGTTTATCTAACGCCAACTGAGTTAACTGAAACAGTTAATAATGCGCAAATGAGCCTTCTCCCTCAGCAATCACGAGAGAAGTATTTGAAACAGTACGATATATTTAACATGTGGCGACTAGCTAAAGGAGCAAAAACTTTCTCCGAAAACGTTTTGCTGGCATATTTTATAGAATTATCTGAGACCAAGAAAGCAAGCACGCTATGGAGTACGTATTCAATGCTAAAATTAACAATTAAGATGAAGAAAGACGTTCATATCGACACCTATCATAAATTAGTGGCATTTTTAAAAAGAGCCTCATCTGGTTATAAACCAAAAAAATCGAAGGTTTTCACAGCATCTGAAATTGCAAAGTTTATTAATGAAGCACCTGATTCCGTATATTTAGCGGCAAAAGTAAGTCAATACGTGTAATTTTTTGTTGTTGATAAAATTGTACATAGTACTTACAATATTTTTAATTTGATTAATTTATTTACGATTATAAATACTTCTTTTGTTACAGGTTGTTCTTATTATTGGTATAACCGGAGCATGTCGAACAAATGAACTTACACTACTTAATGTCAATAACGTATCAAAATATTCTCATAATTCTGATGAATTGCTATTAATTAATGTACTAAATACCAAGACAAAAAAAGACCGCAACTTCGTTATTCGCAAGGAATATGTAAACATTGTTCAGAAATATCAAGCTTTACGTCCTTCTAACACCCCAATTGAACGATTTTTTCTACAATATCGCAACGGAAAGTGTATCCGACAACCTATGGGTCAGAATAAAATTGGCAGTATTCCACGAGAAATAGCAACTTTTCTCGGACTTTTAGAACCCCCGTTATACACCGGTCACTGTTTTAGAAGAACCTCAGCCACACTTTTGGCCGAATCAGGGGCTGATCTTCTATCGCTTAAGCGCCATGGAGGCTGGAAGTCTAATTCGGTTGTAGAGGGATACATAGAGGATTCAATCCAAAGTAAATCAAAAATTTGTAATAGTATCGTGGAGGCCATAACGCTGAAAGAACCTCTGTCAGATTCTTGGTCTCGCCCTTCTACATCTAAAATGAGCCCCCATAAGATTGGAAACAATAGCCCTCTCTCGCCAACATTTACGCCAATAGAATCCAATGAATCGGCACAACTATTTAAAATTACTGATACGAGTAGTTTACCACAAAACAGCGCACAATTCACAAACACCAACATAACATTACCTAACAAAAATATTAAACTTAACATAAGTAACTGTAGCAACGTTACATTTAATATTTCTTAATTATTTTCTACTTCTTATTATTTTCTTCAATTTATAGATTATCTTAATGTGTTTTAATTGAAATAAAAATATTTTGTCATTATAAATTGTTTTCTTTTTCATTTTGTCATTTCCTCGCTGAGGTGGGATGAAAAGTTACGTATTGCACTCGAGTGGAAAGATTTTTCACCTTGTGCTCGTTTGTTTCCCTCGCTGACGCTCAGGATTCTAATTTAGAAACACTCGCTGCGCTCGTGATTCAACTTTAGAATCCTTCGCTTGCTCGGTCATCCAAATCGAGCACGCGGTTAAAAAGGAACTTTCCACTCTTGTATAATAAATAACTATTTTTACCTGCGTTATAAAAAAAAAGGTATGACCCACTTTGGCTGAGCCATTTCCTATTTTCTTTTTCAGTAAACTATTCAAAGCGCAATAACCACAATAAATAAGTCCTAGAAAAGTGATTCCTTAACTTTTTACAGTCAAACAATATGTTAGCATAAAAAATATAATTTGATAAGTATTCAAATATCACTTTCTTATCTTCCTCCCCTAAGGTAAGGTAAGGTGTGCCTGTAACTCATTTTAAGAAACCCTATCCAAGCAAGTTTATGTTATGGGTTAGTCATTCTTGTTAGCGAGCAACAATTGTTTATAGGTGAAAATCTGACCAATGCGAAATATGGTATCATAATTTGGTGTAGCTTTAGGGATACTAATTACGCTATATGACATGTAATATAATATTACATAGCAAATAAATGACTGTAAGCTTAAACTATTTCACCAGGTTTTTCCATCGCATGAAGCTGCGGAACATGACAAGGTTCATCATCTACTCGCTTCAGACAGATTTAGGAAATATGACGATTAATGCGAACCTGAACCTTCAAGACCTACACTTAATGGGCTCCTACGAACGTGCAATCGAGGGTCAGGATATCAATGATCTGAAATACGTCCCTACCTATGGAATGGCTCAGTAAGCATCTTTGGCATGACCATTTTAATATCTAAACTTCTTATTTCATTTGTGAATCACAACTGCACAACACAACTATTTTGCATATTCTAATATTTTCCCTACCACATTGCCATCAAATAGTATTACAAACTTTCTGGTGGTCCACCAAACCCGATGTGACACTATACTTTTGCTGTGAAACAATGATATAAAATATCTAGAGCCATTACAGACTAGCTTTTTTTCTGCGCGTGGTTGTTTCGGTATACGCGCTTTCAAGCGCGCTACATGACGCGCTTCAAAAAATCGGACTCGCGTATACGAGTATATTTCGGCATGTTCGCTCGAACCAGTAGTAATCTTTATCGTGGTTCACGCTAGACGAGCATACAGGCGCGTCAATGCTCGTACGAGTTGCGCATATAGCAAAATGAGCACATGTAGGCACATGCGCTTCCAAAAACGAGCTTATATGCGACTATAAAACTCTAGTCTGAAACCGCCCCTATTCGGCGCGATGACGCTTGGAATGACATACTCATACTTGAGCTTTTGTTAGCCGTTCACTAGACTCTTGGCTTATTAATATTTGGTAAATTACACACCAATATTGATCCTTATCATGCTCTCTAAGGAATGAAGAGGAGAGTACTTAATTTAAAATAGCAAAAACGATTTAGCCATTTAAATTTCCAGCAATATAATATGCACCGTCATTTGGTCAACACATGTGAGAACTCCGTCTTGGATAACTTGAGCACCTGTACCAAATTTTTATTAAAATTTTCATTTGTTTCCTGGCAGGTAATCATAACTATTTACTAAGTCATATATTTTATAATTTTTCATTATTTTTATATACAAATCGCGTAAACTACAAAACTTAGTTCTAACTAAAGTTTACAAATCGTAAACTTAGTTGTTACGGCAGAAAAGTTTGCCACTTCAGCCATGCTGACTTTGCTGATTTGCCTTTTACGATTGCTAAAGTGATATTTTATTAATACAGGATCCTCTTGAAGAACGTGGAGTATAGGCTGGAGGGTAGACTGCGGTTCTTGCACGACAACCTTTACATTGTTTTGGTGTCATCATCGTTGAACTTCGACAAAGCACTTCTCATGGTAACATCCATAAAGATTTCAAAAATGTTCATATGCAAAGTTTAATAAATTTAAATCTAAAGAAATTTTCTTTAGATTTACTAGAAAAAAACACGTGGTCCAGGCAGCAGACGGGACTCGAATTCGCACCCGCCGCTATCCGGGGCGGATGCACTGACCAATTATGCGACTGCGAGGATAATGGCAGTTTCATGAGTGTTTCTTCAGTGCCATCTTTTCACAACCCGTAATGTGAAATAAAATATAACAAATTTTTAATATTTAGGTAACATTCTTACCTACAACTTACAAGCTCATTGTAACTCTTTTTAATCCCTATCACTTTTAACAAGGGATTTTTAAGGATTGGAAATCGCCGTAATCATCAAATTGGCTTACCTTCGTAAAAAGACCATTTACTTAATTTTTCTTCGCCTTAAATTGCTAATTATTTAATTTCTATAATTACTTCGTAGATCTAGTAGTACCTCAAAGAATATTAGGACCATAATTAAAATATTATTATTGTTATTAAGAAATTATACACTTCCGGACACATCTATCGGACCACATAGTGTTATAATTATAAGTTTTAACGATCTGTAGCAAAAATATAATTAAGTTAGGTTAGTAAGAATAATATATTTTTTAAAAAACACGAAAATATGGTTTATCTCCTTCAAAATAGAGTAAACCATATAGGCCAAATCTTAAAATATTAGGTGGACCGATAGATGTGTCCGGTAGTATATTTATAGGCTTTTGCATATTTTCATTTATTATCTCTAGTTTATCCTTTACCGAGTGCAGTTTATTTTGTATGTATATGCATATTTCCATTAAGAATACCTCAGGTAATTATTTCATAGAGGAAATTAAATTGCTGGCGGTGTTTTGTTTCTAAAATTATTTTGCATATTTCAGTACAGAAACAATAATAACTCCAGTGATTGCGATACATCCGTAAAACTGACCTACAATAACATTGGTAAGTAATTCTCTTTTATTATTTTACAGCAGAATAAGTTTATTTAAACTTTTACTATCTAATAAATAATAATTTTACCCCCAGACCCTCAGACGTAATATCCCCTAGCAATATCACGTGGGTTGCGTAGGACTTTTGTTGTGGGGCTCAGCCGCTAATATCGAAAGTATTTTCATACTGCAAAAGAGAGCTGTTCGCGCCATATACAATCTAAAGGCAAGAGAATCCCTTAGAGAAAATTTTAAAGAAATTAATATTTTAACACTGGCGTCGCAATACATTTATGAAAATTTAATATATGTAAGAAAAAACTATGATGAATTTGCAAAAAAAAAGTCAAACCCATAACTTTAACACGAGATTTAAGAACAAGCTTGCCGTTCCATGTTTCAGACTCCAAAAATCAAGAGGTTCATTTCTGGGTTGTAGTATTGCATAGTTTAACAAAGTTCCCCAAGATCTGATTGAGCTTCCACTGACTAAATTTAAATCTCAGATCAAAAATACTCTTATGAATAAGGGCTATTATAAAGTTGTTGATTATCTAAATGATCGTAATGCATGGACATAGTGTTTCTTATAATTTGATATTAAATGGGTATTAGTCATTTTTCATAACAGTAATATTGTACCTATCTAATGCCGCTTCCTATATACTACTTAAAATGTTAACTATAAAATTATTTGTAACTATATATTTATATTCTATGTAATGGAAAGTGACTTCAGACGTATTTCTGAAGTAATTTTTCAACTTGACGACACTGTATATAACAATACAGGGAGAAAAAAACAGCCCTTGCTGAGTTTCTTGCCGGTTCTTCTCAGTACAAGGTCTCCCACCGTAGTTTTGCGAACCGATGGCGTAGCTTCTTGACCTTCACAAGTGCTTGTAACAGCCTAGACTGAATAAATGACATTTCATTTCATTTCATTTCATTTCATCACTTACAAAAATTTCCGAAGCTTAAGAGAAAAAATATACAGGCCAAGGTGATTTTTTTGTTTCACAAAACATTGTTCCTTAACGAATCTACGAAATTTTTAATCATACCACTGTTCAACTTCCTCTTTTGGTAGAGAAAATCTCTGTCCGCTTATATAATTCTTGATTTTTCTGAGAAACTTATTTCTTCAATGTGCTCCATGTCATATGACTTATTTCAAATTTGGTTTATTCCGTAATTTTATTCAAATGAATAGGTATATTGAAGCTCAGGAACATTATTTTGAGAATAAATTGTTGTCAAAATTAAATGTATCATACATTTATTTTTGACCACTCATACATATTTTCCCGTTTTAGTGCACCGCACATATTAAACGAGTGGAATTAATAGTGTGTGTACTATTAATATATTTTATATAAGTATCTACGTAAAATTAAAGACCAAAAATATTTTGCCTAATAAGTACTTATACACATTTTATTGTAGAAGATTTCGTGGAAAGAATGAAAGCAGACTTGGATAGCTGGCTAAAAGATTACTTGAACCATCTCCTCATCTTCTTCAAGCCAGAAATATCAATACAGAAATCAGGATGTCGGTACGGTAATCAGATAAAGGAGTATCTTGCCATTTTAGCAGGTCTAGACCTCTAATTTTAAGCTTATCAGACTTTTTAGCTGTCTGAAATGTTTGGTAGTTTTTAGCAGGAATTAGAAAATGCATGATTTTACTACAACCTATTCTTTAACCCAAGTCTTTGTTATTATCTTTATCGACTTTGATTAGGTTTATTTTACATTGAAATAGTCAAAAGTAATGTATGCGTCTTTTTATATATACTTAATAATGGGTGCCCACGACTTCGTCGAAAAAATGGTTTCCCATACAAACGTTCACCCCCTTAATGGTGATTTCTGGGATAAAAACTATCCTATGTCCTTTCCCGGGACTTAAACTATCTCTACACCAAATTTATTTAAAGCAGTTCAATGGTTTAACCGTGAAAAAGTAACGGACAGACACACTTTCGCATATATGATATTAGTATGTATCTCAAACCGTCGAAATGGGAACCAAAACAATCTTGGATGACAAAAAAAATCTACCAACTTATGGAAGAGGGAAGGCTCTACAAATCCGTTGATTGTACCAGGTATAACAAACTGAACAAACGCGTAAGAAGATTAGTCCGACACGCTATAGATACATGGTACCAGAGTAAGTGCGATTATGTAGAAGGGCTCCTTACGAAACCCGACGCGTTTAATATGTATAAGAATCTCAAGAGTATGATCTGCCGTAAATCCATGAGTTATCATTTGGTAGATGACAACAACCTTCCTATTTTGGATCTCATAACAAAGAAAGCTTCATGGGAGGTCTACCTTAGAGCTATGTTTGCAGATGAATCCAGAAGCACAACACAGACAACTTTTTCTTTCGATGAACCCGCTATACTCTGGGATGAAGTCTGGAAGGCATTGTGCAAATCTAAGACAGGGAAAGCTGCTGCCCCTAATGATATCTATATTGAGATTCTGAAGCTTGTCGACGAGAGAAATCCGGACACCCTCGTGCATATCTTCAACCTCATGTACGATACTGGTATAACTAACTACCTGAAGATTGGCTGAAGCCGGCTTTCATAACACTCTCAAAGAAGAAAAATGCAAAAAAGTACGAAGAATTCAGAATGATTTCAGCCTCATGAGCCAAGTGTTAAAACTGTTGCTTTCCATTATACATGAGCGCATTAGAGTCAAATGTGACGACCAAAAAGAGAGATGCCGATCTATTCGCGGTACAGGTTTTGGTACAGAAATGCAAAGATATACAACGGAACGTATTTATTTCTTTCATCGACTACGGTAGAGCGTTTGATCGAGTACTGCGCGACTGCTTAATACTTGTCTTGAATGACGTCAGGTTGGATGACAAAGACATCAGAGTTATTGGAAACCCCTACTGGAGTCAAAGGGCTACTGTTCGTGTCGTTAGCGAAGAAACCAGTGAGGTGGAGATAAAGAAAAGCGGCTGCATACAGCCACCAATACTGTTCAACTTGTACTCGGAAGCGATTATTGCAGAAGCTTTGGAGGGCCTACAATGTGGTGTGCAAGTGAACGGACGATATATCAATAACCTACTCATAGCTTCCAGCGCGACTTAATTGCAGCAGATTGTCGACCGAGTTAACGAGTGTAGCCTGAGTGCCGGCCTCAAAATTAATGTTAGCAAAATCAAAGTCATAGTAATCTCGAAGAATCCAGCTTCCAACCTTGGTATTACTGTAGCAGGTGCAAAATTGGAATGGCTTAACTTAACCATGTTTGGGAGACTGATCTAGAGATTAAAACTCGCATAGAAATAGCCCGTAGAGCATTTAATTTAATGAGAAAAGTACTCTGCAGTCGTCGATTAAAAATTTCTTCACGTATGCAGTTATATATGGCCAGTACTTCTTTACGGGTGCAAGGCTTAAACGATCAAGGAGCACCTCAGGAAACGTGTAGAAGCTTATGAAATATGGGCCAATATATAGTATGTTGGCTATTAGCTGGACTCATAGAGTGACCAATGAAGAAGTTCTCCGCCGAGCTGGTCAGAAACGCTAAATCTTGCAGACCATCAAATAGAGAAAAGTTGGGTATCTGAGTCACATTATGCGAAATACTTAATAGTCACAAACTGCTGCATTTTATCATCATTATAAAGTGGCAAAGTGGCTGGGAGAAGATCAGCAGGCCGAAGAAAAGTCATGGCTGCGAAATATTCTCTAAGGGAGGCTTTAACATAGCCGCTACACTGTTTTGCCTCGCGGAGGACGGAAAGAAATTCTTTAAATTGACAGTAAACATTTAGTAATGGAGAGGCTTTTAAGAAGAAGAATATTAGTATAGAACTTGTGTTGCCGCCAATAGTGACAACTCTTTCTTATAGTCTAAGAACCAGCGTTCTGCAGACTGCTAGGTATACTATTTCACCTGCCGTCGGTAAAGTGGAGATTTACTATATATATATATATATATATATTCTAAATAGTATACCCAGCATTAATAAGGACTATACCGTGAGTCTGTGGAACGCTGGCTCTCAGTCTATTACTATTATTTCAGATTATACAGTTCTGGAATTTCAAAGGATGTCCTAACAGTAGTATAGTTAACGTGTATATTTTATTTTAAAATTGGACATTTTGAATTAGCTGTATTTTCGGAAGGTTACTTGCAATTGCAATTAAGGTAATTGATAATATTATGTGTACTTACATTACTAAGTATATGGGTGTAACGGCAGCTTGTACTTTAAAGCGTCACTGGCTGTTTGATATCTCATCTCTCGTGACTAGGAGCCAAATAGGTATATATTATATCAATGACGCATTGCATTCTTAATTTTTATTTTCTCAAAACATTTTGCTGCTGAAAAACTAGAGGAATTGCTAATTTAGATTTGCATACTCCCGTATTTCAATCTTATATTATTAGATTTCAAACTTTTACCATACCATTTACTTTAAAAGAATTATAAATCGTACCTTACCACGTATTTGAAATAGTTTAATTCTCTTTGTTGGCGAGAAAATACCTAATTACAATTTCGTTAACCTACACACCTAACTTTATGGTCAAGATTAATTAATTTAATAAAATAATCTAATCAGTAAATCTAATTACTTCATAATTTTCTTAATTGCTTTTTATAGGCTAACAACATTTTTCACATACCAACAGAAGAGAATGATTATATTAACCGAGTACGTGGACAAAGCAATCAACTTCCTTAAAAGGAGGATAAACGAAGTTAACGCTACGGTGGTGAAGCTCCCTAACTTTAATATCTATGGTCGCAACGATTTGGTTTGTTCATTTTATATTAAAGATTGTGCATCAGTGAACTCTTCTCATCAATAGTCATTTATTATCTTCACTCATAAGTTCATAGCAGACATACCAATTCGGAAAGGGTTTGTCACCGTATCAACTCGAGCCCTTCAGTATTCTTTGTATGAACTCCCCAATGCAATGCACAGTAATCGGACTCGTAACGTAATCGCGTCGCCTCGGGATGAAGCTGCCGAACGTGCGTTGTCAACTCTCCGTACACTAGTCTTCGTAGCCTAGCTTACATCTTTAATCGCCTCGCCTCGGGATGAAGCTGCCGAACGTGCGTTGTTAACTCTCCATACACTAGTCTCAGTAGCCTAGCTTACATCTATAATCGCCTCGCCTCATTAATTTTATTTCAACTTTTTTATATTAAATTTTATACAATTTTATATTAAATCAAACATATCACAATATCATTAAATAAGGTGGAATTTGTTTTCTATAAAATAATATAACAATTTCAAATCTTCGCCAATTCTAGAAAATAACAATGGAAGATGGCCGGTTATCTGGTTTGGACTCCATGCATCGGCGGTCTGTCGCTACTGGTACACACGTCGGAAAAGTTCGCACAGTGGAATCTGTTGTGGGTTTCAGCAATTTGAAGGTGAACGATAAACAAACCAACGTATGAGATCTGCTAAGATTTAAAATGTTGCTCAGCTTCAACTTTAAAAAAATATACGTAGATTTTTTTTCTTTAATAAAATCCATTCAAATCCTGTGTCCGTCATATCACCCCGTCACATGTAACCCTCCAGGAGCTTCTATTCAAAAGCCTGGCGATTTGGATACGACCAGAAGAAATGACTGTTTATCGTTTAATTTTTTCTTTTTGCCGCTCTAGACGTTTGGCCTTATTTATAGGGCCTAAGGTATGGCATGAGTACTTCGCAAGATGCAAGATTGCCCCCCTTTTGTTATTCTGCCACTCTCGAGTAAATCCAAAAATCCTTGCTTGGGCTTCCCTTCTATTTAATTACGGATTTCTAAAATAATGGACGTAACCAGAACCGTTTAATACTTGGGAAAGTAGTCCATACCAACGGGAATATGTTAGTAAAGAATCTATATTTTTTAGACATGGACTTCATATGTTTCTAGGTGGTATATAAATACACTGCGTACTTGACCTCCGGCGAACCATCACAAAGTGGTCTCCTGATTTTATCGGCCGACGAGTTGACAGCTCAAATGTACATATCTCTGATCAAGGAACCAGAGACAGTCGACATCAATTTTGATTCTCTAAAACAAGTAAAGTAAGCGAACGATTATAATAATTGTTCCTTTTCCTCATCAAAATTTAACGACAATAGAACTTACTTAATAACTGAAGCAGTCATTTCTCAATCGCACTTATTGATAATGAATTTCACTTCTCTGTCTGCATGCAGTTCTATCAATGACCTGGAACATTTTGAAAGAGGTGCAAAGAAGTATCTTGATATTATATCTGTAGCATCAACTTTCTTTCTATCTGGTCCTTACTTACATCAGGTGGGGGTAATTTGTTAATTCATTCAGTTCAGATGATTCAGATCGTATCAAATAATATTCGGCGCTTTATTTTTAGAGAAGAATCGTTGACAATGGAAGGTGCAGCTAACCGAATGATTGGCAATTTCAAGCACATTCTGGAGCATCATGTTTTGTCCATCATGTCTAATGCGCTGGTGCACAATATAAGACTCCTGCGCACTTTGGCCAAATGTGGTAAATAACTGAAAACTATTTAACTATTAATATGTGAAAACACCTAGTTATTATACTGAAAACTTTTCTATAGGCCCAGAACCTTAGAACCACTGTCTCTAATATTATAAATGTATTGACCAAAACAGTACAATATCCTAATAATATTATAAAGGAAAGTTTGTATGTTTGTTACTCAATCACGCTAAAACGGCTGAACGAATTTGTATGAAGTTTTACACACAGAGAGCTTATAACCTGAAAACGGACAAAGGATACTTTTTATTCCTTAAAGGTGTTGGATTCCTGAGGGATTTTCAAAAAAATTAAGTTCACGCGGACGATGCGAGCGTCATAGTCTGCAATAAAAAAATTTACTTCTGTATAAAATTATCTGTCTTTTGTATAGGAGATTAGGTCACTTATGTTGGTTAACTTGGTTGGTGTTGCCATCTAATCTCGCGATCGTCGCGACATATGTAATATTTCTTCTCTTTTTAGAACCATCTTTTATTGGAAATGGCTATGACGATGATTCAGGTGACACAAATAGAGAAGATGATGCTGCCATAGGCGAAGGAGATTACTTTATTAATAGAGAAGATAGCGTCGATCTTGAGCTATCACGAGAAGACAAAGACAGAGCCGATAAATACCATATGAAGTTAAAGGAATCGTTGGTTGTTAAAAAGCTTAATTAAAACGTAGCTTTCAAAACGATTACCCACTCACAATAAATTTAAGAAAATTAAAAAGTGTATATTCAAGCTTTACCTTTACCTGTAGTTTATGAAACTAGTATATACATTTTTATGTAATAAAGCAACTTTAATAGGAATAGGCAATAGGACTGTATAATTTCTTTACTTCCCTATTTCCAACCTGACCTGACAGATTGCAACTGGTCAAATTAGTATCAGCTTTTATCAAAAACCTAGGACAGTTTTTTCAACTCAAAATTTATACTAAATGTTATTGTCACAAAAATACATAGGTAGATAAATGATTGGTCTCCCTTCGATCAACCGCATGGAGACCGTTTTATAGTGGCGCCGCTCGCCATTTGGCGAAATTTGGACTAGTAACAACAAGCTTCGTTGAAAAATAAAAATAAAACCGACCAAGTGCGGGTCGGACTCGCGCACCGAGGGTTCCGTACAAACTCAATTTAATACCTCTACGAGAAGTTCATGAGAAAAGAGGTAGTAACTTTAAAATTATCAAAAATATTTTTTATTATATGATGTAACTAATTTACGGTTTTCGTAATTTTTCCTTTATCTGTACTATAAAACGTTACTTCGTACCAAATTTCAAGATTCTAAGTTCACGGGAAGTATCCTGTAGGTTTTGATTCCTGTGCGTATTTCGAAAATTTGCGGCATAAACGGCTGTATCTTTTGATTGCTTTGACTTAGAATTTTGATTTTTTCACAGCTCCAAGGGACTGTCCCTTATGTATAAGTATTAGATATGAATTTCAGTTTGATACCTCCACGCGTTACTGAGAAAAACGGTCTTGACAGACGGACGGGCGCCGAACAAAGTGATCCTATAAGAGTTCCGTTTTTTCCCTTTTGAGGTACGGAACCCTAAAAATAATCCTCGTGGGAGTCGCGGGTGCAATCTTTTAATTATTAAGTCTATTTTAAGAGTTGTCTGAAGTTAGCATCAGTAGCCCAACATCCTGGGGTGGGCACTAGACCATCCTGGGTTAGGCATGACCCACCCGGCCCCCCTATATACGCCTATGCAATGGGAACATTAATAGGCTGATGATAATGAATCAATAAACTACAATTTATACGTGTGTGCGTTCAAGTTTAAAGTTCAAATTTTTGATTTATATTTATAACTTGTAACGCAGAGAACCTTCCACGCCAACTGCTGTACTGATTATTTAGTAGTACCTACGTACGAATATATAATTGTATTAGAAGAAGATTTAAGGGAACCTTGACTAATGTTCACCCCCCCGCCCCCTTTCCCTACAATTATTGGCTCTTGCATTTATACTAAAATATTAAGATAAGTATTGATCAATAAAATACTAAACACGATATATTTTTACTATTGCCATCAAAGATGGCAATCTTCAATCGTCAGTAACCATTTGAGTTCTACCAAGGGTCGGAAACGTTATTTAAAATAACGTTTTTTAAACGTTTCTAACAGTTCTTCGTATTGTGTTCTTAATATTGCATTCGGAACGAAAGCGAAATAGGAATGTTTTGAAAAACCGGTTTAATCCGCGGGGACGGTCCTGCGTGGTTCATTCGGCGAAAACTTTGAACTTGTTTATTATGCTGCTGCGCGACGGGGCTTCATATTATTTAATCATTCCGATGCGTTTGTTGACTGAGCTGACTCAAAAGAACAATGAATCTTAAAGATTAAGAGTAAGTACTTGATTCCATATGATAGGATATTGGTACTCAACTGAACCGTCCATGCTCACTGTACTATACACTATTTACTAAGAGTATACTCACGGGTTAATTAATATCAATAGGTACCTAGTCTTAAACGAAATTTAGTAAGTTACGAACGACGAAACTAAACCGTGACAGTGAGATGCCAATTGAATATAATATTCATGAAACATTGAGAAACACCCAAGACATAAAATAAAAATGGTTAAAAAAGTTATATTAAACGAAATCGGTTATGCTCTTCAAAAACGTTATTTATAACGTTCCGTTCAAACATAAACAAAACATTGTTCCTTAGGTATTTAAGACGAAAACGTTTCGAAAAAATACCAGTATCCGACCCCTGAGTTCAACAATACCATTTTTTACTGACGATAATAACATTCATAGATTTAGGAAGTAAAAATGGACTAAAATCAATCGTCTCTACTAAATTGAACAATTGACTAATTCATTTAGAACAGCTATACTCTAAGTGTGTTCCGCGGAACCCTAGGGTTCCGTGATACCTCTGTCGGGGTTCCGCAAGAATTTAGAAATAAAAAAATCAAAACACCTCTCTCTGGTCGCTCCGCGGCTGTGCGGACTCCGCGGCCGCGCGGAGACAAAACGCTATGAATGTTATTTATTTATTTATTTGTATTTGTATAAGCTTGTGTTACATTAGCTGGTACAATATCTCATAAGTTTGGTCTCAACAATTTTATACTTGTACAACGCGTTCGCTCTAAGTTTGCCGGTCTGTGGAATGCGCGTACCCTCCCCCACGTGACAACAAAACTTATAATGTGTCATAGTTTTACCCAAATATCTAACGTACACAATTTTTATTGTTACAATTAAATAAAAAATTTCGAACGTCATACACTCATACCTATCGCCAGCGGCAAACTTAAAACGAGCGGGTAGGTATACTTGTAAGCGCTCAGTCTCTTTGATAAAAGCCGCCTCTGAATTAGACGCTATAGTTGTCAACTAGCGACTTTCGTCTCTAACTTCAAAGGATAAAGTCGATATTGTTTACAACGCTATTTTTAAATTTCTGTTTTTATTTTTGCTTTTTGTTTATCAAAGGTGCCGACTCGAGTATTTTCGAGAATATTTGAGATCGAGTCTAGGACTAAGTATAAAAGCGGCGATCGCGCGTTGGCGTCGTCAGTTGATGATTAGCGTTCGGAGCGATAAGTTACTACCTACTTACAAGCTCGCTAGCGAGAAACTGGTGTTCATTGTTTTACTGCCTGCTGTATTCTGTTGTCTCAGTTTTATACATTTCTTCCCTGTAGGTTCTAAATTTAGTCTCTTATACGCAGTAACGATTGTGCATTATTTAAACCCCACTATCCTGACTTGTAACATTATAAATAAAGAAGAATGGAACGTTGGCTTAAAGGTGTTAAACGTGTTCCAACAACATCTTCTAATGACGCTGAATGTTCAAAAGCAATGCGCGCGGAGAATTTAGCAATCACCGATCCAGAAGATGATGCCACGAGTGCCACGACGTCAAGCTCGACGGTTTCAAAGACGAAAAAAAGGAAGTATGATGAATCTTATATCAGTTTCGGATTTGTTGATTCCAACGGCTCACCTCTCTGCATGCTCTGTAGTAAACTGCTTCCTAATAGTTCCATGGCACCTGCCAAATTGCGTCGACATTTAGAAACCGTACACCCCGAGACTAAAGACAAGAATAAAGAATTTTTTGTTCGCAAAAAAGATCAGTTATTAGAAAGTCAAAAAAATATGATGCATGTAACACAAACTACCAACGAAAAGGCCACGGAGGCATCATACTTAGTTAGCTATCGCATTGCACAAGCAGGTGAAGCGCACACTATCGCTGAGAAATTAATAAAACCATGTGTATTAGACATAACAAAATGTATGCTTGATGAAAAATCTGCAAAGCATCTTTCTACTGTTCCGCTATCAAACGATACTGTTTCACGACGAATCCATGATCTGGCAAGCTACGTCAAACAAGAACTAGTTACACGTCTACAAAATACACGATTCGCTTTGCAAATGGACGAGTCGACTGATGTCGCTGGTTTGGCTATCCTGCTGGTTATTGTGAGATATCCATATAAAAGTTCTTTTGAAGAAGACATGCTTATGTGTTCATCGCTGCTTACAAACACTACCGGGGAAGAAATTTTTAATAAAATAAATATATTTTTTGAAGAACATAATCTCAGTTGGAACAATTGCATTGACATTTGTACAGATGGGGCCAAGGCGATGACAGGTATAACAGCAGGAGCAGTGTCACGAATGAAAAATAAAGCGCCTAATTGTAGTTCCAGTCATTGTATTCTGCATAGACAAGCACTTGCGATGAAGCAAATGCCGTCTAATCTAAAATTAGTTATGGATGAAGCGGTAAAAATAATTAATTTTATCAAATCACGACCACTACAATCCCGATTGTTCTCATTATTGTGTGAAGATTATGGCAGCAAACATAAAACACTGCTGCTCCATACAGAAGTGCGATGGCTGTCTCGGGGAAAAACTTTAACAAGGCTATTTGAACTTAGAGCCGAGTTACAAATGTTTCTTTCAGCAGATACTTCTTTTAATTTGAAGGACCGTTTGTATGATAAAACTTGGTTGTTCCGATTGTCTTTTATGGCGGATATCTTTCAAAAACTTAACGAATTAAATTTATCATTGCAAGGTAAACAGACAACAGTGTTTCAGGCCTATAATAAAATAACTACTTTTAAAAGAAAATTAGATTTTTGGATCATTTGCATTGGTAAGAAAGAAATAGAAAGTTTTACGTTACTCACTGAGTTTGTTAGCGAAAACGACTCAGAAATGTTTGAAGATAATGTGTTTGAAGAATTGGTCCAATATCTCAGTTCGATGCGCGCATCTTTTGAAAAGTATTTTCCCGAAGAACACAATACAAAAATTAAAGTGAACTCCTGGATTCATAATCCTTTTTTACCCAACTTGGAAAAGCCTGAAAACATGTCAAATGAGATATATGAATCTCTTTTAGAAATGTCATCAGACACAAGTATGGAGTCATTGTTCAAAACGACGCCTCTTAATGATTTTTGGTGCAGAATCCAAGATGAATATGCAATGCTTGGCCAAATGGCTCTGGATATTCTTCTCCCGTTCCCAACTACATATTTGTGCGAAACAGGATTCTCTACCTACGCAGCCACGAAAACAAAATATCGCAATAGACTGGACGCCGAAGCTGATATGAGACTCCAACTTTCTTCCATCAAACCTGATATCAAGCAATTGATGAAAAATAAAAAACAGTTTCATACCTCCCACTAGTTAGATTTTTTCTTTTTTAATGTTTTCTATTATTGTCCTTACCAAGTGGTGAAGTAAATAATAATTAGTAACGGATACATTGTACTTTTATTATGCTGATTAATATAGAATACACTTATAAAAATAATTGTTTTATTGTAGGGTTCCATCAAGTATTTTGCTTCCCAAAAGGGTTCCGTCATTTAAAAAGTTTGAGAACCACTGATTTAGAATATAATAAAATCGGTTCTCACTAACGTCTCTCTCAAATGTCAGTGTCAGTATGGTTGGAACTACTTGTCAAGTTGCCTGTCTGCAGCGTTACCAGATTGGGGGTTTTTTTCGCAATTTTGGGGAAAAAGTTTATTCTTGGGGGAAAAATGAGGGAATAGTATCTTAAGGGGAAAAAATACATTACGGGGAATTTTTGGAGGCTAGCACTTCTAAAACATATGGCAATAAAATAAACGTCCTTTTCATTCGTCTTAAATACTGGCTAATATAGAAGAATACAGCCAGAGCCATTTCAAAATAGTCTTGTTAGTTAGTCTATGACTTTCGCTGTCTTCTCAATCAAGTCTATGGTCTTGTCACACTTATTGTTACTTTAAAAAAAGGAGCCCTTGCTGAGTTTCGTGTCGGTCTTCTTAGTACAAGGTCTCCCGCCATAGATTTGATGGCGTAGCTTTCAAATTTCTAGGGGGGTAAGTAACAAAGCGAAGGGTGGTTTTCTTTTCAGAAATGTATCATTTTGGGGAAATATAAAAATCAGTTTAGGAAAGTCATGAAAATTGCATCTGACAACCCTGCCCGTCTGTCAGTCAAGTCGAAACGAAATGTTTATTTCAGTTTTTGAGCAATATGTTACAGTTTTTCCTTGAAAATAAATAATAATTATCCAGATTGTAGCCCATAAATAAATGGGTACATTGTGTCATAATGTCCGAGGACGATACAATCGATATTGAACAGGAATTGGATAATCTTCTGACTGAAGTTCAACCAAATTTGCAAGATGTTATCAAAAGGGTAATTAAATTTGTATTTAATCCTAGTTCTTTTCTATGGGCTTTAATTAACATTATCAGTGTCTACTTTGTTTTACAGAGCTTTACGAACGTTGTATTACAACAAACTAAAAATGGTGAACAAGTTAAACCTGACACATTGGAAGATACATCCTATTTTGCTAAAAATACGCAAGTGTAAGTAAAATCATAGACCACTTTTAATTTAATCATAAAAAAAAATCTATCGTGTTTTCGGTTCACATTTTAAATCTTTTGTGCAGTAATAAAAGCTTTAAAATTTGCTCTTACAGTTTATTAAATTTTACTTAGGATGTGAAAAACATTCGTTACTTATACAACAGGCTTAATGCAATATTAATTAGTAATAAATTAACTGAATATAAAATTCATTTTTGTTACAGAAACCTAACACGGTTAGAACTAGTCAAACCGCCCACATTCCACATGCAGTCATTGTCTCTTGATCTCAAATCAATGTCATTGTCATTGAGATGTTCATTAGGTGAAGTTAAAGTTAGAGGACTATATAGTGCATTTAATGAAAACCTCTACAATCTGATACCAGTTATGTCTGAAGGGCATGTGTTGTAAGTAAAGCTGTTTTACTGTTAGTTCTTCTTGGTAGAACAATCATACTTGGTCCATGTTTTGGAAAATTTATCATGGAGCCCCACTAGGTAGTTGGAATCATGAACCTCACAATTTTTGTGTTTCATATTATCAAGTTTTTTTTTTATAGCAAGATAGGCAAATGGCTCTACCCCACCTGATGTTAAGTGGTGATAAAGTCCAAACGCAAAAATAGCTGGTACAGCAATTATAAACTGCTACACCAACCATCCTCACTTTTCCGGCCTGCAAAAATGCTTCTTCACACCTCTCTTAAAGGACCCCAGATTATAGGAAGGAGGTTGAACAAATACTTTAAAAACTAATAATACCGTTACCAATGTTGAAGATAATCTTAAATGAATTTGTCCCACACTGATAAAGCTAGCCAAACTTCTATAATTTACTTAATTGCACTTGTTTTTCATGTCTTACTTTAAATGGATTGGTTTGTATGATATTTATTTTATAATGTATATTTGTGTTCTGTTGCATCATACTTGATATTAACTTTATTTTAATTGTTTACAACAACAATACAAATACTAGCTCTTACGAACAGTGGAGGTCCTTCCTATAAGCCGAAAAGCTTAGCTTGCCCTACGAAAATCGCAAATCCACCACTGGTACATTGTAATTGATTATAATTGTAATATAACACAAATTAAAATCAAATATCTGAAACAAATTGTTTACACTAAGTCAAGTCAATCAAGAAAGTAAGATATAGTATTTTTGGAAACTTCGGGCTTGCCCCATTCTGAAGCCCTGGGCACGTCACTGCTTATGAAATGATGCTTGCTTAGCTTCTTAATTATTATTCTCTAGAATATCGTTGACAAACATGACTGCAGATGTCAATGTTGGCCTTGTCCTAGAAGATGATGCATTCTCCTTTATCAACCCTGGAATAGAATTTGTTCACGATGAAGTACTTGTCAAGGTAATACAAACTAACACTAACTAAAATTATCTTAACATGTTAATATACTTACTTTGGTGTATAATAAATAAGGTCTATTTCAGCTTTCGTGGCCTTCACCCCAAAAAAGCGGAGGATATGATTTTTCTACAACAGAACAACTAGCAAAACATATAGGTTAGTTCTTTAATTATTTCTTTTTGTTGTCAAAAATTTTATTTGGGTATAATAATTAAATTGTAACTCAAGTGACCCAGCTGAATGCATGGCAAACAGTTCAACTAATTACAAATCAGTACCAGCTCCACCCACACCAGTCCTTCTCAACATTCAGCTTATACATTTTCTCACGTATGCAGCCCTAAGATACTAAGCAAGCCCAGTGTGCGTTAATGGATGTGGACTGCAGAAGCAAATGCACAATAGATCAATAGGGTGCCATCCAAAATATATAGAAAAATTTTTGGTCTTCATAATTCATTTGTTCAAATGCAGTATAAGCATAAAGGTGACAATATCAGATAAACCAATTCTGGCATACAAATTTTTTCCTTACAATCTAAAATTAATATAAAAATAACAAAATATGTCATGCACACCTATTCATCAATTGGAACAGTTTAATACTAAAGAATCACTAATAAATTCAATAAAGAATGTCAATATTATATTATAATGTTGAATTGATTTCATTAAAGAAGTTGATTCCCAGATGATCTCCCACTGACGGCTGCTATATCATTACCCCTTTTTGCATTACTGCGGGACAAACTGCAAAGGCACCTCGGCCTGGTGCTGAGGCAAGCCACCAGCATATCTGAGGTCGTCAGCTGCAATCCTAGTCTATTTGAGGCTTACAGGTAATTTGATAGAATCTATAATAAAGAGTTTATATATTATTTCATTTTTTTTATTTATTTAATATCAGGCTACATAGGCCCATAGATAGATACCTTATAGTCTAGCATATAAAACATTATTGTTAGTAAATAAAATTAGTAACTATGTTGGTAAACACCTAATTAACACGTAAAAACGGCAACTTGTGACGCGTAGTGGTATCAGGTAACCGGCCTCGGAATTCAAAAATTATAAAACCAATGTTTTAGATTTTAATATAATGTTACATTATATCTCGTTGATGAATTATAATTTATTTATTGACTCATAATTTAACGATAGTTTACTTTTTCCTCTTTTTTCGACCTTCATCACAGTCCTGAGGCCTAAGCACGGACTTTGACAGCTCCGCAATCGCATCGTCATAATTTCTATGAAAACTAAGCAGCGCCCCTATTGGACGTAAGAACAAACAGGCTCCTTCCATACAAAATATGAAGATACGATTACAGTACAACCTATATCGAAATCGAATAGTTTGCGAGTGCACATTTCGTACTCGCAAACTATTCGAATTCGATATTGGTTCGTGCCCAGGGTACGGATCTGTCAAAGTTCGTGTTTGGGTCTCTGATCTGATTTTTTTTATTTAAGTCCTAAAATAACGATTAATTCACAAATATCGTCCTTCATCCTCTTACGGTACATTTTTCTTTGCAGTGCAATGGTTGATTCGTTGGCGTCGAATGGCAACAAAGTTGTCGACATGGTACTGATTAATATGCGCCGTACGTTGCTGCAGTCGTGCCGCGAAGTACTGGAACTGCCGCCGCTACAAGCCACCTTCATGCACAAAGTAAAACCGTAGACATTAGAGACTAACTTTTCTCTCACCAATTTGTAAAGTAAAACTGACTGCTGTCCAAATTAGTTTAAAGGTAACAGCCAACGATATTAACTACCTAGATACACCACGTGTGCTCAATATATGTCCCTATTAAGAAGTGCTTGAACACGACTCAAGCACTTCATTGTTCACAGTCACGTGCGGACCGTTGAAAAGTCAACATGCCGCTGAACTCCATGAAAAATGCGAAATAAATACTAATAGTTTGTAAAATGTCGTTTTTTCGACAGGTGTCTAATCAAACATAGTTAATTTAACGCATTTGAAGCAAATTTTGTTTTAATACTTAGTATAAACTGATTTAATAGAAAATATTTGTGATATTCAAATGCAATGATATAAGGATAACGCTGTGTCTTTTCCTCGCGGTCCGTACCTGCTATATTGCTAACACCGCATTCAGAATCGCGTGTAGAGTCAAAGAAATAAGGTCTTTATTCGTCCGCATATAGCACTAAGCCGTAAAATTTACGAGCTTGCATTTCGGACTGTCATAACTCTTTGAAGCATGCGTTTTAATTAAGACCTTATGTAGTATGCTTTAAAGATGATTTTCAATGATTCAATAATGCCTTATTTTGTTAAGACTACGCCATCATCTAACGGAGCGCTGTGATCGTCCAATGTACCTTTAGGACAGGTTTCGGGCATGATATTGTTCGTGTTGGTGTATCTAGGGTATTTAATATCGTTGGTAACAGCTCTTTAGACCCACCCGATACCAGATCAACACAGCCTCAACTTATGCGATTGATATTCTTTTTATAGATGTCTATACGTATACAGTCACTAACATCAACTCCGTACCGTCACCACTTCGCTCGTACGCTTATAATAATAATAATAAATCTTTATTGTGTATGGAACAAGGTAACATAAAAATACAGGTCTTAATGCTAATGTACAGTACCTCTTGAACCTACCTTTTCAGGTGTATACATATTTATATTATACGTATTGAAACCATTTAAATTTATTTACAAGTTAAATTCCCACCCATATTCTAAGTACTCTTGGATACTATAAAACCTTTTTGGCTGAGCCAGTTCTTAAGTATTTTTGAAGTGATAACTTCTTATAGGATGGTAAACCGCTTCGTTACGTAACACGTTATGTTGCCAGTCTGTCTTGCACGCGACGAGGTGGTGCCGGGTGGCTCTAATGAGCTATGACCTCTACGTTTACTGAATCATTGCAAATTGCCAACCCAGTCTCTGACTAAGTAAAGCTTTTACTATCGATATAAAATAAAGGGTGTAATACATAAAAGCATAAAAAGCATTAATAAACATTGAGAAAAGACCTTATTATGACTATCATGAAAGTCCCGATCCAGTACCGTTAGCACGAACCAATCGAATTCTAATAGTTTGCGAGTGCGAAATATCACTGTCAAATGCTGAAAAACTGATTTTTAGTTCTCATTCGCAAACTATTCGAATTCGATAATGATTCGTGCTAAGGGTACAGTAGACCTTTTCTCTAACTGCTTTTGACATGGAAGTTAGTTAGGGATGGAAGTGATAACCGAGCTATTTAGTGATCCACTGCTGCTTTATTATAACGTCACTAAGATGCTCGTTCTGATAGAGATCGAGGGATATGCAATTTTCTCTTTAATTATACACTGTAAATGTCAAAAAAATCTGCGAATAGGCTGAAGTGTTCACCAAACAGCTGATCTAATGTTGAACTATTGTAACAGGTTTCCGTTTGTCGTTTTCAAAAGTCTGTCTATAGTAAAAAGTAATTTATTCACCACATAAAATATTAAATGTTAAAATCCTTTCCAGATAGGGTCGATATCTTTCGTAGGAAAGTTTGAAACAGAACCCGGTTGGGTGAAGAACTTGGCCACCATTAATCGAGTATGCGATGTGAGCGTAACTAGACCTGACCCAGTGCGTACGTGTTTCCGCTTTACGCTCAGAATCAAGGACTTCCAGGCAAGTAATGGTGTTATATTGGAGAACTTTCTTAATTTCAATCTTAGGTCAATATAGGAGAGACAAAGAGAGACCTAGTCTGGAGAAATATCCTTCTCCCCCTTAGACCTGGTTGGGTAAAGAACCTGCCACTTTTAACAGATGGTGCAACGTGAGCGTCACGCGGCCAGACCCCGTTCGCACGTGCTTTCACTTCACCCTCAGCATCAAGGACTTTCAGGCCAGTAATAATGTAAAACTGGAGACATATCTCAATCTTAGATTTACTGACGAGAGTAGAATATGGATATAGTCTGGAGGGATAACCTTCGCCTGCTTAGGCCTGATTGGGTGAAGAACTTAGCCGCCATCAACAGAGTATGCGATGTGAGTGTCTCTTGGCCGGACCCCGTGAGCACGTGCTTCCGCTTCATGCTCAGAATCAAGGACTTTCAGGCAAGTAATGGTGTTATATTATATTGGAGACATAATCTTAACTTAAATCTAAGGTCTACCGAAGAAAGGTACGTGATACAAGAACTTTCAGCCAAGTCATGGGGTAATATTGGAAACATTTCGCAATTACAATCTTAGGTCTATTGAAGAGAGTAGAATATTGATCTAGCCTGGAGAAATAACCTCCATCTTCTTAGGCCAGGTTGGGTAAAGGTCCTAGCCACTTCACGCTCAGGAACATGGATTTTCAGGCAGTGACGATGATATAGTAGACATTTCTCAATATCAATCTTAGTTCAACTGAAGAAAGTAGAATACTCCTTGTTGCTAAGTTCCATCTATGGATTGACAGTATATTGTATTCTGGTTAGGCTGGCTTAGTGAGGATGGCTGGATTGGCAAACCTTTGTGCTGCATCAGCAAACTTTACGACAAGACCACCTATAATGAAGGTGGGAACAAAACTTTTGACTTCTACTTGGTCTATACATCTCTTGCATTGAGAGCTATCTGTAACATGTATGGTTAGTAATTCCCTAACCTTCGCATCGTTTATTCAAACTAGATTTCTCCCCACAGATAGGCTACGATGAATATAGGATCAAAGCAATGGGCGTATCTAGTTCGGGGCGTCTGGTAGCGACGTATGGGCGGGCGACCCTCCACGCGGCGCTCAGCGTGGGGCTCGCCCGGTGGGAGCCCTACGCACAACTAGACGACCTACGGGTGCAGCATATGGAGTGAGTGTTATCTCAACAATTTGGTTATATAGACACAGATTGGTGACGAGTATAGGATCAAAGCTGTGAACATGGACGTGTCTAGATCGGTGGGAGCTCTACGCACAACTAGAGGACCCACAGAGCAGCATATGGAGAGAGTATTATCTCCAAAGATTGGTGACGAGTATGGGATCGTTGCTATGGTCGTGTCTAGATCTACACACATCTAGAGGACATTCGGGTGCAGAATATGCAGTGAGTATTATCTCCACAGATTGATTGTGTCTGGAAAAGTGGGGCTCGCCAGGTGGGAGCCCTACGCACAACTAGACGACCTGCGGGTGCAGCATATAGAACGAGTATTATCACCACAGATTGGCTTACACGAGCATAGTTAGTGCATTCGGTCTACGATCGTTGAAGTTAATCAACTTTCGCAATCGCTAGTCGTAAGATGGATGAACAATATTTTTTTATCTAAAGCTCTGGACTTCCGTGCTCCGTGCGGGTAGTAACTAATACTACGTATAGTTCACAAGACTGGAAGCACACGTTAGGTTTCCTGATTCGGTTTCCCGATCAGAAATTCAAATTCGGAATTCCGCGAACGTTTCTGTTTTTTAGGGTTCCGTAGTCCTGACAAGGAAACCCTTATAGTTGCGTCATGTCCGTCTCGTCCCGGTTTTGCTTAGAGACTGTTAGCACTAAAGAGCAGTAATTTTGTGGAGATATATATAGCAATCATGCCGACAAAATGAAAGTTTTTTAAGGTACCTCCTACATGTAACCTGGAGATGATTTTATTTTTTCTTTGTCTACCCCATCGTGTAGGGCAGGCTCTGCCTAAAATGTGCTCAAACTTAAACTGCTGTCGATCTACCTCAAAATTTTTAGACTACTTACGATCGACTCTGAGAGGCTGCAAGTATGTGTGATGCAGGGTTGTCGTACAAACACGATACACCCCCCCCCCCCTACCTACCTAGGTAGGTTGTACCGTACCTACAATAATTACCGTAAATAGATATTCGTAGATCGTTGAATAGGTCCTTTAAAATTACTTAGGAGTTCCTTAGGCTATTTTTCGATTTAGAGATCTAATTATACACTATAGCAATGTCACATTATGTCTCAGCTCCATGGACGTCCACATAACGGGGCTGGGTCCGCTGAGCGGGGTGGTGGGGGCTGTGACGGCGTGGGCGCGGGGCGCAGGGATCGCGCACGCGGCGCCGGCACTCGCGCGGCAGCTGCAGCACGAGACGCACGTCGCGCTCGCTGAGCTGCCGCTCTGGGATATGTTGCACGCGAAATGATAAGCCGCGAGTAGTATTACAATAGACAATATAGGTGGTGATGACACAAAGTATATGAAAGGCATGGGTAACCTAGCGTCGGCCGCGATGGGAGAGATAATGGCTAATTTATTCCGCCAGAGGCGTAAGTGTCGCCGTATTATCAAATCGGAACAGCTGTCAAAGTCACAATGAAATCCGACAAATTTGGATAAACTTGGGATGCGTTCCAAACCTACGCTTCTACTACAAATGCCAATTTTAAATGTTTTTTCAATGTTACATTTTATGACAAATTAAAACGTTCAGGGTAAGAAATTACACTCAGAGTGTAGGTTACGAACGCAGCCTTAAGTTACAGGTTTGGCTAAACGACCAAAGCGCCATCTGCAAAGAACTGTCCGTTTTCTTCCCCATTGCATCAACACAATCCTCTGACTTACTCTAATTTCATTTAATTATATTTAAATTTATTGCATATTTTAAGGGTCAGTTACAAATTTAAACTGTTTTTGAACATCATACACAACTCCGGCTTTGTCATTGGTTTAAAGTCAAATAGAAACGGCAAAAGTAATAAGTACTTTGGTGCTAGGGGTCCAAATAAATTTTATGTTCACTCCAACTAAAATTGTATTGATTGATTCCTTGATTCAATTTAGAATAATATATTTCCACAAATTCTATTTTATTACTTCAATTTTGAAATTGTTGGAGCGCAAGGAAAGTTGCGCTAAGTTACCCATATCTTTTAAAAAAAAAAGCAGTTTTTATAGCAGACATTTCTGAGTAACTGGATTAATCACTGCTAGGACCTAAACTTTGGCTGGTAACTTTCAAATATCGTACTAATAGCAACAAACGCCAGATAGAAATGTAATCTGCTCGAATAAAAACAACATTACCTTTGCAAATAAACTTTCTTCCCTGTGGCAACCATAGATTTTTAAATTGCAATACAGATATTGTTTAGTCCTATTGTAATTACTTTACCGTTTCTTGTTCCAAGTTAGACAAATTCAGTTCGTTCCTCTTATGAGTATTTCGATATTGAATAAGGTGTATTGATATCTGAATATATATGATAGTACAATATTTAATAAGAATACATATGTTATATTTTACTTTTTGTTAACATTATTTTACAGAAATTCGACACGTATTTCATTTTGTTACTTTCTTAGTAATTGGTTTTATTGTGTTGCTACTCAACACACCATACGTACACTATGCGATTTTTTACTATTATTGACTTTATTATGTGATGTGTATAATTTTTGTTTATAATAACTTGACATATATTTTTATAGCGTTATATTAAAAGTATTTGTACCCATTATACAAACATCTTGCAGAGATGACTTTTGAATCTTCTATTTTTAATTATAGCTGGCAACATTTAAAATGCATGCTGACTTTAAAGCAATATTTATTTTATTTGCTTCAATCTTTTTGCATTATATCCTTCCGATTTGAACATAGAATCAGAGGATTCCTTTAATTTTCACTTTTGTCTAATGAACAGATAATCAAATATAGCCCAACATATACTTTTCTAATATAAATTGATGTTTAAACATGTTTTCTTATTTTTTAATCAATATATTTTTCTCCTGTGTTTTTTTAATCCTAAGTAATTGTTTTATAAAACACGATATTAACTTGGACTGTAGTGCCTTGTTTTGGGAATGGATTAGAATTAAATTAGAGTTGCAATAACTTTAAATGTTATTTATAGATATACTATGGATGGGATATTCGGAATTCTGTTATATATATTATATTCAGCAAAGTTAAGAAGTTGGTTTATCTAGAAAGCTCTTTTATATACAATTAAAATGCCGGGATTGACTCTTGTTTCTAGATACATTAGAAAAATATTTAATAATAATATTATTCACTTTCGCTATTGTGTAATATACTTATATATTTATTTGTACGTTTCAGTAATAACAGTTGTGATATTGTTTGGACATAGATCGGAGTCTTCTTTAAATAAAAAACTCGGTGAAATTTTGTATTTTCCTTATGTAATCGACGGAGTGATTTTAACAATAAGGGAATGAATTTTGCAAGTCATATGATGTAGATGATAAAACAATTCATGAACAAATACACGGGCGACATCTGCCATCTGCGGGCGACATCCAATGACGTTTGTACGAGGCCCGCTACATATTCGATCTAATAGATGGCGCCATCCGTTGAATAAGTGCAAGTAGTGCAACCCTTTGCTATGATTTTGTATATTCCTTTTATATATATGGGATTTATACGGGCGCGAACAGATATATATATATATATGACAACTCTTATACATATATATGTATTGGCTTTTTTTCGCTATCACCTTTTGGGATAATTCTTTCTGTAAATTGCCTTCCGAATATCCGATTTCTAGTTGTAAAATAAATAAGCTACTGATATTATAAATTAAATCAAACAAAGGTGTGTTCCATATTTACGAATTGTATTTAAAATTTTAAATTATTTTTAGTAATAAATAATATAAAGAAGTCAACAAATACGCCGTCCAAAATACAGTGTACCTATAGGTATACCTATCTACATTATAAAAGCGTCCTAACCATGTCAAGGGCCACATTTTTTATACCGCCACTTCACATGGCTATTCCTATTTTCGTTTTGACAGCTTGTTGTCCTTATCATACTCTGTAAGCAGTGAAAAGGATAGACCGTTGTCAAGTTTACAAATGGCAAATATGAATAGCCATGTGAAGTGCCAGCATAAAATATTAATATCGCCAAATATCAGCTTGTAACTCAGCAGACTGTACTACCATACTGCTCATATAAAATATTACGATAACTAAATAAATGTTATACGCCTATTGTAATCGACAATTAGGAAGTGAGTGACAAGACAACAAAAAGCTGAAGCCATTAATATTATAATTTAATTATAATGCCACGAATGTTACCATAAGTAGGTATAAACAGTAAATGTAAATCAATTTAAATACATAAATTGAATTGAATTTTCTGAAATATGTAATTAAACACTTTATTATTTATAAAATAATTAAATTCTTACTGCTGCATGTTCTTTGTAAAAAACCCGCATTATTTTTTCTTGTAAAATTGTACCCAATGGCTGTCAACCCTAATGGTGCCTCCAGACGCTTGGTGTTTGTTACAAACGCCAAACAAAATGCCAAATACCAGTCACAATCACCCAACACAAACAGGCCTCCTCACGCTTGGCGATCATGTTATGGTGCCTCCACCCGCTTGTTGTTTGTTACAAACGCCAAACACGTCCAACAAAGTGCCAAACGCCGATCTCAAATATCCAACACAAACAGGCCTCCTCACGCTGGTGTTGCCAGTTTGCCGTCTGTTCGCCAAGCGTGTGGAGGCACCATAAAACTTGTCGATATTTTTTACATTCTTTTCGTCCGACTTTTTGTGAACCTGTTTATATAAGGATATTTAAAATTATTTTACGTGAGTTTGCCCACAAAGTTGGTAGGCAGCCTTAAACGGTATTCAATGAATATTCGCGCAAATCCATCAGCCTTACTTTATCCCACGATATTATAAATATGTTCCGGGCAACGAATTAGAAATAATATGGAATACGAACTGCGCTGAAAGTGCTTCCTCGCAAACAGCGAGTCGGGCGCGGCGAAAAAAGTGCGATCAACACGCCGATCATTGGATTAGTTGGGATTTCTTTTTAACTTTATTATCTTACCCATTCCCTGTAGCATGAGCACCAAGATTTACATTATATCACGTTTTTAACGCGTCAAACTGCATAGTAATTTGACAATTGAGCGTGATAAAAACGCGGTATGTATCATATCGTGGTAGTCATGGCAGGCTGGAATGGATAGCCGTATTCATTTGCAGATATTTGTTATATCTGTATTCGTAGCGCGTTAGTATTGAAGTTTAGTTGTATGAGCCCGGAACCATGTTTTAGCGGCCCTTGTTAGAGAAATGATTCCATATCATTTCTAATTCGTTAGTTTAGGTTGAATGACAACCGAATGGTTGTGAGAACATCTACTCTTGAGACTGTTTTATGTTATTATATGACTTTTACAGTTCGTTAAATAAAATTGTTTTTCATAATAAAGTCTTTTATTTTTAATCGAGTATTAATTGGTATTTTTATTGGTAAAAAGTTTTTTTTTTCTCAAATAATAATTTTCATCGATGTCCAACCTCGCTACCCCATTCATAGGGAAATATATGACACAACAGTGGGCAGATTAATAAGCTGATGGCGATGATGATAATGGCTATATTAAAAATGGTTCGCTAGAAACCAAATACATTCACAAGCTCTACATTCAAAGAGACACGAAATTTTCCGTCCAATATTACAAAATGTTGCTTCACTAACATTCAGGTGATTAGCGCGTTCAATCTCGGAAGTTTTACAACAGGATGGCAGACCAATAACTTATCATCTTGAATTTCACCGTGCTTCGGAAGGTACGTTAAACCATTGGTCCCTGCTGCCTCTGCAGTCGTAAACACCCACCAATCCGCACAGGGCTCGCGTGATGGGTCATGCTCACAGCCGTAATAGGTCGGTGATAGAAATATTCAAAACGAGAGATAGTTTTGCTCATCAAGAAAAAGAATAATCATTGGACCATTACCAAATCTATGAATAAGACCACGGAGGTTAGAGATAAGGAGAACGATCGCTGTAGAAAGTAGTGTCCCAGAAATATGGACATAATAAGTGAGACGCTGCGATCACTGAGCATTCTCAATAAAAGCGGGCTAATTTGAAATGACCAATGCCGCAAAGAAAATTTGTACAATATTCAACTAACTTCATCTACTTGTACTCATTAACAGCTAATTTCACAGATACTACTTACCGACGGCAGCGCGGCTGGTGGCTGAAAAATGAACTATAAATTCTAAAAAATTTCAGGCTCAGGCGGGCTAATGCTTTAGTACGTAGCAATCGTTCTCCTTCTGTCTAACCTCCACGAATAAGACAATAAAATCCGTACCATGGTCGCACTTTATGTAACTGGCATTCAATACATACTGACAGAATAAAACTCATAAAATAACGTCAAAGAATAATTATTGACATAGTTGTGAAGGTTTGTCTTCAGCTTTGTTGTGAGATTTTATTACCTTTATTTTTAATTTAATAAGAACATTTCTATTAACAAAATAATGACATTATACCTTTACTATTTAGAATCAAACTAATCATAAAAATATACCTACCTATTTATGATGTAAGTACTTATAGAACTGAAACTTGTGAACTATTTGAAAAAGTCATAGTTAACCCACGGAGTTAACCTTTATTTGCCTTGTAATATTTTTGTAGAGTATTATTTATCCTACTTGTAAATGTGACTGAATTTATTTCTGTGGTTTGTATATTTCTTACTCAATCATGAAAAAACGGCTGAACGTAATTGAATGAAATTTGGTGAGTAAAGGTAAGTAAGTAATAAACTATATGTACCTACTTAGGTACTACTTAGATTGAGACATATTAAACTATTTATCCCTGAAAAATGTTAGATTCCTCCACTGTATTATAATTTACTTGACTTGTTCACAGATATTACGCATCCTCTATGGGTTTAATACAATCTGTATTTTGTTCGATTACCTTCTGTGTCGAAAGGTAAGCGTATTCCGTTAAATACTTTTACATTCTAAATCTTAAGGGACCCTCAGTAAAAATTTTAAAGTTATGTTTTTATTTCAGAGTTCTAACATGGACGTGCTGTGCGTTTGTTTTAATGTTGCTAATGTTCCTGGTTCTCACATTAATGGTGTACGGTATATCTGTGGGCTATCACTACGCACAAAAAGAGCTGGCTTCTTTCGCAAGTGAGTGTCTCTTATTTCCAGATGTATCTATATGTGGTAATAAACCTCATTGAAATGGGGATAATTTTTACTCCATTTAAATAAGGGATTATAAACTGGTGTTGATTCTGCCATGATTTTCTAAACCTAAATTTGACAACAGTGTATCCTTGTCATTCTCTAAACACAGTAAAAAGGAGAGACTGATAGTTTTAAATTTAGATAATCATCCCAGAATCGACACCAGCACCAACTGAAATATTACTATACTCATCAGTCCCGTGTCCCCACTGCTGGGAGCATAGACCTTCCTTATAGATAGAATAGAGAGATGGACCATGCCTACCAAGGTGCAAACGACAGCAGATGCAGCCGTGACCAACTGCTTAACGTGCCTTCCGAGGCACGGAGTAGCTCGAGATAATATTCGATCATCGTGCTAAACGCTTACTCCATCGAACTCCTACTTAGGTACTTGGTTTATCGATTAAATGACAATTAACGAAAATGACAATTAGTCAACAAGTTTAAACATTTCCAGTGTCTTCGAGATCGACGACAGAGCCGACGATAATGTTGCGTGCTGGACCTGAGGCTCAACCAGTCGTGAGATTGGTCGCAGTGAACAGATCAGAAGTCGAACACGCTCCACACCCATTAGTTGGTATGAAATTTATTGTTTCGTTTGAGAAAAAATTGTCTGCGTCGGATGTTGCAGTACTAAACTACGTGTGTCGCAGTTGCTGTTATAGAGCTTGTGTATGCAAGGCCCAGCAAATCCTTCACCTACCCCACTTGATATTAAGTAGGTACTTACCAGTTCGGGTGCGGAGACGCGGAGAATCCCTAAACGGGGATCCCGCGGCTTCGCACTAAGCAGCTTAGAGGGTATTCGCAGGACTTTTTTAGCGGATATTATACCGTAAAGCGCCCGTAAGGGTTGCGAGGTCCTCGGTGGGCAGCCACTGGGGGGTTCGTAAGACTTGCGGGAGCCAGGTGTGAGGTCCGTTCGGCGGTGTGCCTCTTATAGGCGCCGTCGTCTGTAAATAGATTTTTTACCTGCGTATTAAAAAAAAAAAGGTACTTACCAGTTCAGATGCGATGATAGCTGATACAGCAATAATACCATTCACCATCACATTACGGACCTGAATCTTATTTCATAATCGTGAAGCGCTGCAGAAACAACACTATACAGCATTTACGACAGAATAACATTATTTGATGTTCAGATAGCCGTAGGATATTTTCTTTGGTGGCCACTCCAATGAAGTAGTAAATCAGCTGTGGCTGCGGGCTCTTCGTATTCTAAGCTTGAGTAACATAACTTCGCGTGAAAGTGACATCAAGTAGCAACTGCGAAGTTTTAATTTTCAGTAAGGTCCGCAAGCTGGAAAACTTGCAGAAGTAAGCTTGCCACACCTGCCTTGCTATTTACACAATTATATCAAACAGCTGGCGGAAGCAACCTATACAAGTTTTCTTGCTAGTTTAAATGTCGCTAACTCTATTACACTTGCTCGTTTGCCGGGTTTGGGTGCACAAAAGACATTAGGTAGGTACTCGAACTCGGGCACCCGAAGCAATATTAACACTGGAATACGGGCTGGAAGACAGTGTCTGGTAAACAAAACGAAAACTACCCGAATACGGTCGTCTTCGACTCCGTTTATTTACACTTAGTCGTTCACCCGAATTCCGTTGGCACTCGTCTTCGGGCTAGCGACCAAATGTAATCATTCGCCATTTTACATTTTGCTATTAGTACTGCAATAAATAATTTTCAGAGGTGTACCAGACGAAACGGCCCGGCGAAAACATCTACATGGATACGACTGCAACACCAATCGTTTTGCTGGAAACTGAAAGGTAACCTCTGTCGGTGATTTAAAAGTTAATTATATAATCATTGTTATCAAACAAAAGTCTACTCTAGTCCCAATTACCCAAATTTTTTTTTCGACATTTGATTGTTAAATAGTTGTATTAGTAGGACTCGGTAATAAACTTTTATAACGTTTTTAAAAAGAAAAGTTAAATTAACAACTGTCTAGAAATATAGCTATGGTGCTATTAAGTATTGGCAGCACGAGCATTTCGACCATAGAGAAAGGTAAATATACCAAAAGGAAACTTCGACTCTCTCACACTCGCCCGTCATTTTACTTTACAGTAAGACAGGGAACGTCAAGTCTCTGTCAATGATTTTCTATGACCAGTGTGTGCGCATCGCGTCGCGTCGGATATTCCTAATGTAATTCTGATCATAGAAAAAAGTAAATAGATTTTATTTGTCTCAACACGCGTCGCTTGGCGTCGGGTCGCGTCGCGTTTCAAGTCTTATTTCTCCCCACTGCAGGGGCATAGGCCTTCCCTGTGGATAGGATACGTAAACTGGACAGTGACGTGACCCACCACGCGGGCCCAGTGTGGATTGGTGGAACCAGGACCAATGGCTTAACATGCCTTCCGAAGCACGGAGGAGCTCGTGATATGTTTTTGATCACGTATCCAATGACCGACCATTGCGAATGTTGCTGATCTTTCACGATCGCAGGCCAAATGCGCTAACCACCCGGGCCTATGTCTATTAACAATTATTTATTCCAACCATATCCTCCAGGCCGCCAAAGGAGCCAGAACTGCTGCCCCACGAGAGAGAACTGGCTAGAAGACTGATCGGCCGCTTCCGCCGATCGAAAAACGTCACTACGTTAACAACAAGCTTCTTACGACCCCTCAACAGCACAGAAGCCCCAGCACTCGTCCATGTGTCTGCGTGATCCTTATATTCGACTGACGTAATACAAATTACCCAGTACAGTGTAACGAAATCATGCATACCTCTACACTGTTGTAGAAGAACTTGAAGTATGAAAATAAAATATTTTTCTTTATAAATTTTATATTTATTGCATTCAAAAGTTCTGTGAATTTCCGAGGGTCATCCAAAGAATATGAACACAAACCGCATATTATACAGAATATGCCGAAACAAACACTTTTTCAGAATGCCCGATTTAATTGTGACTTACCCATATCAAATATTTAGCTTTTGCGTCATTTGTTCAGTGCTCACAAAAGCGATAATGACTCGCGACAAAACTGGCGCCTCAAAGTATATAACTCAACAACCCTGACTTTAGGTACTATCAGATAAAAGTTTTCGTCAAGTTTGTGATATTGGCAGCACTGAAACTTTGGTATATGGGCTTCTTTAGGATGGAGTCGTGACGGTTCAGCATTTCATTGAGTGTGTTATTGTTGGAGATCGGCGGGGAGGGCACGTCACGACGTGCGAGTCGGTGCGCCACACCTCGCTTCACAGCCTTGTCGATGGAACGCATCACGTGCGAATTCTCTGGGCGACCGGAACGCAAAGCCCCGGCTGCCTTCGCTGCAGCAGCTATAATCATAATAATAAAATGTATTCAAACTTTATGGCGGCTTAAAGTTAGCAGCGAGCTCAACAATGCGCGGGTTTCGGTGACATCCCGCGTGCGCCTACATTGCCCTATATTTCGTTTAGTGCGGTGCGACTTGCGCTCACTTCACAGCCGCCATTGAGTTTGATTGACCACCAAATCTATACGATGATTTAAAATGTTAAAATTGACTTCTACTGGTTTTTGTGTACAGTCGATTGCACAAACAATTATGACATTTTTTTCCGCTTTGTTTTGTGCTTAAAATATATCACTTACTTACAACTGCATCGAGTGACGTACACGAGGGATTAAAAATACCGCGTAGAATAGTTCTCGGTTGTTCGACGAGACGAGAGTTCAGACTGAACAAAAGTACGGAGAGTCCCCGAAATAAAATATATCTCTGTAACTAGGCGATAGAATCCGATATAAAGGGATTGAACCCAGTCGGTGGTCTCTTAAAACATCTTGCCTTTTTTGTTAAAAGGCGCAGGAAGGCCCTTAACATCCATAATTTGTTAACCTCTTCTACCTTTGCCATTATTAATATTAACCGGCACATCACAAAGTTCAAAGTTCCTATAAATCGGTTAGAACATACCCATTGCTTCCACAGAATGCGAGACTGTGCAGTAATGGTACCCGATCCCAATTCCCAGCATCGTCACTGTTAGGATGGTAAACATCAGACAACATGTCAACATAGCACAGACTGTGCATAGTGATATTCTGAAAATAAATATAACCACACCAAATGTAACGAATTCATATTAGTTTTAATCAAGCAGAAGTTATATACTATATGATGTATGGGATATAGGTATGGGATATTAATATAATTGGTCTATGTTACTCAAACAACCGCTCTATGGAAGAGCTCGATTGCGAAAGTTATGCAACTTTCGCAATAGTCAGTCATTGGATGGATATCTTGAGCTCCTCCGTGCTTCGGTAGGCACGTAAAACCATTGTCCCCGACTGCATCTGTAGTCGTTAGGAGCCTCCAATCAGTACTGGGCCCTTGTGGTGGGTCACATCACGAGTCAATCTCCCTAATCCATCCACAGGGACGGTCAGTGTCTCAGCGGTAGGGGCATTCATAGGATGATGATGAACTAAGGCTGAGCGAAAGGGTTCTTTCCTTAGCACGTCAATGTTATCGTTATTATTGAGTGAGATATTCTTATTAGCTATATATACCTATATCTATCGCTTAGAATACTCAACTAATGTACCTATGCATTATGTACTTAAAATTAGTGTAGGTCCCAGCCCCTCACTAAAATTAGTAAATTAAATCATAATATAGGTCAGTAACGAATAACTTTAAATGTTTTCTGCCACCCCTCGCAGTCTGTCACCCCTGGCAATGGCCCTAGGATAAATATGCCCCTGTTTATGTACACAGTTTAGTAATAATACTTATCAATTTACCTTTCCAAGGCATGTAATACGATAGAAACAAACGAACTCAAAGAACAGCACACACAACCCATTTCTGGGAAGCTGACGTCAATCAGACGAGAATTTCTAACTCTTCTTCTTCCACATACATTAAAAATAAGAGTTTGTGATACCTACATAACTACTTTTGTGTGAGAATTAAAAACTTATGGCCATATTAGTGATTAAATTAAATAAAAAATGGTGTGTTCATTTCGATTGATTGACTTGACGTGATGAGTGACAATTCCTCCTTTTTTTGGTTCTGTTCTCTCCGTTCATTAAACGGAGGAGTCTTTGGCGGGATTTCATCGAGTGCGGTTGGCGTCTTATTTTAATTAAGTACTCTTAAATTCGTTCATAGTGGATATTGTGAAATAAAATTGGTGTGATTTTGTGTTACAACCTTTGTTTTTCCTCCGTGGTTACAACCGTCTGCGCAACGGAAGAATTAGTGGAATCTTTAAAATATACGGTATTCCGGTCAAGTGGACGTGAGAACTTTATTGTAGTGTTGACTACCTCACAGAAGCTTATCATAAAATAAAATTGTAGATTTGGCTCGGCACCACCACGGCGGGCATGCCTATCAATAACAATGAGTTCAATTGTTCATCGAGTCAAAGACAGACTAGCAAAATCTTGGGTCCATGAAACAAACCTCGCTAATCTGTGAACGGTAGGTTGTCAAATCAACTCAACTTGTCAAGTTGTCAATGTCAGTTTGTACATTGACATTCCATGTCGGAGGTTGATGAGACGGCGACTCGAATTTGAACCGAATGAGAAATTATGGCAGATGAAAACATTTCACAAAAGAAAGACGACAATAAAAAGAAATTTAAACGCCCAAATAAAAACTATGCTGTAAAGAAGAGACTTCCTATCAGGCCAGTTGATGGTGATAACGTTGTATTTATAACAAAGAAGACGAACTTTAAGGTATCCCCTTGTATGACCAACAAACATAAAAAACGCTTGTTATGATCTCAGATTACAGAACAAAAGGAAGATGGAGCGCACGGAACACGCAATGTGTGGGCACCATAGCAAATACGAAGTCGAAAGCTACTAACAATTTGCGTTAGTACACCACAACGCATCGTAAAAACTGTTCACGAAGACAAACAAATCGTTTACTTTTGACTTCGTATTTGCTTTGGTGCCACGCATTGCGTGTACCGTGCGCTCCATCTGCCGTTTGTTCTGTAATCTAAGGTTATGATAATCTTAATATAACGTGTTTTTCAGGCCCAATTAGACAGATGCTGTGATCTACTAACTAAGGGAGAAAAGGAAATCATATTACACGGTCTGGGAGCAGCTATTCAAAGATGTTGTAACTTAGCATTACAACTAGAGAGTTTATTCTCTGGAACCTGTCAAATTGAAGTAAACACGGGCACTGTTGACTTAGTTGGTAAGATCTTAGAATAAATAGATTTTTTATTTATTTACGCTTTATTGTTTTACAACAAATGGTGCGGTAGGGGTCCATCGGGTTAAGTGGAGATATTACATGGTAAAATAAATTTAAGCCTAAAAGTAAAAAGGGGGAAAACATTAAATTGATAAGACTACATGTTATTTATTATAATAATTATAATGTAATATTTATAAATATACATAACTTACTTTTATAATATATTTATTTATATATATGATAAATAACTATAATTTAGTCTCAATATTATAGATAATAATAGTAAAAGTATAACAAAATAAATATTTATCACTTTATTATAGATGATCTGGAGCCATTAGCAGATGATTTAGACTTTGGAACACAAGTGAGACACTCTTCTTCAATCCATATAAGAGTGTTCCGCACTGCCATGCTTGGTGCTAACCAGTAAAGCGAAAATGTTCTTCACATTAAATGAAATTGTGCAATGGATTGGACTGACAGTGTTTGAAATATGGATAAATTTAATTACTATAACAATATTCTCAGTCTTGTTGGCATTGAAGATTGATGCTGTGATAAACAGTGCTTGGTGGACTATATTTGCACCCTTATTTGTAAGTGATGCTATGAATGCATACTTTTGTTGTATAGTCTGTATAAGAATGAATTTAGAGAGCTCATACAAAGCCTCTCTCTATAGGGCATCATGGAGTGCTATATTCCTTGGATTGACATTTGTTTTTAAGTTTCTGCTATGTAGGAAACTTCAAGGTGATTCAGCAATAGAATACAGTGAAGTGTTTGCTCCATTATTTATACTTTTACAGTTGATAGCAGTAAGAGCATGTCAGTTACATCAATGAACATCTCAATAACCATTTTGTATTAATATATAAAATAAAAGAACTTACTTAATATTACATATTGAATTTTATTAATGAAACTATTTGAAAGAATGAAATAGGAAAAATAAGAAAACTTATGAGTATTGCACTAATTAAACATATTAAATAAACCTCCTCTTCCTTTCTTCTCATCTCCAAAATTAAAGTTGAAGTTGTTTTCACTTTGCTCATTTGTATTTGCTTTAGTCTCAGATGGTCCAGCTGACTGTCCAAAGAAAGAAAATGCAGTTCTTCGTAGACCTACAATAAATTATTACTTCATCATCAACCTATTAATATCTACACTGCTGGGACACAGGCCTTCCCTATAGATAGAATAGGTAGATTGGGCCATGTCCCACCATGCAGGCCCAGTGCGAATTGTTGGGTGCTAACAACTGCAAACGCTTTGCCTTCCGAAGCATGAAGGAGCAAGAGATAGTAAATTTTTAGGCACCCATCCAATGATAGACCACTGCAAAACTTGCTTAACTTCAAAGATCGCAGCCGAATGCACTAACCTTTTGCGCCATCGAGCTCATCTAAATTATTACTTACTTCATCATATTTATACTTTATCTCAATATTTATTCCATAATCATGCATTTTATTGAAACATTAAGTAATTTATATTACCTGACAGGAAATTAGGAACCTCTTGAGATGTTATCTCTGTATTTTGTCCACTTGCAGACATTGGGTAGTCAGCTTTAGGCGATAAAAGCAAACTAGTATCTGAAAAAATGTAGTTGAATTCTTATTTCTGTTTCTACAATAATTTATGTTGCCAGATCTGCTTTATAGGCTATGCCCATTACCTTATTCCCCAGGGGAATTTACCCTATCCGATAAGGAAATTAGGTTCAGGCCAGCAATCATCATCAACACACATCAACTGTCTTCTCAACTGAACTCCACTCACACTTAAAATCAGTGGTGTTTGCTTTGTCCTTGTGTGAATAAAAACTTGTTGCTTTCAAATTCAGTATTATAGAAAAAGCTTTACCAAGACAATGAGGAAAGTCAGAGTCTCCCTCTTCAAATCCTGTAGTACTAATTGATACATTCAAGGAGTCGGGAATGCCTTGAGTGCCATGTTTGAAAAGTAAACCAGTGACTGATTGTGCTTGTATGACATCTGTATTTCCCTTAAAAAATATATGTAAACATATAAAAAATATTATAGGTGTTAATTACAATAAATAATAATAATGTTACTAGAAAAACCTTTGGACTGGATACAACTATTTCATCTACTTTCATGTTTGTATGCTCGTCAAAAGCTTTTTGATTAGTTGATATGCTTTCACACTTTTGTAAATTTTCATTGGCTTCTGGCATGTTGTCGTTTTGAATTACTGTTTCTTGTTTACCATTTTGAAAAAATTTTGATGTTATGATTTTATCATTAGTAGTCTAAAATTATAAATAATTTATTTTTAGATCCAGTTATGGGTTGTACTTGTATCGTAGTTTGCGGGTTTTTCGCGTCAAGTGTATTATCCACAGCTGACTATGGTGCTTCCGATAGGCACACTGCTTTGCCCATTAGTATTAAACTATTCGCTTGCAATGTAAGCGAGTGTTCAAACTCGATCGACCAATAAGGGCTGGCCGCAGCCGCAAGCCGCCTTTATGTGTGAGACCCTTATGTGTCAAACAAACAGACGCGGCCAGGGTGGCGGCCAGTTGTTTTCACTTGTAAACGAGGCGTGCGCGACCTATAGGGACAGGCCGCATCTGTCGGCGAGACATTTATCGCTTTGCGTCTTGTATTCACCGCCAACTCTTGTATTACGCACTACGCTGTCGCTATACTACACACGCCACGCGTATGGATTAGCGGAAGGGGCGACCAGGTTCTAGCGTTGCCAGGCCATGATATTAAAATCAATTTGCCGCGATGTCTATTAAAATAGTCTCATTCGCATAGTTTGTCAGCTTCTTAGGGACCGATCGCACCAGATAAAGCCAGAGCCTACGCTGCTTTAAGTGGGAGCACGGAGCGGACATCTATCGCGGAGACCCTCTCCGTGTTCCGTCACAGACAAATTCAACCCGTCGTCGCTGGACCCGCGAAGGACTCCCGTTTCTCGCAGCGCCACCAGTACAATTTCGATCACGCGGGGAATAGTCGTAAATGGATTATTTTTGTTGATTATACTTAGCCAAAATACGACGCAGACAAGAGCATAGAAGACAGCCAATCGAGCGGACTCGCTCGGGAGACTCGCCACACGCAGCGCTGCTCTATGAAATGACATGCCCGCTCCGTGTTCCCGCTTAAGGCAGCGGAGGCCCTTAGATGCCATTATGGAAAGTGCCCCCCCCCCCCCACGGTTGTATTTAAGTCACCGGAAGATTGAAACAACATTTAACCATGAGGAAAACAGACTCTCACCTGCTTGATGAAATAAAAAAAACTACGCATAGCGTATTGCCCGCACGGTACCCACGAAAAATACAGTCAAAGTTGACCTTAATGGGGCTAATTAATAGCGCGCTTGCTTACAATCAGCGGTGTATAATACATTTGGTACGAACACTGCCTTAACTCGTTTTACGTCGATCAATTAAAATTGTGTTTCGAAGAAGTTTCATCACAAAGAATTACGAATCGTTCAGCGGACAAAACCAAAGAAAATTGCTAGAACGAAAGTATTTAGGTAGGTATAACTTGGGGCTCAAAGGGCGTAAACGCCATATGTTAATTTTACATTAGTTAGAACCTTGAACAATTTTTTTCATTTGCTTACCTTTTTTTTGTTTTTGTAGTTGTATAGCCCCAAAAAGTTACATTAAAACATTGTAAAAATAATTGTTTTTGTTGGCTCTGATGTAAATCTCTTCTTTTAGCGTTAACACTCTTTGAGACCCAAGGTACCTATCGATAATGTACGTAATGGTAATGTAAATATAGATAAAAATCACAAAAAAGAAAGTTGAAACCAATTTACTGAATTCGACAAGACAAACATATTTTTTTTATAACTCACATTTGGCACTTGTAAAATAGAATTCTTAGCATACACAAATTGTGGCGAAGAATCTAAGTTGTGTTTCTTTAGTATCATATCTTTCATCTTATCGTAGCTTTCGTTACATAAATTAACGTCAACTTCACTATCGAGGGTTTCATTTCCGTCATTTTTGTTTATCGAAATTACGTTTTCATCATTAGTTGGCTCAAGATCGCCAAAATTCTCACTTTCCTCGTTGATTTCTTGTATTGATACGGGAATATCAAAACTAACATTCTTCTTATTCTCCTGCGAATTCTTTAAAAGAAAATTTTATTTGTATGATACAATTTGTTGTTGTATTTTATAAATAAATTGCCCCTTTGCTACCTACTAACAGCAGTTCCACACTGAATGTGGTGTTTTACTTTACCAAAATCTAGAAGGATATCATGATTAAGAATCTTAATCAAAATATAGACCTTATATAAAAAAAACCTTGGGAAAAAAAAAATTATTACGCGAGACGTCATGCTTTCGTACAATTTTCCTAAAAATTAATTGTCACCAACTCCGAAACTTAGACGTGCTTTATCTTTGCGATGTTTTGGTTAATTGACAAAATAAAAAATGTGTCCATTATTTTTTGTTAATCAGACTAATTAAATTCTTTTACTTTACCCCGCCATGATCCCTATTATCTAATTTTACTTTTCGCTATAAATCTAGCTAAATAAAAGCGCCAGGTGACTACGACTAATCTCTTACCCCGCTATCTAATAAAAGGGGTTACGAAAAGCGAAAAAGTTCCACAATTGGTTCCTGCAACATACCCTCAAGTTTTGATTCACCTTCCCTGGAGAACCAGACATTGACATATGTACGATAACTTCTACCTGTTGCTGTGAACCGCTATAGTAATTAATCTGAAATTAAATTATTCAAAGAATTACTTACTTTTTTATGATCTATCCGTTTGACGAGCTGTGTGTGCAACGACAATGCTCTTGCCTTTTGCTCCGAATCCCGAGTTCGTATCTCGGTAGGGGCATATTTGTGTAATTAGCAGTTCCAGAGTCATGGTTGTGTTATGTAATTTAATTATTTAAAATATGATTATTATTTTAAATAATCAGTTTCTAAAGTACGAGTAAAAGCTCTGCTGAGTCACAGTACAACTCGCAACCAATTTATTGTTGCGAATTGTCCGAAAATAATATTAGATATACTATATAAGTATTCACTATTTTAAAAAAGAAAATATTATAAAGATAGTGGGTGGACGCAACTTCATCTGTTTCTTTTAATTGGTTTCCCATATAAGCTTCCACTCTCCCTTTCACCCCCTTAAATGATGATTTCCGAGATAAAAACTACCCAACGTGCTTTCCCGGGACTCAAACGATCTCCTTTCTAAATTTCAGCTAAATCGGTTCAGTGGTAGTATGGAGAGGTTACAGGCAGACACAATCTCCCATTTAAAATGTCAGTATGGACTATATAATGCAACAATACTGAACCCTTAGTGGCCTTCAAGATGTATCGGGACTTTTCAAATTATTCTATAATATCTTCTCAATAAAAAGTAATCATATAATTAAACAAACCTCTCCAAAATCCAAGAATTGTGTCGGTGGCACCAATAAATTGTTTGAACTATTGGTTAGATCGATTTCTTCAATATCATCGTTTGTCTACATCCAAAAAAAAATTTAAAAGTTTAAACGATGTTTTTAATTTAAGAACAATATTAACCAACAGATCTAACCTCCTCTTGTAAATTAAAACTTTCTTTTCTGACACTCGCATCTGCTCCTATTTGATTTACCCCTTTCAGTTTATCAGGATTGACCTTAGATACGATTTCGTATGCATCATTCGCATCAAGTTTTACATCTTCCAAAATATTTATCAGTTTCTTTTTGGAAAAGCTCTCTTTTTTACAGTCACTTTCGTTTTTCTCCGTAATTTTTTCATTGAAAGCTATTGTACTTTCGTCGTCAAGCTTAAGTTTTTTACTTTGAATTCCGGTCTCTGGTTCAATAGAATCAACTCTCTTGACTGGCGTTATATTGAACATGTCGACTTTCTTGATTTTAATCTAAAAAAAAATTTTTAATCCTTTTTTGTCATTTGTTCTTACTTATAAATCAACATTAGTAGTGGTTGGACCAATATTGTAATGCTGTAATATTACCTGGTCTAATTTTGCACTTAAGGCATCAAAATCTGATTGTACAAGCTGAATTGTTGGCATCTGTAAAGAAAATATAGGTCAGTTATATTGACTATTTTTATTATTTGTCTTTTTTGTGGGAAGTGGTACAATAAATCTGGATACCGTTATTGAATCTCGTTGGTCAACTTGACAGAAATTAAACCACCCATCTTCTTCGGTGTTCTTTTTCTTCTTCATTTCATTTCCGTCGCTTGGAATGGGATTAAAAGAATTATTGTTTGTAGTAACAGTCTTAGGTACGCTCAATTTATCTTCTTGCTGTTTATTAATTTCATCGATATTTTTCAATAATTTAACTATCTCTTTATTTTTTTCGTGTACGATCTTTATACCTTTTGGTAATTCATAAACCATATACTGTGCTAGCTCGACTATACGTTCCCTATCTGAGTTAGCTATAAATTGATTCTTTATTTCAATTTCTTTACTGAGATTAACTGATTTAGTATTTAGGAGTAAAAGGTTCTGTTTTAGAGTCTCAGTTTTATTTTGTGCTTGTAGTAATTTTTGCACGTGCGGTACGCTTTCGTAGCGTGCTTTAGCCTCCAACCACAAGTTTTCATATTTCTTTTCTCCCTCTTTGATCCGTTCCTCTATTTCCTGTTTACGCTCTTTTAATAGTAGAAACTCTTTTTTAAGCTCAACATTTGAAGATTTGATAGTTTCCTTCGCTATTAACAGACTGCAAAATTTTTAAAGTGATATAATAAATTACTAGGATTCCGTATTCATATTCAGGGTGACAACGAAACCATTTTTCTGCCTAATCCTGTACCTACTATCTCTTCAGCTGTCAGCGAGTTGCAGCTTATATATATAAGTTCCTTGGACACAACTCCTGCGTAAGTTCCTTTGGATGTACCTATCCCATGAACTTTAATAGAAAGAGCTAAACTTTTCAGAGAATGTAAATAAATAACTCTTAAACACCAATGTAAAGAATAACTTTAACAGTAAATAATTAAACTTTATTTTGTCTTTGACTTTTACACACAAGCACAAAAGCCGATGTAATTTTGAACAATGGAACGGAAAGGAATCTTCAGGTGCGAGTTTCAACTTTAAAACGATTTATCTTCAAAAATGAGCCAGTGGAAGGAACACTTTTCTGTTACACCTGCATTCTCATCTTCTGGCGATTTTATTTATATAAACAATTATGAACCTGTTTATGTAGCAAAGAAAGGATCACTTGCAAACTTATAGTAAATAAAGAGCTGAATAATTGTGCATACACAAAGGGCCTGATTATGATAAGGATAAACTGAAACTGCGTTAAAAATTTGTTTTAGAGTTGTCTGGGTGGTACCAACCTCTACCCGGGAGGTCTTTATACTTAAGTGTGTAGGTATGTCTATAGAATAGGATAATTAATATTAAAATTCATTAATGCACATGAACAGCTGTTAAAACATTAATTAGATTATTAAACCTACCGGGTACAAACACGCAGCAGCTTTTTATGTTTTACGAATCAGTCATTTTCAATTAAAGTTTGGCCTTTTATAATTAATAACGTACTTGCGTACCTTTGTATTTCAATTTCCGCCTGCCTGATTTCTGTTTGTAATTTCAAATTACTCTTGCTTACGTAACTGCATATCTCTTTTTGACGTACGCTTTGCTTCCTTAGTTTATCGACTAAAAACGCTTGAGCTAAAAATTTTAAGTTCGTAAGGTAGGCATTTACATCAAAAAGTTGACATTATCATTGGTCATTTCAACCAAGAATATTAAAAATCGTTGGTTGTATTAATATAACTCACAATCACGATCTAGCTCGGATCTCGCAATCCGATATCCTAATCAGAATATTTCGCCCCTGTTATAACATAGGTACCTTCATAAAACATCCTTTAGAAATATAACCCATACACACTGGGGCGTTAAGATTTGCACAATATAACTAAAAGAAGAAAAATCCTTTCTATTTTTTACATCTACGGAAGAATATTAAGAGCTAGTGCATTCTATATTTTCATTTGCCACCAGTCTTACTAAGTCGAACTAAAAGTTATTTGAAATTCACACATGAAATTCAGAACAGGTAATAATAAAAAGTTATACATACCCTTTATGCATTGACTTGAGAGTGTAATTTTGATTTGAGAATCTCCGACCTCTGAAGATATTTTCTCTAATGCTTGTACTTCGTTAGGTTCGGACATTGTGATATTTTTTTTCAAAATAAGTTATTGCTGTTTCGAAACTTCGAAAAGGAAGAAAATTGGCGGGAAATTCTTAACTTTTGTAAGTATATTTCTCAAATTAGGAAGGCACAAGATAATATGAAGCATACAGCCTTGTCGTGATTATATTTTAATTGCTCTTTTTTTTAGTTCAAGGTACAACAAATTGGATCGTCATTTCGTGTGCGTCTAGATAGCGGATATTTTACGCTAGAATGGTACCAAACTATAGCTATATTTTTTCTTTTTTTCACACGCTGAAACATATAATTCTGTGACGATAATGCATATGGGTAATTTTTAATGTCTAACTCGAACATGATGTCCCTCAAGGAACTTATATACGATCTGGAATGTTTACGTGACCATCAAAAGCATTCCGAAGAGTAAACCTCAATTAGTGGAATCTTTCACTTTCTAGTAGTGTGCCCAAACAATAACATAAGTGATGAAAAAATTACTTTTCCCTGGGAGAAGTAACCTTCTAATTTTCAATTCTATGCTTGAAAGCCCAAAAAATATACAAATCTTTAAACGACTTTCCGAGCTTATTAAATATGTCGCTATATGAAATTTTAATTTGTCAAACGATACCTACGTTTAATAATTCTTATGTATACCTAGGAAAACAAAAATTAAAGTAAAACCACTGAATAATTTTTAATTAATTTATTAGTTAAATTACAGTTTATTTGTTTAAAAGTCTTGAAAAACACGACGCAGCGTTTTATCAATTGATTTTAAGTTTTTATTCTTAACGTTTTAGGTAGATGGGTATACATTTTTGTGCTGAAAAATATAATTGACTGATTTTAAAAATAAAAGCTTTTTGATAGCTTTTATAACAGTATAGTATAAATATATTACAATAGTAAAATCCGTTCAAAAGTACAACATGTAGTTTACTTTTTGATGAGCATATATATTTTGAAATTGAAGGCTGCAAATTAAACTTTAAGTCGAATATTCGTTAATTTTCGAATTCCAATCCACCCTGAATCCACGTGGTGGATCTTGGCCCAATCTCCTTATTCTATCCATTGAAAAGGCCCCACGAGTGGGGACATAAATATGCGCATGATGATGATGACATACTACCTATATATATATATTATATACATTCCGTAGTAAAAACGAAAATGTTTTGTCACCCTACACATGTAATTTGTAAACAGAAGTCAAAAACTTACCTATTAATGAAATTCCACAACCAGCATACCGTATGCTGGTTGCGTATGCTGCATACGCCACACTTTTACACCATTTTGCATTAAAAAAATATTATTTCGCACCAGCAGATCACAAGAATTTGATCAAAATAATTTGTAGTTAGCATAAATAGGACTTCAATCCGGAAGAATATCGCCATATTGTTTATTGGAAGCATCGCAAGTGTTCTCACCACTACCATTTGAAACAATTTTACTAAGTTTCCGTTTTAATAAAAATAAACACATTTTTGTTTGCATTTATATCAATATACGAATGTACATACTGCAATCAAACATAAATGCTCAAATAACTCTCAAACTGTACGATCTTGTTCTTATAAATGGGTATCGGGATAATGTAAAAACTACCATTTGATTATTTCTATTAACACTGACAATTGCAAGAGAGGGACAGATTCCACTTCCGTCGTTGTCCTGTTTCGGAGTATTTTTCCCTTTTACGAAGATAGAAACAAAAATGGACTTTATGTATAACTTACTTAGTTAGAGTACATTTTTTTAATTCTCATATTGTTTCGTAAGCATTCCAGATAGTATATAAGTTCCTTGATGTCTCTCTTGCAGCTGCATAAAAGTTATGTCGATGTGGAAAGTACTTAACATAGATAGCCAAAACCACATTGAACAAGTTTTCGGTGCAATCAGAGCGCGTTGTGAATTTAATGAAAACCCATCAGCACACATGTTACAGTATGATTATAAAAGTGTACTAGTTCATGCTCAATTCAAGCAGTGCTCAAGTTTGTGTTTTTTGTCATGTATTGTTATTTGTCTTTGATGTTTATGATTTAAATGTAGGACATGCTCTTCGATATAGTTAGGTTATATTTTCCCATAAAACTCTTTTAACTACCTATTATATACTTAAGATTTGATCCTAATGCGCAATGCAGTAGCTACCGCCTAACAGGATTGCTATGGCATCATCATAGGCTATATATATAGCCTATGATTTAATTTTGATATTTCTGACTGCCGAAGGTTTTCAAATACCTCACGCTTATTTTTTTAGATATTGTTTTTACCAATGCAAAAGAAAAAAAAAGAGCGCGAGCCATTTGTAAACTTTCGGCACGGTTCGAAATAACAAAAGGAAATCATAAGATATAGCTTTAGCAATCCTGATAGGCGGTAGGCTCCCAGAGAATCATAGATATTTAAAGAATGGATTTATTACATATTAATAAAAATAAAACCAAAAAGATAATACCTAAAATTTATTTAACAAAATAGTGTCATACAGTTATTTAAAATAACAGACGTAAATGATAATTTTTAATACAACCTAGCATCCTAATTAAACCAGGTACTTTTCATAAAATTTATCACTAATAAAAATTAAAAATAAAGACAAACAATGACGAATGCAGCACGAAGGAATGTTGGCTAAGCTGTAGGCCAACGCACTTGCACCACGTCGAGTGCGATACCAACCGCTTATCAGACCCACACATCGACGCCCAACATCGTTAAGCTGCCGAAAAGATGACCTCACACTGGCTATTTACAAATACTCAACACTCAACATTGTCATTCTCACTTACGATTCCCATAATACTGTTCGCAAAATTATAATAAAACTCCTTTGTCAAACGTGTGCTCCAGTTCGGCACGGCTAAACATACAAGTTAATGGTTACCGGTAAAGCATTCAACACCTATAAAGTACATAATTCAAAATCGCTCACAAACATTAGTTTGGACGTCAGTTATATATAGCTCTTAATACATTTTCATGGCTATTTAAAATTTACTAATTATTACACAGTTGTTCTACAACAAATTACTTTGGCTTCTTCGACTGGGATCAATTACAACATTTATGGTCCAAACCAACAAGCATGACTGCGACTCGCATATTAACAAATCATGAATACTAAATGCAAAATAAGGCTTCTTATTGAAGATATCGAATCCAATAAAACAATTTCGATACTACATAAACTAACTAATGAAATGACAAGGAATGTCTACTCAATTTAGGTCAACCATAGCATAGATAGTGATCAAGTTCGTTATACAGAAATCAAAGTTAACGCGAAAATCGATTCAAACGAAATTAAAAACGACAATCTGAAATAACTTAATAGTAATACTTAAAAATACATCATTTAAAAATACCTACTGGGTCCCACGTTAAAATTATATTATTTTCCTTTATATTAAAATTAATGTAGTTTGTACCGCCAACATTCACTTAGTGCGATAGTCGCCGTGCAGTTACACAAACAGAGGGAATCAACAAGTTCACGTTCAATGGCGCGGGCGACAGGGGGAGGGGCGTCAAGAACTCAAAAAATGTAATAAATAATAATAATACCCTGCGTCAACAGTCCGTCACTCTATCTATGTATATACACGACGGCGCGTCGATAAATCTTCTTTCTATTTATCGTTAAGAAATTACATACATCAGTCGAACAGTGTGAATCGCCGAGTGGAACGTTACGATCCGTGCGATCCGACGCGGATGCGACCGTCGTCGTCTGCGGGCCACGGAAGCGTTCCCGAGCACTCCCGACGCCATTCGCGGCGCGGGCGGTGTGGCGGATCGGATATCCGGGAAGGAGGTCCGATTTTTTAAAATTGTGAGCTACAGCATTAGTTTCATTAACTGTAGGGCTGGGGAGAGAGGATCTCGGTGAGAAGCCGCTTGAGGCTGTCAACGCCGGTGAGGAAGCCGCAGTCGGGGCCGTGATGGGGAGTGGCGGTCGCTAAAGGAGATTCGGCAGCAGCGCCCGCGTACGCTGTATGCGCGAAGTCTATCATGCGGATATCAACTCTGTCATCGGGAATCCAGGTGCGCGCGCGTTTCTGCGCTTCAGCGACGCTGGCGGCTGCGTCGGCTTCTGTTTCCGTTTCTCCACGCCACGACTCGCTGGAAGTGGACGAGTACGCCATCCAGCTGTCTGTGGAATCTGGGCTGGGCGGGTGGCGGCGGGGTGAATGACCTGCGACTTCGCCTTCCTCGTAGCCGCCCATGGTTTCCTCGGAATGCGGGCGGAAAGGCTCGCGGTCGGTGGAGATCTCGTCGTGTAACGTGGACATGTCAAAGTGGCCGGGTGATGGTAAATCGGTGGAACTGCTCGAAGCGTCCGCGTCGTATTCGGCGCTGAGAGTCGACGCCTCGTCGCGCACCTGGTATTGGATGTCTCCCTCGTACACTATCAGCAGAGAACTGCGGAGAAAAATTGTGACGTTAAAAAGAGAATAAATACCAACATTATAATAATACAGTTTCTGATAAAATTTAGAGAAATTAAGGTCTAACAAGTATATTATGCCCAAACAGTAAATGAGTAACAAGAGTGTATAACTAAGAATCTAGTCAACGAATCAGAAATGATATGGATTTTTGCCGAAGACGTGAGACAGATCCACGGGAATCTGCTTGGAAGTCACATTTTGTTCTTTGTGATGGTAAAGCTACCAATTTGATTGTTAGTGGTGGTGGGTGACTCACTACAAGTAGAATCTAGTCTTCTTTAACATGACGCGACGCAGATACGTTCCAATTCGATAACGTTTTTGACCTTGGTTGTGGTATAGCCAATAACTTGACAGTGTTGACTCACCACGAGTAGAATCTATAGTTGGTCTGCTTGGCGATGGCACGTCGTAACGCATCCAGGTCTCTCAGTACCCGATGCACCACCCTGGCCCGTGGAGTGCCCCCCGCGGCAAAGAAGTCGCGCAGGGCTTCGCGAAGCCCCGCCTCGGACAATGCGCGCCCCCAGTACTTGTCGCGACGTATGCACGCGCCAGTCTCTGGGATGTACACCTGTGGACGAAGAATACGATTAGTACGAGATGTCAAGCAGAAGAAGGAGCGATCCAACACATTATTTTCGATTACCAAAGTTTCCTCATTCAAAGACTTGTGCTGGCTAGTGAACTTAGTGTAACCAATGCATATAAGTGTGTTTCTTCCTCCCGCCCGCCGCCACTCAAAGTTTTACTAAAAGATACAACATCCTATAAACCTATTTATAATTACATAAAAAATACAATTCAAACGATTTCAATAACGAAATTTAATGAAGTGAAGTGTAGTGACTCCAAAGTAATGAACATTTTCCAAATAAGTTATGACTTAAAGGTCTTGTAACCAGGTCAAAAAATAAAAAAAATAGGACGAGAAAGGAGCAGACGAATGATTGAAAAAGCGTCGGTAGTTTGATCGTTTTCTTTCCAGGATACGTTTTTAAAGGTATGAAAAGGCACGAACGCACGGATGCGAAACATAGAGATATTTATAAAAGTTTAAAAAAACGCATTTTAAACCCGTAACAAAGTGTTTTATTTAATGAGTGGCTTGCGTGAAAACATGAGAAATAAATAACAAGCTCGACCTGTACGCTAGCATGACGGACACTGCATTAGCTAGTAAATCTGAAGTTACTCAAAATTCACAGTATGTATATATATAAAATTATATATACGTGGTTTCATGATCATCACAATAAACTTATTTAACGTCCCCACTGCAATATGGGGATTGGGCATGACCCACCACGCGGGCTCAGCGCCGATTGGCGAGTGCTAACGACTGCAGATACAGCATATTAACGTACCTTCCGAATCACGGTGGAATTCGAAACAATACAATTTTGGTGCCATCTAACCACTGCGCCATCGAGCTTCTCAAACTACCTCATATCGACAGTGGAAAAGCAAATTTGCTTATAGGCCACATTGGTGCTGCTTAAAAATTAACATTAAATAATAGTGAAATTAAGTAAATTCTTAAGCAGCACCGAAGTGGTGTATAAGCAGTTATGCTTTTCCGCTGTCTATATGTGGTTTAAATCTTGTTTAACAACCGTACTCAGAGATACATTATTTTAAAGTTTGATTGAAGTTGATGTTGTCATGTTAGTTTTTTGAGAATCCCAGAGGAAAGTAACATTTTTGCGGGATTATATTTTTCTTGACTCATTCTAGGTAATAATGTGTACCAAATATCCAAATCCACACAGCCTTTTTACGTAATTGAATAGCAAACATACAAACTGCCACATTTATATTCCTACTAATATTATAAATGTGAAAGTTTGTATGTTTCTTACTCAATCACGCAAAAACTACTGAACTGGTTTGGATGTAATTTTGTTCACAGTTTATAAGCAGGATTGAGACAATATACTTTTTTTTATAATGTGATAATCAAGAAAACTGATGATAACGCGGGCAGCCGCCTAGTATTAAAATTTTAACTGTTAACAAATATAAGGAAAGCTTAAATTGTCTTACTGAGACTTTGAAACGGACCTAAAGAAAACGCACAAAAAATCTGTACAAAATTTAAGTATTCCTACGAAACAAGGTCACACCCGGAAGCGCTGCGAAATGGAAAGCGCGGCTAATGGATTCGGAGCGTCGATATCGTGACAAGACGGCGCGGCGCACGTCATGGATCTACACTTTAAAGAAACATACACTTTTCTCTTATCTAGAGTAGGAATTTAAAGATTTTTTGATGTGTAACATCTTTCCTCTCGCTTTCCTGCAATTTGTGGTAGGTAGTGATTTCGTGAAATGGGGCGGAAGTGTTTAACAGGAAGTCGCGAAAGCGCGCGCTATTTGATTTGATTTTAGAACATAATGTTCAAATGGCTTATTTTTTTGTATAATGACATTCGACTAAGAAAAGGACTGACTGGGCGCCATATTTTGACATCATAGCTGTCAATTCACACCAAATAGGTAGAGTGAGCAAAAAAAAATTCTATTTAATAAAACTTATTTACTTAGATTAAGTGAGAAAAAACATCAGATTTTTTAATAAAATTAATTTACTAAGATTGAGAGAAAAAACAACCGATTTTTAATAATATTTCTTTATTATGACTGTGTGAGAAAAAACATTAATCAGAATCTAGCCCTTCAATGCTCTGCATTACCGCCAGAGTAGTTATGAAAAATCATGCAGGTCACATACGAACATGTATCCCATATGTGAACGAAAGTTTTAAATCGAGTTTCTTAACGCAACATAAAGTGACATTTGGTTGACGATTTAGGTTATCAACCATGCATAGCCAAAGCTCAATAAATGAAAAAAAATATCAACCAATATTAATTATCAATATTTGTTATTGTTTGTTTTAAAATGTTTGATTTTTATTCTAGAATTAGCTGAGTGGTAAAAAAGTGTTCCGAGATTTTTTCGCAAACTGTACTTTACAAGCGACATTTGACAGATGGAGGTCATTGGCTTTCCTATTCTTATTTGAATCGCATGGTTTTTTTTTACTAATATAAGGTGAGGTTTCAAATGTATTTCATCATACGCGATACTGTAAGGCTCGCTCGTCTTTTTTATCTAGTAAATATATTCTTTTAGGAGGAGGAGATCGATGGCACAAGTAGTTACCGCGTTCGGCTACGACTGTTAAAGTTAAGCAACTTTCGCAGTGGTCGGTCATTGAAAGGGTGACCAAAAATTAACTATCTCGAGGCTACTACGTGCTTAGGAAGACACGTTAAGCCGTTAGTTCCGGCTGCATCTGCAGTCGTTAGCACCGACCAATCCGAAGTGGGCCCGCGTGGTGGGTTATGGCCCAATCTAGGGAGATGGAATAGGGATTCCACCAATAAAGACCTGTGCCCCAGCAGTTGGGACATTATAGGCTGATGATGATGATGATAGTGTAAATATTTTCTTTAGACTTTAAAAACAAGCAGTTTATTGATCAAATAAAAATATTATAAAAATTGGAGTAACCATGTGGCATGCTTACATTAGATTACCTAAATTCCGTTTATTGCTAGCGTTTTGATACACTTAAGACAAAGGTACACTGTAACATTGTAAATGGTAACCGAAATTACGCACTTTCTCGCTCCTTCCATTTCGCATAATACCGAAGCAAAAGATTGATGATAATATCACGTGTTTATACACATAGTAATACGCAAAAAGGCTTTTAATATTATGTAAGCTATAAGATATTTACGTCATTATAGTAATATAAGTTATTTACGGGATTGTTACCATGTACCTTGTTTTTAGCGAGTTTCCGATATTTCGGCACTGTTGCAAGCGCCATGATCACGGAGTAACCGTGATCATGGCGCTTGCAACAGTGCCGAAATATCGGAAACTCGCTAAAAACAAGGTACATGGTAACAATCCCGTAAATAACTTATATTACTATAATGTTAGTGACCATGAAAGTTTAAAACAATATATATTTACGTCAATCAAAAATTTCGACTTTTTCGCGACGACATCCGTGGCAGAGTGGAGTAGTTGTGGGATGAATACGAGCAGTTGTGCTCCACAGTCATGGATGTTTAAATAATATGTATTTCTATATAAATTTACTTATATATGTATTCTTTCCGTTACCCTAGTATCCCATAACACAAGCCTATAGTGCTTACTTTGGGGATAGGCTAATTGGTGAGAGTGTTGTATATATTTATTTATTTAATGTTGTCTGATGGCAGAAATAATTACTTGGCGATCTGCTTGATATGCTTCTGTACACAAGCATCGTCACTATCACACACGCGGGCTGGATACTATACTACATCACCTACATGAGGAGCACGATGGAGCCGTGATTAGCGAGTTCGGCCTGTGATCGTGGAAGCTAAGGAACTTTCTCAATGGTCGGTCATTGGATGGGTAACCAAAAACTTATTATCTCGAGCTCCTCCGTGCTGGAGGCCATTGGTCCTGGCTGTATCTGCAGCTATTAACAATTTTGCACCCACTAATCCAAACTGGACGGGTGTTGTAGGTCTTGGGCCATTCACCAAATGCCGTCCATAAGGGAGGCCTGTGCCCCAGCAGTGGAGACATAAATAGGCTGGTAATAATGACGTCCTCTCTTACGCGGGGTCAACCTAACAAATTCACCTTCTGAAAAATTTTACTACCCTCAGTTCACCGACCGGGTAGTCTATTGCTATATCGAAAAATTTCGTCCTCCTCCTTCCCCTTAAAAGATGATTTCTAGGATAAATATCCTATATCCTTTACCAGGACTCAAACTATTTCCAAACCAAATCTCTTATCTAATAGACAAGTCCGTCCGTCCGTCCGTCCGTGGTGCTATTTCAGCGGCCAAACCGTGAGAGATAGGTATAGAGAATGTTTAAGTTATAAGTTAAGAATAATCTGATAAGACTACAAACCGGATGTGAGTAACGTAGCACTTCCGGTTTTCGAGAAATCACGTGATTTCTATTTCAAACGAAACCACACAAAATCTCCGAAGTTCTCAATTAATTAAATACATTTTTTTTTTTGGTGAACATTTGGTTCACTGGTTTGCTAGTTTTATCTAATTCGGGTCAGTGGTTTAAGCGTGAAAATATATTCTTTCGTATACGAGGCACAACAAATTACCCCACTCCACCTGATCTTAAGTGTAAGTACAAAGATATATGATAGGCAGAAGACGTGCCGCTTCAGCCACCCTCACCTTGCCGGCCTGAACCCAACAACCTTCCCCCGTGGAGCCCTGGAACCCTACTCACCAGCAGAAACACAACACCACCAAAAGGTAGTGTTATTTTACTGTGGTCTTCTGTAGGGTGGAGGTATATTTCCCAGATGGGCATTCTAATTTCTAATAGCGGAAACGCCTCTGTGCCCTACTTCTCTTAAAACTGACAGAAAGACACACTTTCGCATTTATATTATTATAGTCGGAGAGCCCGCCGCTTGAAAATCTATGGATCGCCGATCCGGATAAAATTATATAAATTTGTTATAATTTCTAAATTGATCATTTAATTGAGGGTGCCGAGGAGGGGGTGGCTCCCTCTGATATTCTTAATGTACATATCAAAACGAACATTTTGACGTATAGCACATCCGGATCGGTGATACACAGATGGGGTGTGCTTTAAATATGCAACCAGAATTGGGGTAAAACATCCATGTCTCCGCCAAATTCAGGATTAAAAAATATTGCCTCCCTTATAGGACCCTAATATCCGGATCGGCAAACTATGTGTTTTCAAGGGGCGGGCTCTCGGAGTATTAGTATGGCACACCTGTATGCCGCATAATCGGACGCCTAGTATGGCGGAGGTGCTGGCGGCGCACTTAGCGATCTGCTTGCTGCGCTTCTCGGCCCAAGCGTCGTCGTCATCGCCGTGCTGCCGCTTGTATTGTGTAATGTTAATATGGCTCACCTGCATGTCGCAGAGTCGCACGCCTAGCGTGGCGGAGGTGCTGGCGGCGCACTTGGCGACCTGCTTGCTGCGCTTCTCGGCCGAAGCGTCGCCGTCGTCGCCGTGCTGCCGCTTGTATTGTGTAATGTTAATATGGCTCACCTGCATGCCACAGAGTCGCACGCCTAGCGTGGCGGCGGTGCTGGCGGCGCACTTGGCGATCTGCTTGCTGCGCTTCTCGGCCGAAGCGTCGCCGTCGTCGCCGTGCTGCCGCGTGTATTGTGTAATGTTAATATGGCTCACCTGCATGCCACAGAGTCGCACGCCTAGCGTGGCGGAGGTGCTGGCGGCGCACTTGGCGATCTGCTTGCTGCGCTTCTCGGCCGAAGCGTCGCCGTCGTCGCCGTGCTGCCGCGTGTATTGTGTAATGTTAATATGGCTCACCTGCATGCCACAGAGTCGCACGCCTAGCGTGGCGGAGGTGCTGGCGGCGCACTTGGCGATCTGCTTGCTGCGCTTCTCGGCCGAAGCGTCGCCGTCGTCGCCGTGCTGCCGCGTGTATTGTGTAATGTTAATATGGCTCACCTGCATGCCACAGAGTCGCACGCCTAGCGTGGCGGAGGTGCTGGCGGCGCACTTGGCGATCTGCTTGCTGCGCTTCTCGGCCGAAGCGTCGTCGCCGTGCTGCCGCGTACCCATCTTGAGGTCCAGCACGCAGGGGCGACGGTACGACGATGTTATGTTCTCCATCATCAGGAAATCTAAACGAAGACATCAATTGAAAAATGATTCTTCTGTCATGAAAGTGGTGGCACCAATGGCCGACAAGTACCAATGATAGTAATTCCCTTCTGTGATTATTGAAAAAAAGAGTAAGCAACTGGAGGCCTACTCTAATTCAACGAAAAACGAAATTTCGATCGAAACTTTGCACTTTTCTTAGTATGTTTCTGGTTCGTTTTTAATTATAATAATATTCGTCGTCGCAATATAGATTGAGGTGTAATTTTCTAAACCTGCTCAAAGAATACTTCAATTTGATAGTTTATGGTTTAAATTAAGTATAACCTTAAATTGACGAAATTAAACTTCGTTTCGAAGAAAGAGAGTAGACCCCTAGATCTCTAAACATGGTAACACCGGTTCGGTGTTATCACACTCAGCGACCGACCACCTATTCTTATTTCCATTGATCACACAAAAAATGTGCATCGCTGTCTCCTGGCTATCATTGGTGCCACTATCTAAGTAAATTAAGCTTTCACTATCCTAATTATATTTTAAAAAGAGGTTATCTATATTGCTATAATAGATTGTTCCAAAATACTTGTTGGTAATTCTCTCTTACAGAAAATTATGTATATTATCATGAAGGTAAGGAATGTTAGTCTTTAAAAAATATGAAACATTATTTTTCTGCGTGCTAGAGTTGAAAAACATCAAAATTTATCTTTACTGAATGCTATTAATATAAGATTACGGATAAGTACCGTAATTATAAAACAAGAAAAACAAACAAATTAAAATAATTAAAGAAAACTCACACTGCTTATTTGAATTGTCCATGTGTGCAATGCTCTTAAGTACTTCACTTGCATTGCCATTACGGTGAACTTTAAATCTGCAATAAGAAATGTTACATGAAAACGTCTGCCGGCCAGTCCAGAACGATCGAGCATAATAGTATTATAATACAGGAGCTAATAATTGAAACACATGATCGGTGTTATCTGTTATATATTGTTACATTGCAATCAAAATTTATTTTATATTATTATCATTACCACGACTCCAAGACGCAAGTCATCGGAGGCTCGCAGAGTGAGGTCGTGCATCGCTCACGCGTTAGTGGCTAATGTAAGTATTGCGATCGTATGGAATTAATGGCGACGTCGGGAGCGGGTCCGGCACGCTCCGGCGTACGTCAAAGCTTCTGAAATATGATAAAGGACACATGACAAGTGTCGAATAGTGTCAGCGGACGCGCCGCCGCTCCATATACGCACTTGAACACGTCGTCGCGCCTGCGCTTGCCGCCCAGCGACTGCTTGCGCCCGTTCTCGTCACGGAAACATGGCGAGTACCTCTTGTCCAATATCGTGCTTCCCGTGTTAGATGCCTGCATCACGCCTGAAACAAACGGCTTCTTCATCACTCCTTGTGTCATATACGCACAAACGCAATAAAAACATACTTTATATAGTTTTTTAGTTATTATCAATTTGCAGTTGTTATATTGTAGGTAAATATTGTTCAAAGCGGAACGTTGTAGTATTTTTTTAGTTAACAATCAAAGTAGAAAATTAACTTTTATGGTATGACTTGAAAAGCGATAGAAGACTGTGGTAGTTCTCGACGCCTCAGCCGGGTCTCGATCCCGGGTCTCTGGACATGCCAGCGTGCTGCTTACACCACTGAGTCGTGAGAGTCCAGTAATCTACTATCTACGTGGTAAAGTCAATATGAACTTACTATTGCAAGTTGCCAGCTTAATCTGATGAAACGACAAAGTATAAACTTTTAAGTAAATTCAACAAGGGTTTGTATATCTTTGGTGGTGTGTTCAAATTTGTTTGCATTGAATATGACAATTAAGTGATGTGTGTTTTTGTGATTTGTGTGTGCATGTGGCATGTATAATTCGTTTCACAAAAGCTAACACAAATGGATTCTAATTATAATGAAAAAGTGTAAAGCTGTAAGTCATACTGTAGATTTCATAAGCGAGCATGTGCTATGAAGAACTTTTTTTGTTTTAAAAAGGTGCTACATTAGTAATTGGAGAAACAATTACCGACAGCGATATCGTGACCGAAATAGAGGGACAGAAGACATTGTTATTATTCATTCTAGTGACGACAAGTCCATCAGTGGCAGCTCTTGTGAAACAAACCATGGTTTAAGTAAAGGTTTACAAACCCAAAATGTTAATTTACCGCTATCGCTATTAGGGGCGGTAGTGTCTCGCCGCCGGCGTCGCTCCGCCCGCAGCCGCGCCGCAGCCCTTGCGACAACAAGGAAACTAATATTGTGCCTCCTGACCCGTCCCGCCCGCGCAAACCCGCCGCCCTTCGCGCCACGACACCAACCGTAACGAACCCGACAGGATTGCCAACTACCCTCGAGTAAACTTTAAACCTACAACTACACTATTCAGGAAGTTCGTCGAAGTTGCGATGACCGAGTGCGAGAGTGTAGAAAGCACATAGCACCCCCATTAGAAACCGCGTTAAGGGTCTCAGACAGAGGCGGCCTGCAGCTGCGGCCAGCCCTTATCGGTCGATCGTGTTTGAACACTCGCTAACATTGCAAGCAAATAAAACCGACCATCACCGTGGCCGCGGCCGCAGGCTTCGTCTGTCTGTGAGAAACTTTACTTAATTTTTGTTTGAAAACCAATCTTCAAAGTGTGCGGCCTGCGGGGAGGGTAAGCCGCACTTTGATGGGACACGTCAGTGTAACGCCACGGTCAGACGACAAATTATTATAGGTGCAAACTTGTCCGGGGCCGTATCTCACGCTTATACGGTATTACTACATAATCTTGACACAAGCGAGTGCCCTTATATGCGGTCTCTAGTGGGGGTGCTCAGTGGTAGAAAGATACTGCTAATCGCTTCGCCTTGCCTCGTACTACTTCCGATCGCTGTCCGTTTTTTGCGACCGAGGCAAAGAACTTGAATTGTTCCAAGAAGTGTCATACTATTATCACGTACTTCGGACTTCAACCAACTTCGTCAAAGTAACTTCGCGAGTAGTGCAGTGGAGGTTTTAGTAGAATGTCACTAGAGCAATGAAAATATTGAGCTCTTATTCGCGCGAGGGCTTTTTGTACGCGCATTAGAATACCATGGTTTTAGCGCTTTCATAACGTTCGCAACTTGTGGTTTCTACCTTACGTCCCTTAGCTTTAAATATAATGTGCCCAACAACAAAAAATACAAGTTAAAAAAAGAGTTTTATTTCAAAACTTTCAACGCGCGAAAAACAAACGCTCGAGGGAACAAGCTCTTAGATATTTTTAAATAGGTACTTACGTCGATATTTTTTCGATACCATTGACTTTCAAATGTCAGCTTTAACTTTAATATTTTATTTTAAGTAAGTACAATACAGAATTTTCTATGACAATGGAAGTACTTACTTCAGTTGGCAATCCCACATAAGGCACGTCTCCAACGCGGCGTATTTTGTTTACGTAATGGCGTTTCTCTGTTGTGAACTTTTACTAATTTTTGTCATTTTATAAGAAGTCTGATGACGCGTTAATCTCATAACCAGTTTACTGTTCTAATCTTTCAATACAAACACTTATAATGTCGTATCATCCATGCCACAAAACACATATAAATTAACTATATTTAAATGAGTCTCTTTTGAAATAAGTATGTAATATTATCATATTAATGTGTAAAATAAAACATAACGTAACCTATTGTACTTACTTCAATTCTATGACTTACAATACATGATTCAATTCAGTGACGCGTTTAGTAGCAAAGACTTGTTGATAATTTAAATACGAACAGTAGAACCAGATCAATTCAATTGTAATAGATTTGATAAAATGCTGGTGCGTAGAAAATAATGAATGAGTCATGGTGATCAAAACTAAAGTACTTATAATAAGGTGCCTGCCTACGTCGAAATTACTGATAATTTTAATATGTGTTCAAAACATGGATGATGTAGGTACATAATTAGTAAAAGTTCATTTTAAACAGTGCCATATTTAATTATAATAATAGCGTATTCAAAATATTTGATTAAAGACATAAATTATTTCGTTAATGACCAAAATTTATTTTTCGAACAAAGGTTAACTTATATGATAAGAGACTTATCAGTGAAATCAGATTTAAAAATTCCAATCCAATAAATTAGAAACGCGTCATCATTGTTTTTATAAATTTATTTTTATATTAGTTTTGAAGTAAACACGATTGTTTTCCTGTTATAGGACATAGAAAGAGGGCATTTTTTTCTTACATGATTTTATTTTGCTATTGGGTAACCAGTTGTCTGCGGTCGGCGGGTTTGTATGTATAATTAATACGTCCCTCCACTCACATACATAAATGTAAAAACGATGATAACATCACTATTATGAGCATCAAGGAAAACTGATTCAAAACAATGCCTAGATAGGCATAGACACAACCGTATGCACCATCAACAAGTACACAACCAAATAGGCGCACTGCCGATAACATTAAGTTTTTTTTTATCATAACAACAACATACCTAATAGTACCACCGCTGACGCACATAACATAAATATAACAACAAAACAAAAATAATTTTCAAATGTGTCATCGGCGTATAATTATCGTTCATATAATATTCGAGATAAGGATATTGAAATCCTATATTTGTCGTACACATACACCGGTCAGGTGTAGGTTTATGATAAGTGATTGATAATCCTTAGTGCTCGAGTATGCAATAATATCACACAACAAATTGTTCTAAGAAAAAAAACGTCACAACGCGATTATTGAAAAAGAACATAAATATAATGTGAGATGCTATGAATGATTATGATGCATACAGCGAATCGAAAAAGCGTACTGAGCATATAACTAACATGTAAATATAATTTGAAACTCACCTTTATATCGGGGCACGAAGTTCTGGATATCCTCAGGAATGTTCTGGTAGAAATGTAGCTCACGTATGTTGAGCGGTTTGATGACTGTACTATCGTTTAGTACGAGCAGTCTCGTGTGGCCGCCCACCTGCCAACAGATACAACACAGGTGTCACTATCACCGTACACAACAATAACATTAAAATAATACACGTTTAACTAGCTACATCATAATACATACAGACGATCTGACGTCCCCAAACACATTCAATGGTTCCATTGCCAGGCGGCCAAGGCACGATATAAGTGGGGTAGTGATCATAGAATGATTTCTATGAATGGAACAGCTTACAACTATAGCGATAGTATAAATGAGATTAACGTTGTCTATCTAGGTTTTAATGAAGATAGATAATGACCGAAAAAAAATTACATTAATACACTGAGGTATCGTTCATTCATCGATGGAGATACCATCAATTAATATCGATAGGTGACAGCTGTAAATAGGATCCAAGCTCAATAAATCAACCCAGTCATATCCAAACGATGCCATTGAACGATGAGTGCTGTGTGTAAACCAAAATCAACACAAACAATAAATAATTAAATATATGAAACTCAATACGATACAATTTTTATTGTAATATGTAACTTTTGGAACTGAAAAATAACATCAGATTTTTTTATAAATGTTTTATCCTAATATTAATGCACACAACAATAATATGCCAAAAGACCTACGTGGGATTAAAGCGGACCAACACACTGTAGTCTACGGACCGAAATACTCGTTTGTCGACTAAACAAAAAAGTCGAAAAGGGGAATGCCGTTGACCCTGTGACTGTGAAGTGGCGGGTGTATGTACCATAGCATAACCGACTGTGCGACCCACAACATAACATTTATCTGACTAAATACTTATCGCGAACTAATACAAATGTCCTGCGTAGTAGGGGAAAAAATTAAGGGCGTCTGTGTCTCATTGTATTATAATCACAAAGCTTCTGTCTAGTGATCGAAATAACCACATAAAACGGTTATCACATAAGAAAATAAAGGTGTCATAAGTTTAATGCCTGACGACGTAATAGAAGATCCATCTTCCGACATAACACAGTATTAACTCGAGATCTAATGTTAAATGCAACGCTGGCCATAGCACCTGCTCCGCAGATTTCATTCCGGCACGGTTCGTTAGTCATGCAGACCACGATCGCATTGGTTGAACATTGGTTTGCACAGTTATTAATGTCAGCCAGTCTCAGCCGCGTTGTCTTGGCAACAATGCTTCATCTTTCAAACCTTCACACGCAAACTCGCAGTCAGTCGTTTAGTCGATTCAGAACTCATCGCGGCAACTTCGTTCGTCGTAATGCTATGCTACACGAAAGGTTAAAACGAATTACGTCATCTTTTATGAATACGTTGAGTGTTTCGAGAATCAACTAGTACCTAAAATTACAAGAAGACTTTTTCAAAAGCAATGAGTCTTCGTAGACTTTTTTTAATAATATTAATGTAGATCGCAGCATCGTAATAAATCAGATACAAAAAAAAACTACTGATGAATGATGAGCGAATGACTGCTTATCTCTTGTTGGTGCTATAACGATGACGTAAGTCTACGCTATTAAAAATCAGTATGAAGTTTTTATCTTCAAGCATATTCCACGCGGACATTTGCGCTCTTAAAACTTATAGCAATGGAAATTTTGGACTGCGACTACCAAGTGACATTACTTAATATAGATCTACGTGTAATAGCGCGACATCCATTAATGTTTTCTTGGTCATTGTTCTGAAATCACTCCTTCCCAGGGCATCCTTCAAGATTCATTAAAAAAACTGTCGTAACGTGAATAGCGATTTCAAAGAATGTGGAACTATTACAATCTTAACAGTCTGTGTACAAGTGCAGCCTAAACAAAACATTGGGCTGCTAAAATGACACGGTTTCTATCTTTGAAAGAGATGCGCTAAAATGTTTATTTATGTAGATCAGACGAACTTGACCTTTCGCGATCATTAAAAAAAAGAAATGAGATAAACAGCAGCCTAATTTCATTATGTAAGTGGATTTCCCAGAACCGACCATAATATATTAACAACACAACTGGTTTCATCAGTTTTTCAAGGTGATAGATTTATCTTATTCGTGTCAGCGCTTTCGGTCTGCGACGTGTGGAAGTAAATCAGCACTCGAAAAGGTCTGTTATTAAATAAGAAACCAAACGATAAGATACGTCCTATATTCTATACTCATATACTGTTTTTGGTGGGATTTCATTGAGTGCGGATGGAGTCTTATTTTAATTATTCTTAAATTCGTTCATAGTGGATATTGTGAAATAAAATTGGTGTGATTTTGTTTTTTAAAATATATGCTATTCCGGTCAAGTGGACATTAGAAATTTATTGTAGTTGACTACCTCACAGAAGCTTATCGAAAAAGCCAACACGATACATTTCGTGCCAAACACTCCTAGAAGCATTGGAATGCGTCACATCGACATTCTAATGGAAAAAAAATGATGATTTAAACTTAAGATTAGGCTGCATGGGTATTGGTCCGTTTGCCTTCCCCGAAAAGGGAGAAAGGCAATGACGAACTTTTTTATGTAAAAAGGAACAAGTACTGTCACCATGGGCTAGAAACACTTATGGTAGCATTATGTGCCCTCAACCCATCTCTTACCCAATGAGCACTGATAGGTTGGAAGCCTTGTTGTAGGAACACTATACTACAGAAACTTTTGCAAATGTCTAAAGCACGATTTATTCCATTTTACATCATTCCTGACATTTGGGATCCTTTACAGACTTCATGGTCGCAAGTCTACTAACCTGATAGATAGAGCCTGAAAAGGATCCGAAACGTCAATAATAAAACATCCTTACAAAATAAAATTAATCGCGTTTTATAACCTTAAAAATCTTTTATTATAATTATAATGTTTGGTGTGTGTGACAAAATAATAAACAAATACCACAAAACAATATTTATTTGGATTTTGGATGCAGTCTTCTGTATGATTCTAAGACGATCGGAGCTACTGCCCCTTGGAGGTGTTACATCGATCAACTAATTTCTGACCCACTTGCTCGATAATTCGCTTAAAATGTAAAACAGAAAAGTTTTCCTTTTCTTTCAATTTCTTGATATTATAAAAAATGTTGGTAAACTAATAGGGAAATCCTTAGTCCGTAGTGAAAACTCCAAATAATTTTATGTCATAATTATTTCACAGGAAGGCGGCAAAATCTCTCATGTCAAATATGATTGTTCAGAAAATAACAAGTTTGTAACGTACATTTAAGCAAAAATCTACCTTATTGTTTTGAAATGGTTGTTACAAAATATGCTAATAGTGAGTCAGGAATCAAATTGGCTGATCATACATAGCCTAGCAGAGCTACTGACCATTGAAGGTATTTATATCCAGCTATACATAACACCCCCGAACAGTATTATTTGGCAGAAATCATCTGTAAGATACTTACAGTCGATTATAGCAAAAACATATATTGGAATACGGGTGATAGCCATTCTGTGACGTGACGTCAAGAGACCTGATTGCACAAGAGTATGGGTACGTTAAAGATAGTACGTCCACATAACAAAATATATGTTAGAATTAACTCATAGATCAGCTCAAGTTAGATAAGATCCTTGGGCATGTTGATATTGATAGGAATAGTAAACTGATTATTAAGGGGAAGAGTAGAATGACTGTCAGAATATGACACTAGTTATTTAGCAAGTGTTCTGTAAAACTATCTATGTAAGATTAGCTCAAATCACATAGAAGAGCATATGTAGCTATAGCAAACTAACTGACGAATAAGAAGTCGTGACGATTTCTATGGTAAACTAAAGTTTCACAGAATAGGACAGTCATTGGAACTCGGCACGAGTCTGACGTTACGACCAACGTTGCCAACGGTGGTATCACGGTAATGTTCGAAGTGTTAGCCTGAGGACTATACCTGATTGTGTAGCGGCAGTACGTCGACCTCATGGCCGTCGTCGGGCGACAGCGGCGAGTGCGCGACCGGGGGCGGCTGCGCGCGCTTGCGGTCAGCGCCGCGCCGCTCCGGCTCGCCCATGCCCCAGCCGAGGGATAACACCATTACTTCGGCCAAGCCACCGCCGCCGCTGTCCACCTGCAACAAATCATACACAAATAAGTACTGTCTTTGAGGAGCTCGATGAAGCAGGTGGTTAGCGCTTTTGCCCTGCGATCGTGGAAGTTAAGCAACTTTTACAACGGTCGATAATTGGATGGGTGTCCCAAAAACTTATTATCTCGAGCTTATGCGTGCTTCGAAAGGAACATAAGTTAAGTGGACCCGGCTGCATCTGCAGTCGTTAGCACCCACCAATACGCAATGGACCAGCGTGGTGGATCACGACCCAATCTCTTAATTATCCATAGAATAGTCCTGTGTTCCAGCAGTGGGGATATTAACAGTCTGATGATAATGATGATGAAGTACCTTCCAGAAAAAAATGGTAACGCATACCCACCGTTGGGTAAGGCGACGAGGTTATGAGAGTCTACTCCCCCCACCTCCCGCTTCAGCTAACGCATGGGTGGGACTATCACCCCTTACTAATCTGCATTAATCAGTGTGACGTCACAGACGGATGTCAAACTTGTATCGCTATTCGTCGACGTTCGGGGGCGCGTCGCGTGCTCACTTGGCACAAGCGGGTTTCCCTATGCGGTTGCTAGTGGGGGTACTCTGTGGGCTAGCGCAGTGAATCTAGATAGGTAGGAGGATAGATAGGAGGGTCTTAGCCACTAAAACTGCGAAACGTCTTCCTCCGTAACGAAGACGAGGGTTCTTATTGGGAACCACGCTGAGACAAATAATTATCTCACAATAATGCTGAGTTTACGAAGTTTCCCAAATCATCTTACTTTACAGCAAACCAATGCTAAACATGACGATATCAAGGTGAGACTAAAGGTCATACTCACAGACGTGAATAAGTTTTCAAGTTTGTTTAAAGTTGATACTGCCGGCTTTATAGTAATACAATACACAAGCAAATCATGTTAAACAGTATTAAATTTACTAATAATTTTATGAATTATAATATGCAGAGATGTCAATCCAATTTCAATATCATAATTTATGATTTAACCTATAAATGATATTTATTTGTATATTCCACAATTGCCAAATAGTGTCTTGTTACTCCTTTCTCAGTGCATTTTTTTAGCAACATAAATACTGTCTTCATAACATAACGACCTTCAATTTAATAAAGATCTTACATTAATTTCATAATATATGATGAAACTGCAATTGAGGCAATGAAACAATAAATGAATGATGACCTCAGAACAATGACAAATGATAACAACCATTTTGTAAACAAAAAAGATTAAAGGACCAACATTTTTTACCCAAATAGCACAACCGCAAACTACAAAGTGCTAAATTACTTTTGTTATTGTTTTAATCGCGTTTGCGGTAGTAATTAATAATTAAAACAATCAATTTCTAATTCGCAATAGGTACATGCGTATTTTATTTATTCATATACATATTTATTTACTAAATAATCACACATAATTTAATAAACATTTGCTTTAGTTTCAAATATATAAAATGGGCTCAAAGTCCTAATAAACTCTTTTCATAAGATAAGTAGAATCTAACATAAAATTACTCCGTTTTCCTGACTTGACTCTGTATTTTTTTGGCTTCATCCACCATTGTACTTCTCATGTATTTTCCTAATTTAATAAAATATAACCGAAAAGGGATAAGCGAACTTGGGTGATTTTAATACCCTAGTTTTTTTTATTTATATAAAAAACCATGTTACGTAACGCGTTGATCGAAACCCCCTCCCGCCCCTGTAACGCATTGTTATGTATTACAAGACCCGCCCTACCCCCCAAATTGCGTTACGTAATACTTGAACGTCCCCTACTTAAAAGGGCGGCTAACAATTGTCTGGCCCACCTGATCATAGCCTATAGGCGCTTCTTGGGACTCTTTTTACTCTCGTATTACCATTAAAAAGCAAAATTTTACATCAGGGTCCTATTACACTAAGCCGACATATATGCCACTTTATATTATTAACTTTGCGGTGAGGATGGCTGTTGTGGCTGGTAGAACTGCTATGTGGCGGCCAACAAAACCGAAGTTGTCGTGTTCTTTGGACGGGGGACCCCCAGACCACCAGCGGGGGCCACATTGAGGTAGACGGGGTGAACATTTAATTAAAACCCTCAATTAGTCCCTCCTCAGTGAGCACTTCCGACGTCTGGGCCCAAGATTGGAGGGAGCGGCGGCTGCCCTGGGCAGACACCTGTCCAATCTAGGGGGACCAAACGCCACGTGCTGCAAGCTATATGCGGGTGTCATCCGCAGCATGGCCCTATATGGTGCGCCGGTCTGGGTAGACACCCTTAACACAGCGATTAGGGCTTTGCTGCGAAGGCCACAGAGGACCGTGGCCAACCATGCTATCCACGACTACCGGACCATCGCAGGGCATATGCTACATGCGCACTACCCGGCACCCCGCCTTGGGAGGTCGACGCTCAAATACTGGCGGTGGTATACAATGAGCGCACCGAAGCCAGGGAGCGGGGAGAACGACCCGCCATTGAGGATTTGGTGAGGGCCAGAAGAGAGGCGGAAGAGCTCCTCGATCAAAGATGGGAGCACCAGATGGCGCTCTCCCATAGGGCACTAGGGTCCTGGAGGCGATTCGCATGGTCCTAAGCGCTTGGAGAGACAGGAGGCACGGGTCACTAACATTCCGATTGGTGCAGGTGCTGTCCGGGCATGGCTGCTTCGGAAAGTACCTGCATATGACCCAGAGGGAGGTGACTCCGTCGTGTCATGAGTGCGACGCTGCTGAGGACACAGCGCAGCACACCCTAGAGGTTTGCAGTGCGTAGGATCAGCAGCGTGGCAACCTAACGGCGACGATCGGCCGGGACCTCTCTCTGTCCAGTGTAGTCAACGCTATGCTGGGCGGCGACAGATCCTGCCGTGCCGTTGTCTCCTTCTGTGAGGATGTCATCTCGCAGAAGCAAATAGCGGATAAGGCTCGCGAGGCGGCCGCTCGAGCTGACCTCCTGCGCCGTCGGAGAGAAAGAAGGAGAAGATGCCAATATGCGCGCCTCCCTCCATAGTTAAGGTTGACTGGTCCCCATTACCTGGGATCCCCCTGCGCATTTCGCCACTGTTTGCACCCGCGTCTCGTAAGAGAAGTGGGCCCGCAGATGGAGGCGTTACGTGTGGGGACAGGTTCTTCCCTTGGTTAAGGATCCCAATTCCAGTCCCATGCCCAAAACTATGCTCACACTTAGTAATGTATTTAAATAGTAACAATCAGAGTTATCAATATGTTATCTAATTGCGTCCAATATCAATTTCATAAATATGTAATTCTCTTTCTCAATGTAATAATATTCAAATGTTTAGTAATTTTACTTATTCTACCTACATCAGTGCGTCGAAAGGTTGCAGAATCCACAACAAATACAGATAAGTATAAATAGAGGTTATATAAAATAAACAAACAAGTTATTTCAATTAGAATAAATGAAGATACTGTAGTGTTCTGACCTCATAATAGATAATACTATAATATACGTGACTGATGCAAGATAAGTAAAAGTTGCAAGGGAATAATCAAATCATTGAAATATTTATAATAAAGAGCAGTAATCGAGTCTTAAAATAAAATTGGTTCTGAATAATAAATAAGTGGAAAATTATGAAGGCCAATTTAACCTTACAAATGACAAAATGTGAATGACCATACTGCATTTTATGAAGCAGTGATTTCTGGCTGAAGTTGGTTAGGTATCAAGAAACTAGTTGTAATCGCTGGTGCACAGTCGGGTCAGGGAACCGAAGCAGTGCGAGAGGGCCGTAATTGGCGCACGCTCGACGATGGTCGGCGGGTAACCGCCCGGGCAACTCAGTTTTATTTTGTTTTGAGCCTGTGGTTGTCACATCTCCGAGTAAGAGTTCGAACCAAGGGCACGAACCACGACAAAGGATATAGAACCTTTAAGATTAATACCAACGATAGAAGTCCTACAAGCAACAAAAACTAGTATTTTCCTTTTTCATTATATGTATAAACGGAGAATGAAATAAAATAGTAACAAAGAAATACAAAGTAAGTAATGCGCAAGTAAATAGTCATATGATAATGTTAAGAACCTTGTATAATGATGAAAAAGCATAGGAATAGGACATAATTAGATACGAATGTGACAATAGGAACAACTAGAAGATATTATAGACAAGATTATGAACTTATTTATAAACAGATAATATAATGAAATAATAGAGAGAAAGTAATAAAAAACAAAATACAAACATGAAGATGTAGTAATAGATAAATGTAAAAGATGTCAAAAGGAAAAAGTAAAATTGAGGAATGTTAATAAAAATAATTTTAATAGATAAGGAATACTCAAAAGAAAAAACTCATTTTTTTATATTATTAAAATCATAATCATATAATTATTAGTAAAATCTTTTAAAAATACCTGCACCAAATTGAGGAATAGCCAGTTAATAAATAATATAGCTTTAACGACAAGTAAATAAGTACCTATCGATTATATTTTTTTTCACTGCCAATAACATACACGATAAGTATTGTTCGTGTTCAATCAATGTGTGGTTTTATGTAATCGACAACCATCTGTGACGCAAGTACAATCGTATAATGGAGAACGCGCCTCCACCATCTACCTAGTATGTTGCGTCGATTGACGTTTACCAACCAGCCAGTGCCAGCGAGCAGCGTCACCAAATTAGAATCGCTCCCGCAAACTCCAGGGGTATTCGCATTTGCGTGACGTGCAAGCCCCGCCTCTTGCTCGCCTCTGCCATACCATGTGAGCGAACCACGATGCAACACGGTCGAGTCGACCATACGTCAAAACGGCGGAATAACGAAAATAGTGCGACGAAAATAAGAGCAAAATCAAAACAATAGTATAGTAAACTATGTCGGGATTGTAAAGTCGAATTTACGTAAATAGTTATCGGAGCTGCAACGAATAGTTTGGAATACGCCACAGTTTTAGACGCAAACACAACAGATGTTATGTTAAAATTAACATAGTTACAGTATT